TTAATTCATGTAACCTTAAAACAGCCAACACAAATCAATCTTATTAAGTTAAATTCGTTATTAACTTCATTTTAATTTAAAACCATTTAAAGAATCTTCAATATCAAATCATATTAACTTCTTTCAAATTTATCCAAATGCATATCTACATTCCACTTGTATTCCTGTTATTTGAGATACAATAACTATCTTTAACTTAATGTTCACTTTAATAATAAGTTTTCATTCTTGTGATGAGTTGCAAAGAAGTTAATTAAGATTTTAAAAAAAATCATGATTTTTTGTATAAAGTCTTAAAAATGTAAGGTAATGAAATATCCCCCCCCCCTTCCCAACTTCAAAAATGGATGGAAAAATTATTTCTTATAATGCTTATATGTTCCATAGATATTAATTGCTTAGTCAGGCAAGCTTTTTGAAAAACTATTACTTGTAGGAATTATGATGAAGAACAAAGCCATATCTTGTTTCATGAATCTCCATTGATATTCTAGGTTTGTCCTATTTATAAACCCCTAATACATGGTGAATGCATTGTTGTCCAAATTTCTTAAAAGGACAGTAGGTTATAATTGTTAAATTAATTGATTAATTCAACATATGTAAGGGAGAAGTTTTGGCAAACCTGTGCTCAGGATAAACATTTTGAAAAAAGGTATAAAACACCATCAGTTTCCTTCAATGTGCACGGATTTTTACATGTCATTGACCTTATATGAATAGACAAATTTATCATGTGATAATTCGTATTTGTAAATACAACAAATCAACTTGAATAAAACCATGTGGCTTTAGCTCTGACTAGAGTGATCAACATGGACCTTTTTTTTATTCTTTTGACATTGAATTATTTCTTGCTGCCAAATATTGTTACTTCTGCCAAATATTGCTAATTTTTTTTCATTGATTCATATTCATTATAGACATTTATGTCATAGGCTAAATAAAATCTTCCTGCGGCTGCTGGTGATTCAATATCACTTGGCCTACAGCATCTGAAAAAATTTGTTAAAATGATTGATTTTTTTTGTTATTCCCTTCTTAAGCATTTACTCTAAGATATATAGAGAGAGATAGAGAGAAAAATTCACAATTTAAAATTTGATGTCAAAAATATTTGTGCCAATTATTTTTTTTCTTTGAAATACATGTTCATGTGTAGCACAAAAAATATGTTTACATACATTTAGTATATTTAGTTTTAAATTTCTATCTATTTGTGCCATGTGTTGCTTGTGATCACATGCTCTCTCTCTCTCTCTCTCTAAACTAATTTTTTTAAATAAAATAAATTCAATATTGATCTGTTTTAAGGAAATCTGCTAGATTTTATTAGCTCACCTGAGCCGAAGGCTCAGGTGAGCTTTTCTGATCGAAATTTGTCCGTTGTCTGTCGTCATTGGCGTAATCTTTTCACATTTTCATCGTCTTCTCCAGAACTACAGGGCCAATTTCAATCAAACTTGGCACAAAGTATCCTTGGGTGAAGGGGATTCAAGTTTGTTCAAATGAAGGGCCATGCCCCCCTCCAAGGGGAGATAATTACGAAATAGCAAAAAATTAATGGCATTAATGAAAAATCTTCTTCTCAAGAACCAATGGGCCAGGAAAGATGAAACTTATGTGGAATTATTGTCAGGTAGTGTAGACTCAAATTTGTTCAAATCATGACCCCCGGGGGTAAGGTGGGGCCACAATGGACGATCAAAGTTTTACATAGAGATATATTGGAAAAATCTTCAAAAATCTTCTTCTCAAGAACAGCAAAGCTATGATTGGTCATATTTATATGGAAGCATCCTCAGGTGATGTGGGTTCAAATTTGTTCAAATCATGACCCCCGGGAGTAGGGTGGGGACACAATGGAAGATTAAAGTTTTAATTAACACAGGAATATATTGGAAAAATCTTCAAAAATCTTCTTCTCAAGAACAGCAAAGCTTTGATTGGTAATATTTATATGGAAGCATCTGCAGGTGCTTTAGATTCAAATTTGTTCAAATCATGACACCCAGGGGTAGGGTGGGGCCACAATGGACGATCAAAGTTTAACATAGGAGTATATAGGAAAAATCTTCAAAAATCTTCTTCTCAAGAACAGCAAAGCTATGATTGGTCATATTTATTTGGAAGCATCCTCAGGTGGTGTAGATTCAAGTTTGTTCAAATCATGACCCCCGGGGGTAGGGTGGGGCCACAATGGATGATCAAAGTTTTACATAGCAATATATAGGAAAAATCTTCTCAAAAACAGCAAAGCTATGATTGGTCATATTTATATGGAAGCATCCTCAGGTGGTGTAGATTCAAGTTTGTTCAAATCATGACCTCCAGGGGTAGGGTGGGGCCACAATAAAAGTTCAAACTTGTAGAGAAAAAAGTCACAGTCAAAAAATCATGCAAGCATCCTTAGTTAGTGTAGATTTAATTTTGTTCAAATCATACCCCCCCCCCCAACTCCCTTTTAGGGGTAGGTTGGGACCACTTATGCATTTAAGCTTTTCAATACTAAACAGATTTTCCTCTTTTCCTAGCCACAGTGCTCAGGTGAGCGACGTGGCCCCTGGGCCTCTTGTTAACTTAATTTTCCTGACTTTTAGAATATATAACAGAACCTATCAAAATGGTTTTCATTAATTTTTATATGTCTCAAAAAAGTCTGGCTTAGGGGAGGAATTACAGATCTGGTCTCTTAACTGCAATTGATAATATTCAGTACGTTCCTTAAAGGCCAACCTTTTATTTTCAAAATTAATTTGGTAAAAAGTATCAAAATTTGATATTGCGTAAATGATATTTTTATGTCCCTACCATGAAATGACTGGGGCATGCAGTGTTACCCCTTTCTATCTGTCATTGTTATTCTGTCATTTTGTCATTTCTTTTCAGGACTTTTTTTTGCTTATAGATATTGAGCTGATTTTTGTTACCGGTATTTGTGTTGATGTTGATGACTTACAGATACATTTTTATGATATTTATGGCCCTTAGACTTTGCAAATATTCAGTGTTTTCTGGACTTTTTTTGATGTGCCTGTAGATAATGAGCTGATTTTTGGTATGTCTCTTGATAATGATGACTTAATTACAGATCAAGTATTAGTTTTGTGTTGCTTGACTCATTTTTCTGAAGTAATGACCCTTAGACTTTGCAAATTTCTAATAATTCATTGTTTTCCTTTATTTTTCTTTTTATTGTGCTTGTAGATATTGAGCTGATTTTTGGTATGTCTCTTGATAATGATGACTTACAGATCAAATTATTATTCTAAATTGAATCATTGCACCTGGATGTAGGGTGGATAGGGGATTAAAGTTTACAATGAAATATACAGGAAATGTAAAGGAAGAAATCTTTTTAAAAAATGTCTTCTCAAGAAACTGGACCAGGAAAGATGAAACTAATGCGATGTAGTGTAAATTGTACAAATCAAGAGGAGGAAAAGCTAGGCTAAATTTATTCAGGTGAGCATTGTGGCTCATGGGCCTCTTCTTTATTTTTGTCATGTTTGTGCCATTCCATTCATTATTATTATTTTACACTCTTAGACTTTGATTGCATTAATATCTCAACAAATAAATTACAGAGTGTCATATACAAGTATATGTCACACTAAGATGACAGATGATTGCAATATGATTAGTATTTTGATGTTTTATTAGGCCTTGGCATAGATTCTTCATTTATAAAAAAAAAAAAAAAAATACAATGAGTAATTAAATTTTAACTGTCAATGTTAACAATTTAAACACACTGTGAGTTCTGTAAAATACTTATAGTGACTTGGTACCTTTTCTGAAAAAACCCAGCTGGACAGTTCTAGTTTGATCTGATGATCGACACCTGTGAACTTGGCATTACCTGGCTCTTCAAGTTACTGTTATAATAGTATATTTATATGTTTAATAATTACTTGTTCATTTTCTCCCCTATGTGTGGATTTCATAATGTTTTGTGTGGATCGTTTTTCTCCACATGTCTTGTTGAATATCCGTGGAGAGAAGTGTGCTTGAGCAGGGAATATCTGATTATACAGTATGTTTTTGACATGTGCAGGCAGTGAAAATAAATCTTAAACATACTCCTCTTCCATTTTTTTCTTCTCAATGTCATGCAGAACATGATATGGTGTATGTTGGGGGTCAGGGTTGGGGGGTTCAATCATTGTACATAATAAACTGCATGTAAGTGTACATAAATTGACGTATTCAAAATTTAGCACAATCACTGGGTATTGAGTGGTTGGCTTAATCATGAATCAATGCTAAACCCATCCATGCCGTATATTGTATTTATCAATGATTTACTGTATGTATACTTAAAAAAGCGGGCTTCATATTTTAGCAGCTTTGGGGCAGACAACGATGTGCCATTTCATGAATACCACTAAGAGATCATTTATAAATACAATATACGGCACGGACCTTTGTAGCGCTAATTCATGATTACACCAACAACTCCATACCCAGTGATTACGCTAAATTTTGAATACGCCTATTTATGTACACGTACAGTATTCACAGTATTCATGAATAAGCACATTATTGTCCATGCCAAAGCTGCTAAAATATGAAGCCCACTTTTTTTTTTTAAGTACACACACAGTACATTTACAGTGTATTTACGAAACAGTATCACTCCTAGTTGCTTCTGTTAAAAAAATCCTTTCTTTTCCTATGTTATGGGTGTGTGATAGAATGTTCTATCATTAAAATGATAAATGTCCTATGGACCCGGTTTAATGCTCCTTGGTCCATAATATACGTTAGGCTAAATCTTAGCCGCAACATTCCATGAAATCTAACATATGTAATGAGGGCCTGTCCTGAGACACAGTTAGATTATTCTAATTAGGTTTGTGGCAGTGAGAGAGAGGAGCAAGATTTATTAATAAAAACAAAATTAATAGTTGCAGAAAGCTTTTTCATGCACACAAGACATATCCTGCAGAATAGACTGAGACAGTTTCTGACACTTAATATTTGACATTTTATTTCAGAATGTTTCCTCAGTGTAAATTTGGGGACAAGTGTCTATACATACACCCTAACTGTAAGTTTGATGCCCAGTGTACTAGGAAGGATTGTCCATTCACTCATGCCAGCAAGAGAAACACATCTACCACAGTCATACAGAAAAGTAAGACATACGAATTTCAATCAGCATGTTTATGCTCAATTTGAAGCTTTTATAGTACAGTAAAGTATTTTGTCTGTCTGTCTGTTCATGTGTATTCTATTCAAGACTTTTAGCTCACCTGAGCTATAAGCTCAAATAGTTTTTCTGATTACCCCCATTGCCCAGCATCCATCATCCATGTCTGTCTCTCTACTATCCATCTATCTGCAAACTTGCACATTTTGAAAGCGCTTTAGCTGAAACATTTTTTGACACCAGTTGGATATCTACTTTCGTTATTGCTTTTCCGGATAACTGCCACCTTTTGGCCTATATGTAATTATGAAATTTTCAATATGTCAACAAGTTGTTTTAGATTAGTCTTAATATTATCCAGTACACTGTAAACCTGGAAATGTTCATGTGGAGGAAATTTTTGCAAATTCTGCAATTCCCAAAATTTATAACCATGTAAATGATTTCATTTAAGGTACCATACTAAACAATATAGTAACATATTTTGTAATTTCCTTAACTTCCTCAAAAATAGGCCCCAAGTGAATACTTTGTGCTTTGGAAATCACATAATTTTACCCGTAAAAATATCCACATTTAGGGTATAACTCTGGTTGCCTGATATTGCAAGGTCAATTAAAGTGGCAGTCCAGAAATATATTTCATGATGGAGAATTAGGAAGGAAGATAAAATTTTTGAAAAATTCCAGTGTATTATAATTACATACAACAATAATTGATCCATTATTAATAGGAGAAAGATTGCAGTCTAAATCTTTTGATTTCTGAATCAGAGAACTTTGATTTTGATACAGGTTAAAAAAAAATATAAATATTTCAACATGTTAGCCTTATATGCTTTGATTTGAATAAAACCTGGTACTTTAAGATTCATTTATTTCTGTATCTTTACTTTAAAATTTAATTTCAAAATGAATTTTAACATGCTGCTGTTTTCTTGATGTAAGTGATGTGTGTTATTCCTTTTCATTTCAGTTTCTTTTCATATCAAAATGAAAATGCTTAGAAGAAATTCTGAAATTTTTTCCTATATGTTTTTTCTATAGACTGTTCAAAGCAGTTGTGCTACTGTCTTTTTTAGAGAATTTTGGTGACAGTCATTGGGGGAAAAAAGTTTTAAATTCTAAATTTTTACTAATTTGTATATACTTGTAGATGTGGATTATACATATTCCTGAAAAAAAGTCTGTTGTCAGTTAGTTTTAGATGTAAATAGTAATAAATTTTACAGATATTCTTGTATGCAGTTTTCCATCAGTAGTAAAGTTAGATAACTCTTTGCAGTCGTCCAGGTCCCAGTCCCAATGGCAGCTTCCTATGGATCCTCATTCAACAAGGCTCCCACTCCCAACACACCAATTACCTGCAGGTTCTTCCCTAACTGCAGCAATGTCCAGTGTACCTTCTATCACCCTAAGGTATGATGTCAGGTCTTCCTGTAGGAGATAAAAGCACTTTTGTAACAACAAAAAAATGAAATGAGTGGCAGACAATGAAATCCTAATAGGAATGTCATCATTTGATGTAGAAAATATGTGAAACAGTTATATTATACTGAGGAGTTTAATGGTCCAGAATTAATTTGAAGATGACTTTCTATTTAGAATGCTCTGTTTTGTCCAGTACAATCCTTACGAGTAAAATTAGAACTTTGACAAATTCAGAATAAACAAACTTACCATAAGAGCATCATTTTGAAACATAAGTTTGATTTTGCACATTAGCTGTCAGTTCAGTTTTAATTATGATATCTATTGTGTTTCAGCCTTGTCGATTTGGAATCAAGTGCATGAATAAACCAACCTGTACTTTTTACCACCCTTCTGTGCCAAGCAAAAGTCAGCTGACATGGACTTCCACCAGTAAACGGTCTAGTATTCACATCAGGTAAGCTATTACATACAACTTTTCTATTTAAGATAGGTGCCCACCCTTCTCTCTGAATGAATTGTATGCCACCTTTTTTTTTTTTTTTTTTTTTTTTTCAAAATTTCCATTTTTATTTCAGCCAAAGACAGTTTGATGCTGGGGCAGCAGAATCATTACCTGTATCTCTAGGATAGAGAAGGAACTACCACAAAACTGTGTTTTCCTTAAACATCACAGCAAAACTTTTCAGTTTTGGGAAAACATATCAGTGTCACAAATGTCCTTCAAGACAAAGAAAACCTTAGAGTCAAAGTGTTGCAGTTACTGTATAGTCAAGTTCTAAGAGAAAATGTTCAGAGCTCCACTCTCTTCCTCAATGTCATCATGGATTTCAACAGAATAGTTTATTTCTTTAAACATATAATCACACTGCATGCTTATCAGCGTAATATGAAGTTTGAAGATAAAATTTGCATTTTTGTGTCGACTGCAGAGCAAAGCAATGCTTAGGGATCACTTTACCCGGCGTCTAGCTGTCTGTCTAGTTGTCTGTCCCTCTGTCACACCTTATATCTCAAGAACTGTAAGAGGAATGGAATTGATATTTTGCACATATATTGCTTGGCACTGTGACTTTTGTAAATTACCTTGTTACTGACCTCCTGACCCTTGACCTTGGATCTACTTTTCCAAACAGATCATAGTGCTGATATACAGCATATTTTTGACATTTAAGAGGTAAGTCTATGCTACTTAGCATGTGCACTGTTTGTCATAAAACATTATGAAAAATACCAACATTACAATCCATTTTACCTTGACCTTCGACGTACTTTACAAAAAATACCCCTAGCAGTTTGATTATATTAACTTGTGAGTTTTGAATTTTGAAAGGCAGGGTTTTGATATAAAGCATTTCCATGTTTATGAGCTCATGATACTGTACTTTGAAACTGTATGATATTCAGTTACCACACAAACTTATATTCAGATACTATGAAAATATATTGGAATCGGTATTCCACAATGGATTTTGTAGTCTGACAATTGCAGTAAAAGACAGACTGGAATCTCTTTTGGAGGATTGTTGGAAATACATATTAATAGACGATAAATGATTATTTCTAATAATTTCAATTTAATCATTCATTTGAGGGTTGGGAACCCATATTTTCTTTCATCTTCAGATTCTGTCGCAGTCTTATACTATTTTTCTTTGCAGGCAAATACATGAAAATAAATAGCTGACCATTCTTAGATTTATTTACATATTTAATGAAGCTTTAAAGCAGGCGACACATGTGTTCCTTGGAACACTCTAGTTTTATTTTTAACATGGTTAAACCCTTCATAAAGCAACAATGATTCATCTATGTAAACATATTATAATGTGTGTTAAATTCATACCATTGAGATGTAGACAAGCAACAAGATATGTTACAATGCAAAGGGCAGCAACTTGTAGACTGTACATCTATATATTAGTGATTATTCCCTAGATCCTGTCTGCAGATACAGCATTTGAATCATTCTTCATGATTGTTTTATAACAAATCTAAAATGCTGCACTCACACTTTGTATCTTTTGCCTTGTCAGATTTTAAATCTGGAACTAATAAAGAGTTTCCTGTTCACATTCTTCAGACTGCATTAATACTCCAAAAAAAAAAAAAGAAGTCATAGAAGTTTTAGTTAACATAACTGAATTTATAATAATAATTTAATTATTTTTGATCTAGATTACAGTTACTGGGAATTATTAAATTTTTTTTTGAACCAGTACAGGAATACCTACCATTATAGTTTAATAATATGTCCTATTTTTTTTCCCTTTTTTTTTGGTTTTTGTTTTGTTTCTTTGTTTTTTTTAAATATGTATAGTGTAACGAAAGAAATTAAAAGTGTGTGTGATGCTATTATTTTTTGTTGTGCGGCTCACAGGATTATGGATGATCAAGAAGTTCAGCGATTTTTTTTAATGTAAAAACAGAATAAATTAAAATACTAAAATAAAATACACATCGTATCACTAAATTGTTTCTGTATTTTATCATTTGGCTTGTGAACCCAGGGCAATATTAAACACATTTATCATTGTTGTATTATACAAATATTTAAATTAATTCCTGCATAAAGTGTAGTAAAACAATTTATTTCACGGTTTCTCAAATGTTAAATAGTTGTTAAAATTTGTGACTTTCTGATTGGGTGTTTACATTATGTTAAAGTGCTCTTTAACTCAAGATTTCACATGATGACTATAGTCTCAGTCATCCAGATGCTTGTAATACACATGTATTGCTTTTTGATAGAGTCAAAGCATCTTGATGATCAAGATTAGATTACGCAATAACCAAAGAAGTTCAAAAAGAAAAATGTAACTTGCTTGGAAATTGCAGATAGATAGTACCAGTAAGATTTGATGCTCTTCGTAAAAGGTCATACAAAACAGTTCTTAACACTAGGATTTTACTTTTTAAACATAAAGATTGGTATGAAAGAATGTCAAATTATGTTTAGTATAAAAAAAAAATGTCTTTACCTAATTGAGAAGTCAAATGTAAACTTGTGCACTTGATAAATTTGTTAACTGCTTAAAAATGTGAAAAATACCCTAGTTCACAATTACACCACCACTCCATCAAATAAACCTGGCTTTTTTCTATTATCCACAGGGCTAACAAAAGGTGTCGTGAAAAAAGGGCCACTCTGATAACCAGAATCTAAGTACTAGTAATAGGCCATCATGGTCACATCTTGTTTATAATATGTAATACAAAATATCTTTGTACATTAAATGTTCTTCAAAGACCAAGAGAGGCTAATGTGAGAGGGAATGGTTTTACTAATCGTGCTCAAGAACTATTGTTTTATTTAGACTGCATGTGGATATAGTGACAAATTTGGGCAAGTATGGGCAAGCAAATAGATCAACTTTAAGATTTGCTATTAAGTACTGAATTACTAAATTAATTATTTTGCTGATCCCTGATCATCCTTTTTCTCTTGCATTATGGCAACATAGCTTCATTTGTCAATTATCAGCTTATTTTGTTTTATTTTATACTTAAATTTTTGAATCTTTTGCAATGTTACATAATACTTAGGTGACTGTTAAGGCCCTTGGGCCTCTTGTTAAAAGATACCACCAAATTTTCACTTATTTTTGATCATCTCCCCTGAAAGAGGGTGTGGCCCTTCATTTTAACAAACTTTAATCCTCTTTACCCAAGAATGCTTTGTGGCAAGTTTGGTTGAAACTGGCCCAGTGGTTCTGGAGAAGAAGTCTAAAATGTGAAGTTTCCATATAAACATGACTAATCATAACTTTGCCATTCTTGAGAAGGAGAGTTCTAAAGCTTTTTCCCATGTAAAATTTTGATCACCAATAGTGGCCCCATCCTACCAAGGAGTCATGATTTGAACAAACTTGAATACACAAAACCTTAGAAAGCTTTCAATTGTTTAATTTCTTCTGGCTCAATGGTTCTTGAGAAGGTTTTTAATTAAATGACCCCACCCAATTTTCAGTATTTCTTAATTATCTTCCCTTGGAAGAGGATGTGATCTTCATTTGAACAAACTTGAATCCCCTTCTCCCCTTTACCCAAGGATACTCTGTGCAAAGTTGGTTGAAATTGGTTCTGGAGAAGAAGATGAGAATGTAAAAAAGTTTGATAACCATGCCAACAATGGCAACGACAACGATGAACAAATTTTTATCAGAAAAGCTCACTTGAGCCTTCAGATCAAGTGAGCTCAGGTGAGCTAAAAATCTTCTTCTCAAGAACAACAAGTCCATGATAAGTTATAGAAATGTGCAAAGATCCTCAGATAGTGCAGATTCAAATATTTTCATATCATGGCCCCCATGAGTAGGGTCGGACCACAAAATGAGATCTAGGTATATTTTGGGATTTTAGAGAAAAAAATCTTAAGAACAGCAAGGCCATGGTATGCAAGCATTCTGAGATAGTTTACATTCTTTTTTTTTTCTTTTTTTTATCAAATCATGGCTCCCAGGGCCTGAGGGGTAGGGTGGGGCTGCAATGATTGATCAGAGTTTTACAAAGGAATCAGTACATGTACTAGGAACAAATTCTTTCAAGATTACCAGGATCATACTTAATAGTATTTAAAATATGCAGAATTCCTAAATTGTGTGGATTCACTCAGAATTTTTTTTTAATTTGTGGACCATGGCATAAAGTGGGACTAAAATCAAAGATCAAATTTTGCATGAAAAAAAAAATCTTTTCCTTCTTTAAATTCAGAACAACAGGGCTTCATTAGTTATACTGAAATAGAGGCATCTCAATGTTGTGTAGATTCAAGTACAGTTAAATCATAACCCCTGTTGGCTAGGTTGGGGCCATAATATGACATAAAAATTTTTCATGGGAATTATTTTGAGTAAAACTTAAAAAAAAATGTGAATCAGATGATAAAGAACAGGAGGAACAAGATGACTCAAGCAAGCTTTGTGGCCCATTTGCCTCTTGATATCCCCCCCCCCCCCATCATTTTATTAGAAGGGACATATGGTCAAACTAAAGAAGTACAGGTGTCAGCAGTCACAGTACATAAAGAAAATCACACTTCAGACATTGTAGAATTTGAAATATAATTATAAACGTTAAATGTATATATAAAACTCAAAAGTATGATTTGTACAATCTATAGATGGCAGCTAGTATTTGGATAATATTTATATATGTTAATAAATGTATCATGCTTTGAATCATGCATGTCATCAAAGGATTTAAGTGTGCTAAAATATTTTACAATAATAATTTCATTCAGTCTAAAAAAATTGCTTAAATCACTTTTTATGGACGCGTATTCACAAGCAACTACTATAAATGACCAAATCTTTATCCTTGACCTAAAGTTTAAATAAATGTAGTTCTAAACCCATAAATTTAAATACCGTCAACACCCTTTAAAAAAAGTAAAGGTCAATGAGCAAAATTATCGGCGACGTTTTGATCAGCTGCGCGACCTTGCCATTTGGGCATTCGCCGAACAAAACGCACCATGTGCCGGTGACACAGCTGAGCAGGAACACAACAATGTTTGATAAGCTACCAAAGAGGCATAAATTTAGGTTTTCTCAAATCTTCGTAAATGGAATAGTGTTCATTCTCTCACTGTGTGCCTGTATTCCAAGCGGTTGGACTTTTAACTTCTTCAATTTTGAGTGTTTACTCCATGCCGACTTGTCAGTAACAGTGAAGACGAACGATAACAGTACTGTTGTTTTAGACTGGGGTGGATCTACGTGGGGGAAACCCTTTCAGTGTCATGTGGCTACATATGCCCCTGTAGTGGCTTCCATACATGCCTTTATTTGGATTTGGTTTTATTTACAAATGGAGGAACTCGACGGTAAAATGTAAATCGCCATGCATGTTACCTGTGAAAAGGTCACTGAGTGTTTATCACCTGTGCTGATTAATTCATGAAAATTAAATATGTCTTCTGTTTCTGTAGTAAAAGTAACCATGTTCATCTGTTTGATAAATTGTTAAGGATTTAGTTTCCTTTGAATATTGGATGGTGGCCAGTATTCAGTTTTATTGTTGTGAAAGGGGTCAAAGTTGTACATGTTACATGCTTTAAATGGCTTTTACTACGGTTCATTATTTTAGTAGGGCTGGGACGATACAACTTTTTCTATATCGATATGTATCCCGATATTTGAGCCACGATACGATATGTATCACGATATGTTTAATTGGTTATAAATCCTTTTTTATATTGAAGTGAACAAAACATTTCTTCACATATAAGAATAATTTATTCAAAGAAGTTGAATATCTGTTGTAAAACTTAATTATTTTGCACAAGTGGTCTTAATTATTATTTATTTCATATTTAGATTTATATTAAGCATATTTATTTTACATATTAAACCCAAAATGTTAAGTAAACAAAGAAAAACATTAGTCAGAATTTTTTGAGCGATATGTCGATATTTCTTCATATGTATCGATATGCGTATCATCCTCACATTGAATCGATATTATCGATATCTCGATATATCGTCCCAGCCCTATATTTTAGATTGATCTTTGTTAATCTTTTGATTTACAGACAGTCTTTACCGGCTCTCCTGTTTGGGTGTATACTTCATGGTTGCATAAGTTTAGCATTACTAGTCTCCAGCGGAATGCTGACTACTGGATTAAATAGCTTCTGTAAAAATCTACAGTCAAAGGTGCCATACAGGTAAAATGACTAGAACTAACCTTTGAAGTATAATTTAATTTGATGAAATGAACGATGACAGGAGCAAGTAATTTGCAATGCAGATATCTTTTACTGCCATGTATATATTTTTGAATACAGAGAAACAAAAACGGGAAAAATATTACGAATTCATACAAAATGGAAAAATATATATAGACTGCTGAAATGGCTTTCAAGGCATAGGCGTCGGAAACAAATCGAAAGGGGGGGGGGGTGATTGAAAGTTCAATGCCTATATTATGTCTATCTTTGCAAAAAAGAAGCCCCCCCCAGCTCCCCCCGATTCCGACGCCTATGCAAGAGACCGGCAATTTCTCAAAACTCAAGAGAATCTTTAAATATACAGCATATAAATTGAAGAGCTTGTTACATTTTCTGCACTGTACTTGTGATGTACAATACAGATCCGGCATATTTCAAAGTCTGTTCATCAGGCGCCTGCAAGTGCCCAAATCTAAACATTTCTACAAAGATGCAAAATGACTCTGATGGGTTGTGCTAGATGTATTTTGTCAGAGAGAATTTGTAATACGCAACTCATAAAAGTCATTCTACCTGGATTGTTATGGTTTTATGGTTAGATGAACAACATCAGATAATATGATAGTTTAAAAAAAAAAGCTAAATTTAGGATTCTTTGACATTTAATCCACCTATATGCTTTAATGGAACATGTTGTAGTCTCACACAATAAAAAAACACTCTTACTAAAAGCACCCCACTACCAGCTTGTATGTAATTGCAAGTAAAATGTGTCTGCTATTTTTTTTTCTCATAAAGAAGGGGGGTCGCCTTAAATAGGTCAATCTGCATCTAATGAATTTAAAATTGCAAAGTTAAGATTTCTTTAATTGTTCATTTTCAGTTGTTCAGAATTGGAGGATATGCAATGGACAACACTTAAGGGGAAGGAAGAGTTTTATAGATACATGAAAATTACAGAGGTATGTTGCAGTTGTCTAACCACCTTATGAAGTTTCAGCTGTATCTCTTTTGATTTCCTTTAAGGCCACAATCTTGTAGACCTTCTAGATCTAGGATATACACCAGGGAGGGGTGCACAAGGAAGATTTTTTTTTTATCCATACCAATAAGGTTGTATTCTTGTACTTATTTCACCCACGGTTCATCATGAAGCAACAATCATGCTCTGTTATAACCTGAGGTTTAATGGTTTTGCTAGATTTCTTTTTAATTATTTAAGGTAAAAATCAACGTCCTGTGAAAGTGTGACTAATTCATCAATATTTCTCTAGTGATAGGAATATTTTACGAGTGATAGTAAGAACCTGAGGGTGCTTAATTAAAGTAGTGAGTGTTGTCGACTGGAAGGTAATACATGTAGATCTTTTTTATCTTCAGATGGAGAAAGCTTGCTCAAGCTTGTTCATTTACCTCTTGTTTTATTTAGTTTGAATGTGAATCATAAAAAATGATTTAAAGTTAGCGCTGCTTTACTATTTTACAGAATTAATTTATTGTTCACGGGGCTATATAAAATATTTAGATGTGTCTTGCGCCGATAATAGACACATAGCATCGAGTTTTTTTGGGGGGGGTCTCGGGAGGGGGTATTACTGTATCTTTACATGTGTATTTACAAGCAAAATAATAAAAAATGATAATAAACACAGAAAAACTGAGACAGACCCCCCCCCCCAAAAAAAAATCACAGAAAAAAGAAAAGAAAATAAACGAGCAGGAGAGGAAGTTTCACAAAACTCACATTCTTAAAGGAGGGGACAGAATCCTACTCACATATTCGGCAGAAAACTGTTTGGGTACAATGGACTCAACATACTACTGCAACAAAAAAGGGGGTCTGGCCTTTAAATGAAAATTGACAGCGAAAACTCTTATTAAAGGACACCCCTCCATACTACGGACCTGGATAATTTTTTTGCATATTAAGAGATGTAGACTGAACCCAGAAATAAAATCCGCATTAAAAAAAAATCTTGAGTGAATCACACAACCTTTGAATTCCTTCTACAACAAGCGATGTTGATCTGAGTTAATTGAACCTCCAAATCAAACATTTTGGATTTGATCATCGCGTAAACTATATTTATGAAACTACCTAGGGAAGGACCTCTTCTGTCCGACTTTATGACGATGTTGCGGCAATGACTAGAACGTTTTTTTCCTTTCTTTTTCAGGTGACTAGCTGGTTCATTGCTTTAACAACAGCAGTATTAGCAGGGATGAATGGATATAGAGCCAAAAGTATAATTAGTGAACTCAAACATGACGGTTCAGAAACCGGATCTGTGTTACTACGAAAAGGGAAAGAATTCGGATCGTCCCATTTCTTTCTGGATGACTCGTTTTCGATTAGAAGTACTGGAAGTACGGCTGAGCGATCTTCCCAGATAGTCTGATGGCAGTGGTAGAAGCATTGATTCAAGAAAATTTTGTACTCGTTTCTTTGCTAAGTCAAAGTCGTGCAATATTTACTTTCTATTGGGTACACAAGTACCTTATTTGTGTTATGCATAAGATCGTATTCCTTCCATAGTATTTTCATAAAATACCTCATCTAAAATATATGCACATGATCACTTAGGGATTATTTATAAATCATATCATTAACAACTAGTATTAAGAACGGATAAGTTTGTATATAAGTTTGTGTTTTAATGTATTGTGGCAAAATTCATCTTGATGTATATATACATGTTTTTACGTTAACAATAAAAAAATAAAGCGAGAAAAAAGCGAAACAGTTGGGGAACTTACTCAAGCTGCAGATAAATCTTCAAATATATATTAACTGTCAATCAACATTTATACAACATGTATTATAAAAGCGAGAAACATTCGCTCGCAACTCTAGTTTTACGGATATTTATGGTCACGAAGCGGTGTAAGACTTTCAAAGCTTAACGAAACAGGAAATTTCGATGGCAAATATTGCGAATAAAAAAAAAGGTCAAGCATAATCGTTGTTTTAAAGTACAAGACATTGCAAACGCTGCATCATAAGGATTTTTTTTTTCAGAAAATATATCTGAGAAATCGCGTTGTGATGAAGTTCTAAAGTTTCAAAACTTTTAATAGATGTACAATGTATTACGTTTTCCATGGTAGTCTTGACTTTGAGTACGTAATGCTCTCAAACATCGCTTGACGTATGCTGTACCTTTCGTATCAGAGCAAGTGTTAATTTAGCACTGTATCGGAGCAAGTGTTAATTTAGCGCTGAAAAAGTCGTGATATTTCAAGTTCAAAAACCTTAAACTTTTGTCATTTCGTCGGCAACACACGAAACTCCAATGTATCCAAATGACTCCACGGTTTTGTATGTAGAATGTGACTTGATTTTCACAAGCACTTCATATACTATACTAATTACACAAGGTGTTAGTATTATACTATGGGGGTCAACTTTTTTTGTGTCAGAACTGAACGAGTGCCTGTGAATGTTTTGCAGGGACATCTGTCTCACACATACGAAAGCCCATAGAGCTCATTTTCATGGGTAAGAAAATACTTTCCTAGCGTTAAAACTTGAAATACACAAATTTCCGGGGAAAGGGGTGGGGGGCCCCCTGCTACACGTACACGTTGGTTTGCTAAACTTCTCTACTTTCGCAAATAAAACTTGTAAGATCCATCAAGTGACAAAGTTTGATGATTTTTAGCCTCTTATTATCCTAAATATTGAGATAAAAGTGTGAAATACCAAAATAGGTCACAGTGACCTACTTTTTGGTTGAAATACTCCAAGGACCGAAGATGCATCTCTAAGCCTCTTATTATTCGAAATAATTAGATATATCGGTGAAATTCCATTACTCTTTAGTTGACACACTCGGAGGACCCAACATGACCTACTTTTGGGGTTTCAAGGCCATATCCAATGTTTCAAATAAAAAAAGAGGCTTAAAATCATCAAACTTTGTAAGTTGATGCATCTTCAGTTCTCAGAGTGTGTCAACCAAAAAGAAGGCCTCATTCCAAAAAGTAGTCCGAAATATCTGACGTTTTCCAGGCTTTTTTCACGATTTTGATATTTTACATGCCAGGAAAACGTCAGAACCGGCGCCATTACGAAAACTGGAAATATCACCGTCTCCAACCGCAGCTGATTTTCGATACTTGCGAACCGAATTAAATGCCAAACTTACTATTTATCAGTACCACAATACTTCTAGTACTCACCAATATCGATGAAAAGAAAATATCACTCCACATTTCGATTTGGTCTTGCAAGAATTTAAAATGCACGAAATGAAAAGAAAACTCGACCCTCTGATAAACTGTTTTCACCAGATTGTATATTTCATAAACAAACCCATATAAATGATGTTGGTGAGTACTAAAGGCATTGTACTACTGATAAGTTGTGAATTCAGCATTTAATTCGGTTAGCAAGTATCGAAAATCAACCCGAGAATGCCGCCTCCAGTTGGAGGCGGTGAATTTCCAGTTTTTGTAATGGCGCCGGTTCTGACGTTTTCCTGGCACGTAAAATATCAAAATCGTGAAAAAAGCCTGGAAAACGTCAGATATTTCGGACTATCCAAAAAGTTGACCGACACAGCAGTGACAGCACATTGCACAATAGACGTAGTATTATCTCAAGAGCTAATAAATGAATAGAAAAATCAAAATATAAATATAAGCATATATAAATATAATTTTAAATTAATTTTACCACAGTTTGGTTAAATTAGCATCTAGTGATTAATGAAAAAATTACTAATATTGTAGTTGCTACATAACTCTAAACAGCTAAATACAATCACACACACTTATAGCAAACATGCTTTTAATAAATCGATGCTTACAGTAAAGTGATTTCATTCCCCATGACATTTAAACATATTGTAAACTTAATGGATATAACGAACTTAAAACAAAGCAAAATTATCTGTCCTTGGCACTTTGTTATTAGCGTGTTTCACTGTATTTGAAACATACAGGCCATTCACAAGACCTAGATATCTAGCATTTATATCCGCTAGGTCCTGGTCTCTTCCATTTCGTTTTGTTTCGATTTCACTTTGCAGTTTAAAAGTATCCTCAGTTGTTAGCATTGGATAGTAAGTAGCATTCATACCTCCATTTCATTGGCAACAGAATTTAAGAACAGTTTTTGTTTTTCATTTTTATGTATTTAAGTTGTGACAAGATAGTTTTAATATATCATTTAATATGTGGGTTTAATGCTCAAGATTCTTTTCAAGATCTAGCTCAACTATATATGTATTGAAAAGATTTTTTTTCATTCTTACCAAAATACTGATACAAAATAATAAATTACATGTATCTAAGCAGTTGCTTATTTTATAAGACAAATGCAACATACACTCAAACATCACAACACTTACACTAAAATCATAATACTTCAGTATAAACTGAAACTGCCCATGTTTTACATAATGCTTGGTATTACAAAATATTGAACGATTCAACAATAAAGTGCAATAAAAATAATCAGATAAAACAAATTAATCAGTTATTAAATTAATTTCTTAACCATTCTTCTATGGATACAAAATGAATTTAAAAATAAATAAAGCTAGAAAAACTTGGTAAAGTGATCAATGTGAACTTCATGAGGACTTTTTGGATTTTGAAGTTGATGTGGCACCTAATACTTTCTTTCTTTGGTTGTTCATGTACTTGAGCATGTTATATCCAGCTGAAAAGGAAAAAAAAAACCCATAAAATCATAGAGCTTTATAGTTCATTTAATATTGACTAGTCCTTACAAACTACTTGATACATAATTAAGAACCAACCAAAACTTTGTAGGAGTTTGATTTCTTCTCATTAATCATATTTAAGGAGGTTCCATCCTGTGCCTTTCAGCAGATTTTGGTCTGGACCTTTATTTCTAAAATTCTGCATCATTTTTAAGTTCTAACATTAAATCTGGATTCTACAATGCAAACTAAACTATATCCAATGAAAAAACCACGATTAAATTCCATCCAAATAGGATTAAGGCAGGAACTATATTTTGTGGTGGAAGTTTTTTTTAGAAGAAAATGATCAATTTTTCCCTTTTGAAATATATACAGTATTGTTAAGTTTAGATTCCTATTTTTCCATGCTAGTTGCACACAGAGCAGTTTTTTGCAGTGAAATGTTTTATACTGGTTCTTAAATATCTATTAAATTATTTCTTATGAATTATTTCATTATATAGTGACAAATACAGTAAATACATTCTGTAAGTCCAGGAAAAAATTGAGCCAATTTTAACATAAATTAACACTTTTTTAGTAATATCTAAAAATTTACATCATAGACCCCCACTTTTGTTTTTCTTTTCTGAGTATATAAGATAACTTTGAACAATCTGCTTAAATTCAGCAAAAGTTTAAGACTTTAAAATAATTTTCTTGCTTGTTAAATTTTTCATGTCGGAAAAATCACATTTTGTGAGTGCAGAAAGGTCAAAAAATTGATTATGCGAAGCAATTTGAAACTTTTTCTTAGGCACAATTTTAATGTGTCTTTTTTTTAAATAGACTAGTAGTTTATTTTGTCCCATGATTTATTTGGATAAAAACATTGGAGGGAAAATGTCGAAGATGTGATTTTTGATTTAGACACAAATTTCAGTGCAAAAAGGTCATATTAAATATACTGTAGCGCCAAAAAAAGCATATTGATCCCCATTTTTTGTTTTGATTTTTAATTAAGTTATGTGTGAAAACTAAAAATATACTTGACAAAAAAGTTTAAGACTTTAAATATCCGGATCCAACCTCGTTAATAACTTTACTGCAGAAAGAACAGTGAGAAATTCCCAAATACAGTCACTTAAGTATTCTTTATTCATTAGAGAGAATCAATATAAAACTTACCTATTAGCAAAACTGGTGGATATGCATACAGAAGCCATGGGAAATAAAATGCCATGTTGACACTGTTTGGTAGAAACAGGCAGAACCTTTCAGACATCTCATATAATGGAATGGCTAAAATGACTACAGCACCTGTAACAACATTCATGTAGGACTGCATGAGATCTCTTTTCCAGAAAGCCTCCATCTCATATTAGAATAATATAAAACGTAATGCATATTATTTCCCTTTTTTGCATAAAAATAGGGATACTTTATAGAATTTATGTTACTGTAAACATTGAAATTAGGATGTGAGGGTATTTTAAACTAAGAATGAGAAAATCTTTTGTGTAAATAGCTTCAAAATCTTGTAATCATCAAAATTACGACACATTTTTCTCACAGGATAAAATACATGCCTGTAAAATGTATTTGTGCAAATGATATTTCTCTTTTAAATATACAAGTACATGTGCATGTTTATCGAGTTATGTATATAAACATAACACTTTGAGATCTGATTGTTTACCTTCTAGAAATATGCCAAGAGGATAAAGTGGCATCCACATTGTATACCTCAACCATGTGACAATGTAAACTTTTTGATTTAGAACTGCTAACATGTAAAATGGATATCTGGAAAAAAAATGAGAACATCATGGCTTGGTTATAATCAAATGAACGAAGGATCAGAAAACAAGAACTATATGTTTATTACATGTATATGAAATTTTAAATGCATTTCTTATACCCCATTCATATATCATGCACAAATTGCATTTTAGAGCAAATTTACGCTTTTAGTCAAAATCATTGATCTCAATAAAAATCAATTAGAGAGTGAATGTCTTGTGTTTTTGCTGAGAGGCAAAAGAGGGAATGCTTAAAAGCATTGATTATTATAAATATCACAGTGCTCTGTGAATCATACACACAAAAATCTTCTGTTTGAGATAAACTTTGAGACATACCGGTATATTAAATATACATCTACTTAACATCATCATAATTGAGTAAGCTTTTTGTCTGTCTAGTGCCCTGTTTACACGAATGCGTATTAAATATTTAATTTGCAGTAAATTAATTCGAAGAGAAATTAGCATAGGGTCGGTACAGATGTTTAGTGATAAACTTAATTTTTCTTTGTTTTTCACTCATAAATTGCGTAAGTACTAACATCTGACCACTGACATGTGACAAGTGGCTTAATTTTGCTATTACGCATTCGTTAGAATTTAATTCAAATTAGCTTCGCTTACTGTTCACATAGAGCTAATGCAAAGTAATTTGATGCACAGTCGATTAATTCGAATTAAACTTATTCGCATGAAATTTTCTGTGTGAATGCAGTTCAAATTTAGTTCACAGTAACTTGCATTTAATTCGAAATAAACTCTCCCTGTGAACACGGCATAAAAATAACCATTAAATATTACCAAAAACAAGAGGCCCATGGGCCACATCGCTCACCTGAGAAACTTTGGCCATGCTGTTCATTACCAGACTTCCCCCCTTGTAATACCTATTGTGGCCCCACCCTACCCCCAGGGGCCATGATTTGAACAATTTAGAATCTACACTACCCCAGGATGCTTCCACATAAGTTTCAGTTTTTCTGGTCCAGTGGTTCTTGAGAAGATTTTAAAAGATTTTTCCAACATATTTCAATGTAAAACTTGGGATTCCCTATTGTGCCCCCTCCCCCCCATCCCCGGGGTCATGATTTGAACAATTTAGAGTGTACACTACTTGAGGATGCTTCCACATAAGTTTCAGCTTTTCTGGCTCAGTGGTTCTTGAGAAGAAGATTTTTAAAGATTTTTCCTATATATATTTCAACGTAAAACTTGTATTCCCTATTGTGGCCCCGCCCTACCCCCGGGGGTCATGATTTGAACAATTTAGAATCTACACTACCCCAGGATGCTTCCACATCATTTTCAGCTTTTCTGGCTCAGTTGTTCTTGAGAAGAAGATTTTTAAAAAAAATTTCCTATATATTTCAATGTAAAACTTGTATTTCCTATTGTGGCCTCGCCCTACCCCCGGGGGTCATGATTTGAACAATTTAGAATCTACACTACCTCAGAATGCTTCCACTTAAGTTTCAGCTTTTCTGGCCCAGTGGTTCTTGAGAAGAAGATTTTTAAAGATTTTTCCTATATATTTCAATGTAAAACTTGTATTTCCTATTGTGGCCCAGCCCTGCCCCCGGGGGTCATGATTTGAACAATTTAGAATCTACACTACCCCAGGATGCTTCCACATAAGTTTCAGCTTTTCTGGCTCAGTGGTTCTTGAGAAGAAGATTTTTCCTATATATTTTAATGTAAAACTTAGATTCCCTTTTGTGGCCCCGCCCTACCCCCGGGGGTCATGATTTTAACAATTTAGAATCTACACTATCCCAGGATGCTTCCACATAAGTTTCAGCTTTTCTGGCTCAGTGGTTCTTGAGAAGAAGATTTTTAAAGATTTTTCCTATATATTTCAATGTAAAACTTGTATTTTCTATTGTGGCCCCGCCCTACCCCCAGGGGTCATGATTTGAACAATTTAGAATCTAAACTACCCCAGGATGCTTCTACATAAGTTTCAGCTTTTCTGGCTCAGTGGTTCTTGAGAAGAAGATTTTTAAAGATTTTTCCTATATATTTCAATGTAAAACTTGTATTTTCTATTGTGGCCCCGCCCTACCCCCGGGGGTCATGATTTGAACAATTTAGAATCTACACTACCCCAGGATGCTTCCACATAAGTTTCAGCTTTTCTGGCTCAGTGGTTCTTGAGAAGAAGATTTTTCCTATATATTTTAATGTAAAACTTGGATTCCCTTTTGTGGCCCCGCCCTACCCCCGGGGGTCATGATTTTAACAATTTAGAATCTACACTATCCCAGGATGCTTCCACATAAGTTTCAGCTTTTCTGGCCCAGTGGTTCTTGAGAAGAAGATTTTTTTATGACCCCACCCTATTTTTGTCTTTTCTTGATTATCTCCCCTTGTAAGGGGACTTGGCTCTTTATTTTAACAATTTAAACTCCCCTTCCCCCAAGGATACTTTGTACCAAGTTTGGTTAAAATTGGCCCAGTGGTTCTTGAGAAGAAGTTGAAAATGTGAAAAGTTTACAGATGGACGGACGGACAGACGGACGGACGACGGACAACGGGTGATCAGAAAAACTCACTTGAGCTTTCAGCTCAGGTGAGCTAATGATAAATTTCTTACCTAACAACTTCTATCAAACTCCATGTTAAAAGCAAGAAAAATACTATAGGTGCAGTTTGTATGTTCTCTTCATGAAGAATTACAACAAATAGTATAAAATTTCTCCCAAGGACCTGTCAATGAAATTAACAGCACCTATCATACAATTAATATCCTATTATGACATTAAATTAATTGCACAGTTATGTTTTCATCCATGGATGAATGATCCCTGAACCTACTTGGTCAAAATAATTTCAGTCTTTACTCTTTTGTCATAAATTTATTTAATTATTAATCATCAAATCAATTAAAAATTTAACCACTAGGGCTGTCACGGTTCCAAAATTTTTCGGGTCGGGTCGGTTCTGTAAATTTTCGGTTCGGTTTTGGGTTTTTCGGGTCGGGTATTTAAATCTATTTTAAACCGTAATTTCATGAATTTAACTTGAAAAATCTTTATTTGTTACATTAAATTTACATTGAAAACAAGTCTTAACCATGCGAACGTCTAGACATCGGCGACTTGGCCTACTATTAGCCACAACCTGACCATTCCTGCTCGTTTTGATAATCATCTACTACTTCTGTGACAAGTGTTTTGTCATGGAATGGAGTAGATTTCAGTTGTGATGTTTATTTATCACTGTTATCTTCATCATTCCTTTGATTTCGACGCCATTTTTTGTATTGAACAGACTCTAATATATAAACCAGACCCAAACCGAAATCCGGAAAAATGGAACCGGAACCGAACCGAACAACTTGGACCGCGGTTCTCGGTTATTTCGGGTACTCATGACAGCCCTATTAACCACACATCTTCTTTTTTTTCTTTTCAAAGGAAAAATTTATGTGATCTTAAAGATTAATGAAGCAAACTACTTCTGAACAGATATATTAAATTAGATGAAGATGCAAACACCTGGATACGTAAATACCCATACAGACTTATTACTTATGTTTACAATATATTCATAAAGTCTTCATATTTAAATATAATCTTTAAAAAAAAAATCATCTCACTTTCAAGCCATACCTGCATTAAAGGGGCTATTGCACTTGATTTGACCAGCCCTAACATAGGATGAAGAATTTCCATGATGGCTGCTGTCTGACAAATCATTAAGGGATTTCCTACCAGGCTGAAGCTCGATGTCATTGCCACTGTAACCAATCACAGGTTATTATAAGTAGGTATATGCTTGAAATAACTTTAATTACATATAAATTTTACAATAATAAAAAAAATAAAGTATTGAATAGTACATCTTTTTTTTACCCAAATGATTTCATGAAATCATAATTCTTAATTTGTAAGTATTAACAGAAAACCTTTATTACTGCAAATTTCAAAACTTTCAAAAGTAGATATAAAGCTGAAGCTAATTACTTTGTTTGTCTCTGCAGAAATTTACAATAAGAACACTGCTGATGAAGGTGAAGCCAACAAATTGGAATAGATTGTAGAAAAACAGGTATGTTGTCTTCAGATCAGGTAAATCTACAAGAAAATGTTTGTAACTGCAGGAAAGAAAGACAACTGCTTTTTTTAGCATAAAAATCTAAGAATAATGCAAACATTCCAAAAATTTTTTTATCCGTATATACAGGTATCATATTCAAACAACTCTTTCAAAGGGATAAACTCCAGAGCATTGGGGAACAGTTAAAAGTCACTACCATCCAATGAAAACAATACTGGTAACCTACATGTAGCATATATAAATTTTTCAAACTTTTACCTGGGCCTTTAGCAGCATCTAAGTCCAGTTCTTTCTCAATCTGTTTCAAAACATCTTCCTCGGACATATTTTTTGCCTAAAAATAATATGCATACTTACATGTTCATGGAACAAAGTCTTCATTTTAAGCTTGTACAAACAATTTACGAAGACTTAATCAATGGTCATCTTTCTGATTACTCAGCTCTCTTTTTGAACTTATAAACATACTGTCCTTTAAAATTTACTAAAACAGAACCTAAGTGTAATGTCTTTTTTAAGTAAAATGTTTCAATTTGAAAACATGAAAAAAAACCTTGTCTTCTTCCTCTGATTCTGATTCATCTTCATACGCAACTTTGTCAAAATCAATTTTGAGCCAGGGGTACTTGATTTTTTGGTATGTGAGCCTTGGCCACACTTCACCACTCCCCTTCTTCTGGATGTAGAAGTCAATGCACCTATTCAACACTCTGTATCTACTTTTCTGCAACATCAAGAGAAATAATTCATTTTTAGACAATTAGCTTCCAATATTCACTCATCTCCATTAAGACATCTAGAAGAAATACTTTGTATCTTATTAACACTATATTGCTTAACTTGACTTCATTTTGTGCATTTCTCAATAATTCTTTTTTTCTTTTTATGCCCCTGGATCAAAAGATTCCGGGGGTATATTGTTTTTGTCCTGTCTGTCTGTTTGTCTGTTTATCTGTTTGTCCATTTGTCTGTTTGTCTGTCTGTCTGTTGTCAACTTTAACCTTGCCCATAACTTTTGATTGGTTGGAGCTATGACTTTCATATTTCACATGTGTATTCCTTGTGACAAGACCTTTCTTTGGGTACCATCATATTTGACCTTTTGACCTTGACCTTGGAGTTTGACCCACTTTTGCAAAATTTTATGAGACTTTAACCTTGGCCATAACTTCTGAACAGTTGGTGCTTGGGGTTTCAAACTTCACATGTGTATTCTTTGTGACAAGACCTTCCTTTGGATACCAACAACTTTTGACCTTGACCTTGGAGTTTGACCTACTTTTGAAAAACTTTAACCTTGGCCATAACTTTTGAACAGTTGGTGCTTAGGGTTTCAAACTTCACATGTGTATTCCTTGTGACAAGACCTTCCTCTGGATATCAACCACTTTGACCTTTTGACCTTGGAGTTTGACCTACTTTTGAAAAACTTTAACCTTGGCCATAACTTTTGAACAGTTGGTGCTTAGGGTTTCAAACGTCACATGTGTATTCCTTGTGACAAGACCTTCCTCTGGATATCAACCACTTTGACCCTTTTGACCTTGACCTAGGAGTTTGACCTACTTTTGAAAAACTTTAACCTTGGCCATAACTTTTGAATGGTTAGAGCTAGGGGTTTCATACTTTACACATATGTAATCCTTGCGACAAGACCTTCCTTTGGATACCAACCACCACTTTGACCTTTTGACCTTGACCTAGGAGTTTGACCTACTTTTGAAAAACTTTAACCTTGGCCATAACTTTTGAATGGTTGGTGCTAGGGCTTTCATACTTCACATATGTAATCCTTGTGACAAGATCTTCCTTTGGATACCAACCACTTTGACCTTGACCTTGACTTTTATTTAAAAAACTTTAACCTTCGCCATAACCTTTGAACAGTTGTATCTAGGTCTTTCAAATTTCACAGGTGTATTCCTCGAGACAAGACCTTTCTTTGGGTATCAACATTTTTTATCTTTTGGCCTGGATTTTGACTTGCATTTGAAGAAACTTTAACCTTCGCCATAAGCTGCCATACGGGGGCATCAGTGTTTCACAAACACATCTTGTTTTAATTATTCTTCAGCAGCTCTGAAAACCTTTTTGTCAATGACAACTCTTACATATTCCAGGGATAGACATTAACTTTCACATTCACTTGCCCTTCTGGCAAGTAAACTCAAACTTTGACTTGTCCAAATACAAAACTTGGTTGCCCAAAATTAAGAAAGAAGAAAATAACTGTAAATGTTATGATAAGAAAAGTGTGACCAGATACTGTCGTTATAGTAAGTTAAGCTGTATTTAGCCTGTAAACTCGCACTTCCATGCAACAATAACCTATAGAATAAAATTCATATTTTTAAAAATTATTTTTGGTTGGATCCTTCTGTAAATTTTGATTTTCAGAGATGAATTTGAAGCAATCCTAAAGAAAGACAGTTGCTATGAAACATAAATATCTTGATCAGGGTACATTGTCTTATATTCTGTGAATGAAGAAATAATCTAACTTCCTAATAAATAGGTGACAAAGTTGTTAGACATAAGAGTAAAGAAAACAGAATAACAAACCAAACAAATTCTTGAATGAACAGTATAATCCAGAAATGCTACTGAGGGATTCCGAATGCAAAAGCACTGTCAGTCATGTTTCCAGTGGAAATCAAGTGTTCTTATTGTTTTATTTATAAACTAAGGTAAGTAACAGATTAACACTATATGCTTCTATTAAAAATATAACTTGCCTTATTGAACAAGTACATTGAAAGTTTCACTTTCCTGAACTGAGAATTTACTTGCCCCGGGCATTTGGACAACTGTTAATGTTGATCCATCTCATCAGATTTTGAATCTGTGCTATACTTGTGTAACAGGAAAGGAGAAAATGTATGGCTGGACCGGGAATCGAACAAGGGACCCCTGCATCACTAGTCAGGTGCTCTACCGACTGAGCTACCCAGGCCGATATCCACGGCCCAAACCCATTACATTCCTCCCTCCTTAAATTGTCTTTGCCCTCGAAGACACAACCCAAGTTCTTATTAGCCCCTGGCAGGACTTTCACCTGCAAGTCCAGGGGTGGTCACGACACCAAATCTGTAACAGGAAAGGAGAAAATGTATGGCTGGACCGGGAATCAAACCCGGGACCCCTGCATCACTAGTCAGGTGCTCTATCGACTGAGCTACCCAGGCCGATATCCAAGGCCCAAACCCATTACACTTGGAATCTCTCATTTCCCAAGTGTGTCTAATGACCCCATCCTTTTATTGAACAGTGGAGTGTTGATAAATTAAGTCATTTCAATTTTCAAATGTGGCTGTTGATATTTTCTATTTTAGAATATGTTTTTATTGATATAACAACTATTTAAACAGTTTCTTACGTCTGGATCAACAGGATGGTAAAAATCTATATCCAGCTGATAAAAGTTGTTGCCCCTAACACCAATCCCATCGGCTTCAAATTTTAGCCCATCTTCAGTCAACTCGACTTTGGGATCCTGTGCATTAAATGGATGTTTTATTTTCAACATTTTTTAAAACTATTATTTCAGAGACATAAATAGCACGAAATATTCAATATGTATCTGATATTTTTAAATGAATTTTAGGCCTATAAGAAAATTACTAGAAATAGAACAGGTCCAGCACAATCTCTTGATTTAGCTATATAGCTTGAAATAGCTATATAGCTTTATTAAGCTATTCAAAATGGCTTGATAAAGCTATTTTTATACAGTTTTTCACAAAAATGTTTTTTGCAAGAAATAGACAAAAAGTCGCAAGTATTTGACTATTCATATATGTACTATGGGCTAACAAAACAACAACCGAAATCAAAGAGAGTTCTAACATTGCAGCATTTGAATACTTTTAAGCAAAAGATGTGTTTTCATTGTTTGAGTAACTGTACACTACCTTGTGTGCATTGAGGCATGGATAAGTATGATTCTGCTTCTGCCAAGTATTGCCCACAATCAACAAGCTGATTATTATGGCAAATGTGGTGCGCATGATATGATCAAAATTAAAACTTTAAAAGGTTAAAAGATTAAAATGATATTTCTTATTTATGGCTGGAAGGCGATCACCTGAGACCTGAAGGTCTCAAGTGTATTCGCCGAGACTATTCCCGATGGTAGTTTATTGCACTCTTGGATGGTACGAGGGAAATAGGAATACTTTTGATAATCGCTCTTACAAGATGGTATTTGGTAGGCTTTATGATGAGTATGTCGTGATTGACGTAATGATGGAATGAGTCGATGGCACTTGGTGATGGCAACTTCGTCATGAACAATTTTATAAAATAGGACGAGTCTGGATATTCGCCTACGTTCTTCAAGTGACTGCCATTGTAAGTGTTGAATCATGCTGTCTACACTCGATCTGTTGCCATGCCTGTTGCTTATGTATCTTGCAGCACGTCGTTGTACCATTTCTAGGTTATGGATGTCTTTTTGGGTGTAGGGATCCCAGACAGGTGCTGCGTACTCCAACAGGGGTCTGACTAACGATTTGTATGCACTCTCCTTTATTGAAGTTGAACTGATGTTCAAGTTACGACGGAGGAATCCCAAGGTCTTATTTCCTTTACCACAGATATTATTTATGTGGTCACTCCATTTCAGGTCAGATGTTATTAGACAGCCAAGGTATTTCGCCCTCTTTACGTGCTCGAGAGTATGGCCATGTAGCCTATATTGATGATGTATTGGGTTGGACTTCCTGCTGACCGATAGTACATTACACTTGTCTGGGTGGAATTCCATTTTCCACCTCCTTTCCCACATGCCCAATTTATCTAGGTCGGTCTGGAGTGTCTGGGTATCCAATTCTGATGTGACAGTAAGATAAGCAATAGTGTCATCAGCAAATAGTCTTACTGTGGCATTGAGGCCTTCTGGCATGTCATTTATGTAGAAAGGGAATAAGCATGGCCCAAGGACTGATCCTTGGGGCACGCCATACTCGACACTAACATAGCTGGACATCTCTCCATCAACAACTACGGCTTGTGTTCTGTTAGAGAGGAAGCTAGAAATCCAGTTGTTCACGTTGCCCTGGATCCCATAATGTCGGAGTTTATGGATGAGGAGGCTATGGCTAACTTTATCAAAAGCCTTAGAAAAATCCATAATCAATACATATGTCTGCTTTCCGGCAGCCATGTGGGTGGTTATGTCATCTATAAACTCAATGAGTGGGTTTCACAGGATCTTTTGCTACGGAAACCATGCTGGAGTGGGTACAGTATGTTGTTAAGGTCAGCATGCTGCATGATATGGCTGGTGACAATGTGTTCCATAAGCTTGCAGCAGATACATGTAAGGGAAATGGGTCGATAGTTCTCGGCCTTATATCTGTCACCCTTCTTGAAAATCGGACTGACATGTGCTTTACGCCACTCAGATGGAACCTCTCCACTTTGTAAAGATTTCCTGAAGATGATGGTGAGGATGGGGGATAGACTGTCAGCCAACTCCTTCAGCACTCTTGGTTTAATCCCATCTGGACCCGCTGCTTTATATGGATTCATATTTTTCATTAGTCTTAGAATTCCATTATGGGTGATGTGCAGATCTGGAGCAACTGGGTACTTTCCACTCATAGGACAGTCGCGCATGAATTTTTCAGTACTGATTTGTGTCTTCTCTGAGAATACCAACTGGAACTGTTTGTTTTTGTTCAGAACATCTGCCTGGTCAGTGGGATTGGCATGTAGAACTCCTTCACTGCGTATCAGTGAAATTCCATTGTTGTCAGTTCTTTGATGTTTTATATACGTCCAAAAGCGTTTTAGGCCACTATATTGGTCATTTTCTGTATCAATTAATTTTAATTATACGGCGACATTAAGTGTAAACAGGTAATTTTTTTATGTCTACTTTGGATGAATAAAAGAAACAATTTGAATGTATGCTTTGTTGCTGGGTTAATTTATTTAATGTGACCAAAAAAAAAAAAAAACGAAACGAAACATTTGTAATTTGAATTGACCATAAATTGAAAATGAAAGTAGATGAAAGTAGATCAAAATAAACAAGATGGATGCCAAGGGATCTAGAAGATTGAGTTTGAAGAGTATTAAGCTTTATTTAAGTGAATTTATATTTAATAAAAAGTTGAAACAGTAAGTAAATATTGTGAAATGATATGTCAGTTAACTTGTATTTCAAATAAACCTAAAAAAATCGAAATTATATGTAACGTAAGATGTATAATACATCCAATAATTTACACAAACGTCGTATCGTCAGCCGTCGGACATGAATTTCAGCCGATTATGGTTATTATAAAAGTCGCTTATTATAAAGTTTTGGCCTGACAAATAAACTAAGATAATAAACGAATTGTACTGTATCTATTTCAGCAAAGACAATGTCATGGTCCGAGATGCCTGGAATGGTTTCTACTCTGTTAAATTTTGATGGATTATTGGTCAGTATTAAGTCCAGGGTGTTGTCACCTCTTGTTGGGCATTCTACTAGCTGAACTAGGCCATTGTCACCTAAGATATCTACAAATTTGTAGTGGTTACTTGGCCAGGGTGTATTTGGCTTTAGTGTCTTGTTAGCCCAGTTCCATCCAGGTAGGTTGAAATCACCCGCAACAATTACACTTGCATTTCTTATCTGGTATACACGATTTAGACATTTACTTAGTTCATCTAGGGATTCTTCATTAGCTGTTTTAGGGTTATAATATGATGTGATGTATAGATCTTTCCGTCCAACTAGACTGATCTTCGTCCAGATGATTTCACAGTTTGAGTCTAGCTCAGGGACTGGTGAACTCAGGTAGTTTTTGTTAACAGCAATGAGCACTCCTCCTCCAGTAGTGGCACGGTCTTTACGGTACAGTTTGTAATCTGTTGGGAAAATTTGATTGTCAGTAATTGATGGATCTGTCCAGGTCTCAGTACACACAACAATGTCGGGTTTGGTGCTTTCGATGAGGTTTTTAATACGGCATTGTTTGGTCTTGATCGACTGGCAGTTTACATTGAGTAGCTTTATAGGAGATGTTTTTGGTCTAGGTTGATGTTTCCTAGTTGGTGTGGAGGTATGAACTGGCACAATGGTTGTATTTGGTACTGGACTAGCAATGGTTGAGTCTGATCACACACTAAAGGGGTTTGAAGTTAGGACTACTTGCTCAAAGCAGACTGAGCTGTAATTAGGACAGTCGCATATGATACAATCCCAAGCAATGGCACTGTTGTTAACAAGTTCATTATATGTCTTACTATGAACAGACTGACAGTTAGCATGGTACCACTGATTGCATGTTTCGCACATAAATTTGATTGCTTCTCATTGTACTGAATTATTACCAATCAATTATCTTGTTGACCATAATTGGCCTCCTTTATAATTTCATTGCAGAAATAACTGTATCAATTGCTTTATATAGCCTCAAAACATTTTAGTTAGAACTTTGAGTACAAAGTCTCTTAAGGAGACACAATTTGATGAGTGATTTTTACATGCATTATTTTCAGAAGAGTTCAAGGTTGAATATTATCACTGCACCAAGGTGCCACTTTTTGTGGATGCTGAGAAAATAGCACATTTAAGAAAAAAGTGTGATGAAATAGCTAAATCAAGCTATTCTGAATAGCTTAATAAAGCTATATAGCTAAATCAAGCTATATAGCTAAATCAAGAGATTGTGCCGGACCTGTAGAATATAAATTTACAGCTGATTTTTCAATAACTAGCAGCAGGGCGATTTCTCGATTGAATATAATAATAAGATAGAAAATATAATTTTTACGCCTTACAACAACATCCCTCAGATCAATTTTTAACGAGACATGGTCCGTTTTCTGACCCCAGTAAACGAAGGGGCTCAACCGCTCACTTTCCGCCATGATAAATAAAAATGGATAGCTCATACATCATTATATTCATTAATGTCGAAACACCAATTTTCGAAATTCTAACCAACAATCATGATTTTAGAGATCAAATATCAATTTGTTATATGTCTATGATTAATCTGGCTATTTCTCTAAAACACTGCTATCATATTCAAAATACTACCACAAACACTTTTTTGAATGACTTATCCATAGGGAACTAAATTTATTTTCGTGTTTCCCGCACTCCACGAAATGTGGCCACAGTTTAGTGAAAATTTGATAGTTTTTTCAATGAAATAGGTATGATTTGTTTTATTTACGACATGTGAATGGAGAATAATGCTTTGGTATCCATTCTGGATATTAAGAGAGTAAAAATTTTTGCATTCTTCATAGCATTTTGACGTTTGACAAGACTTCTTACACTTAGCTTTCCGTACATGCAGTCATTGAGATTTTCTGAGGTTGCATTCTTGCAACGTTGAGCAATAAAATGTAATGCGAAGATTCGACATATGCAAATTATTACAAGATAAATGTAATGCTGATCAAAGAGGGCATTACTTTAAAGTTTTTTGGAACTGCAAATAATCCGATATTTCCCCGGTTCCCCGCTGTTCATATTTTGACGTGCAGAATAGAGTCAGAGCAGATGCCTACCAGAAAAAGTGGAATTTTTTAAAGTAATGATGTTACAAATCTCCTTACCGTTGCATAATACAGTTTCATAATTTGAACTGACCATCCTTGTAGTCTCTGTAACAATGCAAAATTTAATAAACTGGTGATTATTGCATTTTGCATTATTACATTTTGTGTTGAGATCAACACAGAATGTATTAATGCAAAATGTAAAAAGAGACTTTAGGATTATCACATTTTGCGTTATTACATTTTGCATCGATATCAATGCAGAATGTAACCACCAGAAAGTGCATTATTACATTTTGCATTAATCCAAATGTAGAATGTAATAACGCAAAACGTAATAATCCAAAATCATGTTATTACATTTTGCAGTATTACATTCTGCATTGACCTTGATGCAAAATGTAATAATGGAAAATGCAATAATCGTGGTTTATTATATTTTGCATTGTTATTACATTTCGAGTTGTAACAAAGCACCTGATCAATAGAAACTTAATTTGAACTGAAATGGCTCTAATCTGGTAAGATTGTACATTGATGTTTGTTGGTGATCAAGAGAGGAAGAGTAAATTAGTGTGATTTAATATTCCTGCAAAAAAATTAGCCTTCAAGGTTTGGCTCTTGGCAAGAGGTAAGGAAAGTTATATCTTTCCTCATAAACATTTCAAATTATAAAATTTTAGGTAAGAGTTTGAGGAATCCTACATTAAACTAACAAGAACATGGCCTTTATACTACATTAATTTTTTTGTTGTTTCAGTTTTCAGTGGTACATCAGAAGCCATGGATACCCCTTTTCCCCGCACCATGGGAAGTCGCTCCACACATGCTATGTCTCTGCAGCTGCATCTACATGATCAGATGCTATCAAATTCAGAATTGTGTGATGTCGTTCTTGTTGTAGAGCAAGTGGTAAATATCTGTTCATTGATTATTAGTTAATATTTCTGTATTTGTTAAACAATTAAATGTAGTAAAGATTGTAAGATGCTGAAACTTATGAATCTCCTTTAAATCTGTTGTACATCAGACATTTAAATATCATAATGTAGATACCTGTATAGCTTACGTAGAGCTATAATCTTAAACAGTATGCTAGTCAAACCATAACAGTATTGATTCATTCAGTGCATTCATTGAGGCCTAAATAGCCTAGCTGCTAAAATCTTCTATGCAGTCCTGATGTCATATCAAATCTTTAGGAGCTATCATCCTAAGATTGAGGCCAAAACCATGAAAGTAAATAAGAACTTTGTATAACCACCTGCGTTCCTAAGCAGGTTGGAAGCAAATTTTGAGTTAGTGACCATTGGATCCCAAATTCAGGTCTTAGTGAGGCTCTATTGGTCTTATACTAATAGAAGTGCATTATATCTTTGACATTTTTTTATGCCTGCACAACTAGCAGAAATTGTTTTCATTAAAAATAATGAATAGCATACCCTCTAGGTCATTGTCATTTAGATAAATTCAGTGTCATTGAAGGGAGAAGTATGAGATTCTTCATCAAGTAATAACTATAAGTGAGAAATTAGAAATCTGCAATTTTAAAAAGAATGGAATGAATCTGGGCCATAACATTTAATACAGCAGAGCAACACAGAAATCATGATTACGATATGATACATATGGCATTAATCTTAATATGTTTTCTGCATAGGAAATTCGTGCCCATTGGAATGTGTTAGTGATGTGTCCCTACTTCCAATCTCTCTATGACAGTGGTTTGAAAGAAAAAACCTCAGGTAAAACATTGTCTTTAACGCTCATAATTTCATCTACATTAATATGTAATTCCTATATATATGTACACTCAGGGCTCGACATTAACTTTTTTTCCTACTTGTCCATTCGGACAAGTGACCAAGACATTTACTTGTCCGAACTTCAACTTCACTTGTCCGAAAATTTTTCAATAAAGATCTAATACTGTCAACTTGAAAACTAAACTAAAGTCCATTACACATGACATGTGCTTTATTGATTCGTCATGATATTGATATTTACAACAAACATATAAAACGAAATTTTATCTAGGTTTTCTGTCCTGACAACAACATAAATGTCCACAAGTGAACCAAACTTCGTTAAGTTTGATCCCGATCCAATGTGAATTCAATTAATAGCAATCCCTATCGGGATCGAAGTCCGGTTTTTATGTACAGCTTCCGTCTTGAAACTACCGATTAACTTTCACAGTCGTTCTTATTATTATTTAGAGACTCCTTTACATTAAAATGCACTTGTCCAATCGGACAAGTGCCCAGCAATATTCACCTGTGTGTAATTTTTTTTCACTGTTACTGGGCAAGCGGACAAGCGTTAATGTCGAGCCCTAACACTTTACAGAATTTGTAAGTAATGGAATAATATAATTGGGCATTATCATTTATGCAATGAAAATGCTTTCTTTGTTGTGTAATGCAGTAAAAACATGGTTCAGAAAACTAACTTATAATGAATTGACACTTATAGGGAAGTGATATTCATTCCCTTTGGTTTAAATCATGTGATAAAATTAATTTATATAATGAATTAAGTTTATAACAAATCAAAATTGGTTGTTCCTGGCATTTCTCTATACGTGTGTTTTACTGTATAATGATTGCAACATTGAAGAAAAAATACATAATCCTTGTTAGTAGGTAATGTATACTTTTTCTGTATTTAATGTACTGCTATATCCTGTATAACACAGCAAAGAAAGACTTTTTATTGTCTTTCATTAAATTATCCAAAGGGAAGTACATAAAAATATTGTATTATCCATCCATACATTACCAAAAAAACAGTTGACTTTAAGGTTTTGTCAAAGGTCAAGATGTCCAAAAAATAATTTTTACAACAGCTCCAAAACTATGTGAGATATAAGGTTAAAACTTTTACAGTTTATAAATATATCATTGATTAACAGATAGAAAGTATCACTTGAAAACAAATATTTAAAAAAATATATTTTTTGAGAAAAAAATTTCAAAAAATTTGCATATTTTTAAAAAAAAAATGCACCTGCTTAATTCTGTACTTTTAGTGAAAACCATCATTGCAGAAATAATATATGTTTATCAATGAAGGGCAAGTTGGACGTGAATGGTCTCTGAAAGGCTGTTATTGAAAGCATGACGTATAAAGAGAAGACCCCTATAAAATCCGCCATTTGCAATGTACTTTCGGTTTCAAATCTTAACATTTGGACAAAATAAACAGGGAAAACAATTTTTCAGAGGCTATCGAAGTCCAACTTGCCCTTCATTGATAAACATATATTGTTTCTGAATGATGGTTTTCACTAAAAGTATGGAATTAATTAGGTGTATTTTTTAAAAATATATGCATTTTTTAAAAAGAATTTTTCTCGATAAATATTTTTTAAAAGTATTTGTTATCAAGTGATACTTTCTATCTGTTAATCAATGATATATCTATAAAGTGTAAAAGTTTTAACTTTCTAAACCACATAGTTTTGGAGCTATTGTAAAAATAAATTTTTGGATATGTTGACCTTTGGCAAAACCTTAAAAATATTTTTCCATATTTGGATTTGCAGATGGCTTTAAAAAAAACTGCAGACCTGTCTACTTCATGCTTTACCCATTTATACCTTTACGATTTTTACCCCCCAAATATGCTCTACTGTTTAAGTGTCAAATCTCCCAATTTGCAGATTTCCACTATTTCAGGTTTTAAAATAAGACAGATACTTGAATTATAGGAAACAGAAAACAGAATATAGGAAATAAAATTTTCAAGCATTTATATCCAATTGAGTAACTGCCCAATTGACAGGCATAAAAGTTGAGTCTAAAATTGACAAAAAGGTTAGTTATGGAGATAACTTTGCACCTCTTCATGTGTAGTTGTCCTGAGTTGTTTTTATGCCCCGCCATGAATATGGCCGGGGCATATGGTGTTTGTCATGTCCGTCTTCCGTCCTTCCGTCTGTCCTTCTGTCACACTTTGTGTTTAGCTCTGTTCAAAGCTCAGTTTCAAAGAAACTTATCCAAGATATTTTTATCAAACTTCATATGCTGATAGATATTGATGAGAGCTATGCAACTGCATCAACATTTTTTGACCTTGACCTTTATTTTGACCTTGACCTCACTTTTCTTAAATTAGTGTTTAGCTCAGTTTTAAAGATACCATTCAAGAGAGTGTAATCAAACTTCATATGTTGATACATACTGATGTAAGCTATTTATAACTGCGTCAACATTTTTTGACCTTGACCTTTCTTTTGACCTTGACCTCACTTTTCTTAAATTAGTGTTTAGCTCAGTTTTAATGAAACCATTCAAGATATTTTTAACAAACTTCATATGCTGATACATACTGATGAGAGCTATTCAACTGCATCAATATTTGACCTTTCCTTTGACCTTGACCTCACTTTTCTTAGATAAGTTTTTAGCTCAGTTTTAAAGATACCATTCAAGAGAGTGTAATCAAACTTCATATGTTGATACATACTGATGTAAGCTATTCAACTGCATCAACTTTTCTTAAATTAGTGTTTAGCTCAGTTTTAATGAAACCATTCAAGATATTTTTAACAAACTTCATATGCTGATACATGATGAGAGCCATTCAACTGCATCAACATTTTTGAATTTGACCTTTCCTTTGACCTTGACCTCACTTTTCTTAAATTAGTGTCAAACTTCATATGCTGATACATACTGATGAGAGCATCAATATTTTTTTGCCTTGACCTTTCCTTTGACCTTGACGTCACTTTTCTTAAATAAGTGTTTTGGTCAGTTTTAAAGAAACCATTCATAATATTTTTATTAAACTTCATATGCAAATACATACTGATGTAACCTTTTCAACTGCATAAACAATTTTTGACCTTGACCTTTCCTTTAACCTTGACCTCACTTTTCTTAAATTAGTGTCAAACTTCATATGCTGATACATACTGATGAGAGCTATTCAACTGCATCAATATTTTTTCACCTTGACCTTTCCTTTGACCTTGACCTCACTTTTCTCAATTTGTTAAAATGTTCCATTACTAATATACTCTCTGCGGGGCATTCATGTCCTATGGACACATTTCTAGTTGTCAAGTATTATGTGAAGGTGTTGAGTATCTGTTTCATGTGAATTCACTTATATTTTCTGTATTGAAAGTAGAAAATCTGCATGCAAGCCAAATCTTGTGGACAAATTGGTAAAAAGAAAAAACTACTGATATTGTGTAGGCAGGTCAGAAACTGATCTAACTACCGGTGGTGGTAATTTTGAAGAAAATTTTAGTGCCCTAGATAAAGTCAATATGGTTTTCTTTAAAAAAGGAAAAATATTCAGTGGTTGTGTGAAATATTTGGAAATATTTAAGGGTAATATTTAAAAAAGTTTAAAATTTATAAATTTATTTCAGGAAAGATTCACCTTCAGATTGGCAAAGTCCCTGCAGTAAGGACAGCTATATCTTTCCTTTACACTGGGATAGCTGAGATATCTTACGAGACAGTCAAGGACATTCTTGAAGTGGCTGACTATTTCCAGATTGCAGACTTAAAATCATGCTGTCAAAGTTATTTAGAAAGTGTTACTATGACTGTCGAGAACTGCGTCCAAATGTGCTTATTATGCAGTCTGTATAACTTGGAATTTTACAACAAAGTATTTGAATTCTTAAGAGGACATTTGCCAGACATCATGCAACAGGAGGATGCTTTGACCTTGACTTCAGAATCTGTGTTGTCACTCCTTACTGATAAGACCTTGTCTTACGTAGAACAAATGCAATTTTTTGAGTTCATCCTGAAGTGGGTGGAATTTGATCAAGAGAATAGAGAGGAGTTCTTCCCCGGTTTGTTTTGTTCACTGGACTTGAAGAAGATTCCCAAGACTATTCTGGAGAAGGAGATTGAGACATATCCTCTAGTGGTGAAGAATGAAAAATGTCAGGTTCATGTCTTGAACACTAAAATGAAGTACATAACAGGACTCATCAAGGAAGATGATGGAATAAGGGAGGCAATTCTGGTGGCAGGAGGCTGCGGTCAGATAATGTTTGAAAACATCTTCCATATGTTTCCGTTCAGAGAGTCCATGGCTGTTAACACACTACTAGGATATGTATTGGCAGAAGACAGGTGGATTGAATTAGCACCACTCCCGTACCAAATGAAACAAGCTACAATAACATACTGTTCAAAAAAGAAGTGCTTGTATGTTTTTGATAATGGGCACCAAACTTTTTCCTCCAAAGTGTCTGTTTACAAATTTGATCTGAAGGAAATAAAATGGACAAGTTTTCTACTAGAAGTTCCAGAAAACTATGGCAATAACACGCTTCACACAATTCTAGCATGTGCAGGAAAATTGTATGCAATAATTTCCAGCCATGTCATTCAGTTTGGTCCTCAGCTGGTACACCAGTGGAGCACTTTTGTTATGGAAGTGAAAGAAGATGATTCTAAATGTGAAGTCAAGCAGACTCTGTTTCAACGAAATGAAAACTCCCATTTGGTGGCATGTGTAATGCAGGATAGGAAGATTTGTGTCTTGGCCAACAAAGTGGGAGCAAATCCCAAAAGGAGAGGAAAGTCTGCAAAATTTTATGTATATGATACGACTGTGAATAGAAAGTATGATCAATCCAAAGGTGCTTATTGGGACAATTTAATGATTCCTGTTGGAGATGAGATTGTGGTGACAAGAATGGGGAAGTGTTCATACACAAAATACTCAATGACAACACGAAAATGGAAGCATATCAAAGAGGAGTTTTTGCCTTTCCCAGCTAACCCCTTTGAAAGCGTAGAATACAGCACAATTTCTGATGGCAGCAACTTTTATGTCATTGGTGGCAAAGGCTTTAAGAACCCAGAGACCATATCTACAACATTCTGTTTCAATTTTGCTGAGAAGAAATGGAAGAATCTCCAGGAACTTCCTCAACCTCTTCGACAGAGTGCCACCTGTTTGATCCAGTTACCTAGCAACCTAACCAAATGCCACTTCAATTGTCCACACTGCAAATTCTCTCCATGTCGCAGCAGGGCCACCTATGACATCCACTATCCAATAGATGATGAAGATGAGGAAGATGAAGATGATTTTGATGATGGCAGTGGATACACCTATGAAGATGATTACGCCTCCGGACTATGGAGTGATGATGTACCAGACTATTTGGAAGATGAAGATTATGATGTTTGGTTGTGGTGAATTTACTGTCTTCTTGATGCTACACGTTACAGTCAGTGCCAATGGTTTGAGAAAACAACTCTTTCTTTCCAGTTTGTCAACATTTTCTAATATATGTAAAGAGATGTACAGCATATGTTTTTAAGTAGCTTTAAAGATGTTCTTATTTTAGTGGTTTAAAATTTGTTCAGTTTGTTTTATAACCTCTGATATAGGCGAGACTATAGCAAGTACATGTTTTGTAGTTTTGGTTTTGATTAATGCAGATGAGGATATTGTGTTACAAATATAAAACTGTACAAAGTACTTTTTTTAGCTCACCTGAGCCAAAAGCTCAAGTGAGCTTTTCTGATCGAAATTTGTCTGTTGTTGGCATTGTCGTTAACTTTTTTACATTTTCATCTTCTTCTCCAGAACTACTGGGCCAATTTCAATCAAACTTGGCACAAAGTAAGAACCAATGGGCCAGGAAAGATGAAACTCATGTGGAATTATTGTCAGGTAGTGTAGATTCAAGTTTCTTCAAATCATGACCCCGGGGGTAGGGTGGGGCCACAATGGACGATCAAAGTTTTACATAGGAATATATAGGAAAAATCTTCAAAAATCAGCAAAGCTATGATTGGTCATATTTATATGGAAGCATCCTCAGGTGGTGTAGATTCAAGATTGTTCAAATTATGATCCCCAGGGGTAGGGTGGGGACACAATGGACGGTCAAAGTATAACATAGGTGTATATATAGGAAAAATCTTCAAAAATCTTCTTCTCAAGAACAGCAAAGCTATGATTGGTCATATTTATGTGGAAGCATCCTCAGGTGGTGTAGATTCAAGTTTGTTCAAATCATGACCCCCAGGGGTAGGGTGGGGCCACAATGAACGATCAAAGTTTTACATAGGAATATATAGGAAAAATCTTTAAAAATCTTCTCAAGAACAGCAAAGCCACTGTTTGTAATATTTATATGGAAGCATCCTCAGATAGTATAGATTCAAATTTGTTCAAATCATGACCTCCAGGGGTAGGGTGGGGCCACAATGAAAGTTCAAACTTGTAGAGAAAAATGTCACAGTCAAAAAATTATGTAAGCATCCTTAATAAGTGTAGATTTAATTTTGTTCATATCATACCCCCACTCCCTTTTAGGGTAGGTTGGGACCACTTATGCATTTAAGCTTTTCAATACTAAACTGATTTTTTCTTTTTTCCTAGCCACAGTGCTCAGGTGAGCGATGTGGCCCCTGGGCCTCTTGTTGGTCTGTTGAGAGTTTTAATGCTCAGACATAATTAACCTTCAGAATTCTTGTGTACATTTCATAATACTGTCAGAAAGTACCAGTATTTCTGCTCTTTGTGCATAAAATCTAAATTGAAAAGAAACCAAGTTATGGTGTTATTTTCAGATTATTGAAAAGTTCAGAAAACTTGGTGGTAAATTATGTAAAAATGATGTTAACAGTATATTGTAAAAAGACTAATGTATGCACTGCATTTGTAGTTAAAAAAAAAAGCTTTAAGATGGAAATTTTGCATTCATTTTATGAAGATTTTTGAATTCTATGGAGCAGCACCATAATATGTACATGTAATCAGTAATTTCTACTGCAGTATATTTTACATACATCATTTTGGGGGAGTTTTCACTAATATAAAGCACAATGACAAATATCAATGGAGAATATAGAAATGTATAAATTTTGCCAAAATTACATTTTTGTAGTTGATTAAGATTGAGTTATCTATTTATTTCCTGAGTAGGTTCCCACATTAATAAAATATATTAAAACTATCCCTTTGGTAATTCAAATGTTTAAAGTTTTTGTTTTTGAAATAATAGAAAAGAAAACTTTTCTTGCTTTTGTTTTCTGTTTTTTTTTAATTATACATGTACCATAAAACTACATTATTTGTCACTGTTAAAACTAAGACTTCATGCTCTTCACCTGTATATGAATTGTTAATTCTGTCCAGAGGAAGCCTGTCATTTTCCTGTGTAAAATATAAAATATCAGTCCCAGTCATATATTTCTTTCGTACTGATTGTTTTTCTCTAAAGATGTTGATATTTACATGTATTAGGATTCATGCTCTATTTTCTAAATTTGGTTTTTCATTTCGTTTTGTTTGTATAGTTAGCTTAGTGCGGAAATGTGAATAAAAAATAAGAAGATTGTCATGTCAAATAATTTTGTATACAGTACTTGAAATTTTAACCTGGGACACTGACGCCGAGGGTGTTACATAAGCTCCTCCAACTTTGTTGAGATGAGCTAAAAATTAAACAACAGAAAGATACAAAAATTTGCTATAAAATTACTGCATTTCTTGTTCTTTGTTAAATACAAATGAGTGAATGTACAGTTTCACCAGAGACTATTGATCACTGATATGTCTCATTTTAGGCTAAAAAAGGACTTAAATGCAGTACTTAACAAGAGTTATTCAAGTCAAAAAACTATTCAGAAGTGCTTTCTGATCTCAATGAATTTTTTTTACACTGTTTCTAAGAACAGGATCTAACAAATATTTATGCCCCCCGATCGAAAGATCCCGAGGGTATATTGTTTTTGTCCTGTCAGTCTGTTTGTCTGTCTGTCTGTTCTCAACTTTAACCTTGCCCATAACTTTTGATTGGTTGGAGCTGTGACTTTCATATTTCACATGTGTATTCCTTTCTTTGGGTACCATCATATTTGACATTGACCTTGGAGTTTGACCCACTTTTGCAAAATTTTATGAGACTTTAACCTTGGCCATAACTTCTGAACAGTTGGTGCTTGGGGTTTCAAACTTCACATGTGTATTCTTTGTGACAAGGCCTTCCTTTGGATACCAACAACTTTGACCTTTTGACCTTGACCTTGGAGTTTGACTTACTTTTGAAAAACTTTCTTGGCCATAACTTTTGAATGGTTGGTGCTTGGGGTTTCAAACTTTTGTGACAAGACCTTCCTCTGGATATCAACCTCTTTGACCTTGACCTATGAGTTTGACCTACTTTTGAAAACTTTTAACCTTGGCCATAACTTTTGAATGGTTGATGCTAGGGCTTTCATACTTCAAATATGTAATCCTTGTGACATCACCTTCCTTTGGATACCAACCACTTTGACCTTGACATAGGAGTTTGACCTACTTTTGAAAAACTTTAACCTTGGCCATAACTTTTGAATGGTTGGTGCTAGGGCTTTTATACTTCACATATTTAATCCTTGTGACAAGACCTTCCTTTGGATACCAACCATTTTGACCTTGACGTTTTACTTACTTTTAAAAATCTTTAACCTACGCCATAACTTTTAAACAGTTGCAGCTAGGGCTTTCAAAATTTCACAGGTATATTCCTTGAGACAAGACCTTTCTTACCAACATTTTTTATCTTTTGGCCTGGATTTTGACTTGCATTTGAGAAACTTTAACCTTCGCCATAAGCTGCCATACGAGGGTATCAGTGTTTCACAAACACATCTTGTTTCAAAATGTAAATAGCCTCAATTTTTAGTCCAACTGAGCAAAAGGCTCAAGTGAGGGAGTGTCAATAAATAAAAGTAGGTCACTGTGACCTACTTTTGACCTCACAAATTGCTGCACCAACAATTCAGGTTTGGTGACATGTTACAGTTTTCAAAATATATAGCCTATATATAGCATCTTTTGGTATGGTCAGTTTTCACTTGATCATGTTGATAGATTATTTTCCAAATAAAGACAATGCTTTATACAATTTTTTTCTAAGTTCTAAAATTCAGAAAGTAAATCATTGCAACCTGCTTTTAAGTTGACATACCCCAAGGCACCTAGATGCTTGAACTGAAAAGGTTTGATACTTCTTATCCTGGTATCTGAAATGCTTAAATAAAATGTGTTTAAAAAGATTAGCCATGAAATTCAGAAAGAAGGTCACTGTGACCTACTTTTTAGCTCACCTGAGCTGAAAGCTCAAGTGAGCTTTTCTGATCACCCGTTGTCCATCTGTCTGTCTCTCTGTAAACTTATCACATTTTCAACTTCTTCTCAAGAACCACTAGGCCAATTTTAACCATAGTTGGTACAAAGCATCCTTGGATAAAGGGAAAGCTAAATTGTTAAAATGAAGGGTCTAGCCCCCTTACAAGGGGAGATAATCAAGAAAAGGCAAAAATAGGGTGGGATCATAAATATATCTTTTTCTCAAGAACCACTGGGCCAGAAAATCTGAAACTTATGTGGAAGCATCCTGGGATAGTGTAGATTCTAAATTGTAAAAATCATGACCCCGGGGTAGGGCGGGGCCACAATAGGAATCCAAGTTTTTTATTGAAATATATAGAAAAAATCTTCTTCTCAAGAACTATTGGGCCAGAAAAGCTGAAACTTATGTGGAAGCATCATTTAGTAGAATAAATTCTAAATTGTTAAAATAATGACCCCCAGGGATAGGTCGGGGCCACAAGAAGGAATCCGTGTTTTACATTGAAATATTCGGAAATTTGTTTTAAAATCTTCTCAAGAACTACTGGGCCAGAAAAGCTGAAACTTATGTAGATGCATCCTGGGGTAGTGTAGATTCTAAATTATTAAAATCATGACCCCCGGGGGTAAGGCGGGGCCACAATAGGGAATCCAAGTTTTTCATTTAAATATATAGAAAAAATCTTTAAAAATCTTCTCAAGAACCACTGGGCCAGAAAAGCTGAAACTTATGTGGAAGCATCTTGGGGTAGTGTAGAATCTAAATTGTTAAAATCATGACCCCTGGGTGTAGGGGGGCACAATAGGAAATCCATTTTTACAATGAAATATATAGAAAAAAAAATCTCTAAAAATCTCCTCTTCAAGAATCACTGGGCCAGAAAAACTTAAACTTATGTGGAAGAATCCTTGGTTAGTGTAGATTACAAATTGTTTAAATCATTGCCCCCAGGGGTAGGGCGGGGCTACAATAGGTAATCCAAGTTTTACATTGAAATATATGGAAAAAATCTTCTTCTCAACAACCACTAAGGTCACAAGGGGGTCACAATAGGGAATCTAATATATAATGTGAAATACATGTGTATATACAAAAAATCTTTAAAGATCTCCCTTTCAAGAACCACTATGCCAGAAATACTGAAATTTATGTGGAAGCATCCTGTTGTAATGTAGATTACAAATTGTAAAAATCATGACCCCTGGGAGATAGGATGGGGCCACAGTAGGTATTACATGGGGTAAAGTGGGCCTCTTGTTATGTGACACTGAGGTTTTAGGAATTAAGATGCTTCAAGTGACAAGGTTTGACCATTCCAGGCTTTACAGTGTCCAAAATATAAACAACGAAAACAATTTGAAAATGAATAGTTCTTGATAATAGAAGGTCACATTGACACATCCCTGGACTTAAGAAGCTTTGACTTTTTTATGCCCCTGTATCGAAGATTCGGGGGTATATAGTTTTTGCCCTGTCCGTCCATCTGTTTGTCCGCAAAAACTTTAACATTGCCCGTAACTTTTGATTGGTTGGAGCTATGGCTTTCATATTTCACATGTGTATTCCTTGTGACAAGACCTTTCTTTGAGTACCACCATATTTGACCTTTTGACCTTGGAGTTTGACCTAGTTTTACAAAATTTTACCCAACTTTAACCTTGGCCATAACTTTTTAACAGTTGGAGCTAGGGCTTTCATACTTCACATGTGTAATCCTTGTGACAAGACCTTCCTTTGGATACCAACAACTTTGACCCTTTGACCTTGGAGTTTGACCTACTTTTGAAAAACTTTAATATTGGCCATAACTTTTGAACAATTGGTGCTAGGGCTTTCATACTTCACATATGTAATCCTTGTGACAAGTCCTTCCTTTGGATACCAACAACTTTGACCCTTTGACCTTGGAGTTTGACCTACTTTTGAAAAACTTTAACCTTGGCTATAACTTGTGAACCGTTGGAGCTAGGGCTTTCATATTTCTCATATGTAATCCTTGTGACAAGACCTTCCTTTGGATACCAACAACTTTGACCCTTTGACCTTGGAGTTTGACCTACTTTTGGAAAACTTAAACCTTGGTCATAACTTTTGAACGATTGATGCTTCAGCTTTCATATTTCACCAGTATATTTCTTGTGAGAAGGCCTTTCCTTAGGCACCATTATTTTTTACCATTTGACCTTGATGTTTGACTTACTTTTGAAAAACTTTAACCTTTTCCATATCTATTCAATGGTTGCTGCTAGGGCTCTCACATTTCACATGCAGGTATATTCCTCGAGACAAAACCTTACTTTGGGTACCAACATATTTGAATTGCATTTGAGAAAGTTTAACCTTTCCTATAAGTTGCCATATGGGGGCATCAGTGTTTCACAAACACATCTTGTAGTTTTGGAAATCCTAAGTTCATAGTGTTCAAAATAGATAGGTTAATGATTCTATAAAGATAAGTCATAAAAATCAGAAAGTAGGTTACTGTAACCTGTTTTTTAGTTGACATGCCCCTACATCCCAAGATGCAGCAAAATGACCAAGATTTAATGATTGTAAACCCTCAGAATCTGAAATTGTTTAAAAGTAAGTCATGGTGACTTACAGTACTTTTTGATTGAAATACTCCAAGGCGCCATGATGCAAATCAAGTTTTGATTATCCTTGGCTTCAAAGTGTCCAAGATAGGCATCAAATCAATTTGAAAATGAATAGCTATAAAATTCATAAAAGTAAGTTAACCCAAGGTCTTAAGATTCATCAATTGACAAGAATTGATGATCATAGTCCTGAAAGTGGGCAAAATATCAGAGTTTTAACAAGACATTTTTAAAGTCAATTTTGAAGTGACCTCAAGACCACTTCTTTTACCCTTGGGTGATGCCTTTAATAATTTTTAATCTACAACATATCCTAAAAGTTTGGTGATAATCTGCCCAGTGGTTCATTGAGCTTTTTCTAGCATTCACCACTTTTTAAATAATATTTCCTTAATTATCTCACCTCGTTAAGGATCACATCCCTTTTATTAGTAAATGAAAGCCATACCCTGTAACAAATTTGATAAAAATTGGCCAATAGGTTCTTTGAGATATGGCCAAGATTCCAAAAAAATTTACACACATGACATGCCAGGCCATAGTATTAGCTCCTAGAGGCCTTGACCCAGAAGACCTAAAGGTTTTCCTCTAAAGAACCAATGGGCCAGAAAAGGTGAAACATGAAAGCTTCCTTACATAGCATAGATTCAAGTCTCATCAAATCATGGCCGCCAGGGGTAAGGTTGGGCCACAATTGAGGATCAAAGTTTAACATGGGAATGTAAGGGAAAATTCTTCTAAATTACCGGTAGTCATAAATAAACATCCTCTGGTACTGCATACTCTACTTTCTTCAAATTATTTGTCCTTGGGGCCACATTAAGACATCAAAGTTTTACATGGGAATATACATATGTCTAGAAAAAATGTTCTCAATAAGAAAAAAGGGGCAATGATTAGTCATATTAATAAACAAAACTCTTTAGGTAGTGTAGATTCAAGCTTGTGGGATGGTCCACAATAGGGGATCTTAGTTTTACAAATACTTTGCAGATTCAGATTTGTTTGGGTTAGGATGGGGTCGACACATGGGATCAACATTTTTCATGTGCTTTAAAAAAGAAAAGGGGGGCGGTTCATCTGAAAAGCAGCAGGGCAAATGTGACACTTACGGCTACAAATGGGTCATTCAAGTTGTATCTATAATTTGATCAGGATTCTGTACACGTCTTCAAATGAGTAATATCCATAACATTTCATGGTTCCATATTGAATAGTGATTTAGAAATACCACAAACAATCATGCATTACTGTTTCCAAAACACAAGAATTGGTATTCAGATTATTACATTTATTATACAACTTAAAACCTTTGTTAGAGGTTGCTGAACTCTATGGTAAAATGAACAATGGAATTAATGAGACATGTGTCACAGATAAACTCTTCCTTAAAATGATATGGAATTTAAAAATCCAAACAAAAACAAGCTTTCACAGAGTACTATAAAATGATTAATACATATAGTACACATCGTCGGCATAAACTTGAAAGTCACTAGAAAATTACTTGCAAGTTGCTAGAAAATGACATGATTACACGCAATACTGATCAGGGTAGTTCTAAAAAATGACAATCTGTACTCTCCTCACAGTGTGCTTGTCCAGCATTATTCAGTTGTACATTAAAATGTGTCTTTATACAAATAATACCACATAACTTCATATTTTCACCCACAAAGCATTTACCCCGAAATAAGAGACATTGCACATAACTTTTTTCTTTTTGGAAATCTGAAAATTTTGATAACAAAGATACTAATATCATGGTATATCAATTCATGTGGCAGCTACTTAAGTCTTACACAATAATCTTATCACATGGCAGGAAACATTTTCTTTTTAATTTGCATATGTCTATAGCACATTCGTTTGTGGACAGAATGCCTTCAACTTAATATTCCCCCCACTTTTAAATCTAACAAAAATCTCATGTTTATAAATGTGGCCAAAACAAAAAGTAGCAATGAAGATTGTCCCAATAAAAAAAGTTTTTTCAAGGCCTAACATAAAATATCAGAGGTAAAATTATCTGGGAAACATTTATTGAAAGATCTACAGTAACATATACATATATAACAGATAGATCCCTTGAATCAAAGACTTGCATCTAATATTAATAACATGTTTGGAGGCTTTGGTACATGTATTGTTAAATATTGATTTTCAACAAAAATTAAAAAAAAATGTATGTTAGAGTACCAACACTCTGCTTCCGTTCACAAATACATGCATGACCAAGGTTTCCTCCATCTATAAAACCAATTAAAAAACAATAAAACAACTAAAAAATATTGCACTGATCACTTGCAACCCTCTTAAAAATTTACACCCACAAAAAATGTATCACTTGATATAAAGAAATTTCAGTCTGCCAATAATTCTAAGAATATGATATAGTTAATGTAAAGCAGGAAAGACATCAACATATATATCTAGAGAAAATCTGACTACTGTCATAAACAATCTCACAATCCTTCTTCCATCAACTCTCCAACAAATGCTGCATGTGTCCCATGTTTTATCCCTGTAGTCTATTTTTAGCACAATGCTCAACATATTTTTTTTATCAACATACAGGATTTGAGTGAAATACTGTTTCACAAACTGTTAAATAAAATATAATCTGCAAAAAATTAGCACATTTCTACTGAACCCTACAATTTCAATGCAAGATAAAAGCCATGCTGTGAAAACAACTTTAGGAATGAAAGTTTTTTTTTCAGATGCAAAACCATCCTGAAAAAAATTGCATTTATCAGTGACAACCCTCTGTCAAAGAAATTCAATAAATTAATCCATGTTTTTCTCATAGTGATTATAATATATCTATAGTAATCTATAAATATAATCATTAGATCATAAGTTATCTACTGAACTAAAAAAAATTATTTTGTCTCAATTTTGAAGTTTTTTTTTGCTTGAGGGTCAATCAACACCATATCTTGCATAAATAAGTTCATCTTTCATTCAGTTTATGCAAAAATTCAAGCAAGTTTATTCTTCTCCATCATGGAAAAGCATAGAGCATTCAACAGCCTTCAGAACTTGGTGTTAATAAATTATGAAAAGGAATGCCAAGCTTTATTTCTTCACTTAAATGGAACTTAGCTTTGTGGTTCATGTATTTGTGTATATCATAAATTTACTATCAAGAAAAAAAAACCCCTCTCAATTAAGAGGTACATGTACTTGTACAGGCATGGAATATCACACATCTTCTAAAACTAAATCAGAAAAGTTTATTTTACTGGTATTATGTTTGAATTTTCAGATATTCATTCCTCCTACTAGCACTTACTTAGTGAAAATACAATTTGTTATCAAAGAAAAAAAAAGTGAGATCATTACCAGATTATGATAACATTTGAAGACTGGGTTATAACCCAGAGTTCTAAGTAAAGGGCACAACAAGACAGGCTTAAGTTATATGACACCACAGACTTTTGTCCATTCAAGTATTCATTTCAGGTAACTTTCTGTACCTTATTAACACTTGATAGTGTACAAACAATATAATTCTAAAATTTTCATGTTGGTATCAGATATGCAACAGAAAAATACTTAAATAGCACCTGTGTAAGAAATTCATAACTGTATCACTGAATTTTTACACCGGATGCAACTTGACTAGAATATATTCAAATACATGTATATAAATATGTTTTGTTGTTATTTGGCCTGTGTTTGTTTATTTTACAATGTACATGTATACGTACAATACAACTTTAGAAGCCATATTTCAGTCTCAGTTTTCATTCACATGTTGTAAAAATGTTGTCTCTAACAGTACCAATGCCTTCTTAAATTAATAAAAACTTCCTTTGTGTAAAAGTCAGAAATTCTTCTCTTTTTATAAATGCATTTACAGTATCAACTCATATAAAAATTATGTAAATAATAAACAATATACAGTATGGAAAGGAATTATATCTCTAAAGTTGAATTTTCATAAACAGACTACGATAGTGAAATGTAAAAAAAAAAATTCTGTTGTTGAAAAAAAGCATGAGAAATTGATCTGTGATGTAAACATGTATAAAACATTCACAGCATCATATGTGGCCATGACTAGGTTTTGTTTTTTAGTTCTAAAAAGTCAAAGAACTGAGGTATTGAATGAAGAGGCTGAAAAAAAAAACGATGATGGGGTATAAACTAGAGAACTGGTGACACACCACAACAAATTGCTGGAATATATGGAAATATTGGTTCATCTGTAACTACCCAAAATAATTTCATTTTACAAAGTTACTTTAGTTAAAAAAAGGAAAATTTATGTATTTCTGTCAGAATATTTTTCCTTCTCACTCTTTCTTTCACTCTGAATCTTTCTTTAGTCTGTTTACTGCCTGTTATTGATCTGCGTGGGGGAGCAAGAAGGGGGAAAGGGGTCATCACAATCTTTCTTTAAAATTAGCAGGGGTCAATGAATATCCGAGGTCGGACAATAGGACAGTTTTCCATAGTCTGGATTAATAAATGAGAAGCCTTGGAATTCTTCTTGGTTGATTGTTTTCACAACAGCTGGGTCCACTGGAGTAAGTGTTGGTTCCTCAGAAGTAAAGTCTTTGTCAAAGTTGTTGGCATCTGTTCTTGATTTCTGGAAAAGAAAGGCAGCATTTCACTCAGACCTGTGATGATACTTAGAACATCTCAATCACTCATAGTTTTCTGGTAAAATGTAAGCATAATATTTCAATTACTTACAATTTTAGGTTTAAATGGAGGTTTTATTTGTCTTTTTTCTAGCAGATCCCAGTCAATTTTCTCATGAAAAAATGGGTTATTTAAGATTCCCTTTTCCCCTCCATGATCCTTTACACATCCAAGTCTCTTGGCAGGATTCTTTGTCATAAACTAAGAATGAAAATTATTCATACAATTTACAGATAACCTAGATCTATGTATTTAAAATCATACTAAACTAGAAATATTTCCATAGGACATGAATGTCCCACTCAGGGTTCACAAGTAATTCAACATGAAAAGAAATGTAACACGCTTCTTTGTTTAAGATTAGACTAAATGAGGAATAGTGAGGTAAAGGTCACAGAGAAGGTTAAGGTCAGAAAATTGTGACACAGTTGAATAGCTCACACCAATATGTATTGAAAATATCTTGAATAGTCTCTTTGAAACTGAGTTTTAAACACAAAGTCAAAGGTCATAGGAAAGGTCAAGGTAAAAAAAAAAATATGGACGGTTGTTAAGTTCTCACCAATATATATCAGTACATGCATGTAGATAAAAATATCTTGTCATGAATAGTTTCTTTGAAATTGAGCTAACACAAATTTATAAATAGTTAGGTCAAGGTCATAGAGAAGGTCAAGGTCCAAAAATGTTAATGCAGTTGAACAACTCTTATCAATATGTATCTGCATATGAAGTTTGATAAATTTATCTTGACTAGTTTCTGGCCCCCCACTGGATTTGCAGTTATTTAATGTATATCCTAAAGAATTACTTTGGACACCCCCCCCCCCCCCCCCACAACAAAACAACACATGGTGTCTAATTTAGCCTTCAATAAACAGTTCTAACAGATGTAATAATTAGAATATAAAGTCCGCCGACAACCTGTATTATATATTATAACTCTCCACATGCTCCTGTGCTAAAAATAGTGCCACACGACTTTAAATACAAACAGGAATAACTTTAAAACATTGAGCATGATTGATGCCAAAAAATTTCCAGTTGACTTTTGATAAAAAAAAAAAAATGAACTAAATAAAAATAAAAACAGGGCAGGACACTTTGAGAGGGGTGGGCAGGGCCATAGGAAGTTATGGTATAAAATTTCATTGCAAAAGCTTCTTGAGATATTGCATGGAGAGAAAATGTTACACACAGACAGAATGTATGAATTTATGACCTTGACCTTGGACCTCAAAATCAAAAGGGGTCTTCTTTAGGCCATAGGGAGTTGTGGTATAAATTTTCACTGCAAAAGTTCAAAAGTTTCTCAAGATATTGCCCAGAAACGGAAGTGTTACAAACAGACAGAATGTATGAATTCATGACCTTGACCTTCGACCTCAAATCAATAGGGGTCTTCTTTAGATGATAGGGAGTTGTGATGTAAAATTTCAAGCTCAAAGGCTTCTCAAAATATTGCACGGAAAAGAAAGTGTTACACACCGACAGAAATACAGACTGACAGACAGACAGACCCAAATTAATATCCCTCACTTTCAGTGAAAGCGGGGAACAAAAATATTTTTGAATAGTTTCTTTTAAACTAAGCTACACAAATTTTTAGAAAAGGTCAAAGGAAAGGTCGAGGTCCAAAAATTTTGATACAAATTAATAGCTCTCATCATTGTGCATCAGCATATGAAGTTTGATAAAAATATCTTGAACAGTTTCTTTTAAACTGAGGCAAAACTAATTAAGAAAAGTGAGGCCAAGGTCCAAAAAAGTTGATGCAGTTGAATAGCTCTCATTAGTATGTATTTGACAAAAATATTTTTAATAGTTTCTTAGAAACTGAGCTAAATGCAAAGTGTGATGGATGCCCAGACAGCAGGACGGAAGATTGACACGACAAACACTATATGCCCTGGCCATATTCATCAATGTTGATGCACTTCAATAGCTCTTACCAATATGTATCAGCATATGAAGTTTGATCAAAATATCTTGAATAGTTTCTATAAAAATTAGCTAAACACAAAATCTGACCAAATGATAGAAAGAAGGATGGAAGGACATGACAAACACTATATGCCCTGGCTATATTCATGGCATGGCATAACTAGGAATATGTCCATAGGACATGAACACCCCGCTGAGTGTATGTTAGTAATGCAACATGAAAATTTGTTTTAAAGTATGAAGTCTGATGAGTTGATAGCTTACATCATTATGTATTAGCTTATAAAGTTTGATAAAAATATCTTGAATAATTTCTTTAAAACTGAGCTAAACATAAATTTAAGAAAAGTGAGGTCAAGGTCAAAGGAAAGGTCAAGGTCAAAAAATGTTGATGCACTTGAATAGCTTACATCAGAATGTATCAAAATATGAAGTTTGATAAAAATATCATGAATGGTTTCTTTAAAACTGAGCTAAACATAAATTTAAGAAAAGTGAGGTCAAGGTCAAAGGAAAGGTTAAAGTAAAAAAATGTTGATGCATTTGAATAGCTTACATCAGTATGTATCAGCATATGAAGTTTAATTACACTATCTTGAATGGTTTCTTTAAAACTGAGCTAAACACTAATTGAAGAAAATTGAGGTCAAGGTCAAAGGAAAGGTCAAGGTCAAAAATTGTTGATGCACTTGAATAGCTCTCATCAAAATCTATCAGCATAGGAAGTTTGATAAAATATCTTGAATAGTTTCATTGAAACTGAGTTTTGAACTGAACTTAATGCAAAGTGGGACGGAAGGACAGACGGAAGGACGGAAGAGACATGACAAACTCTATATGCCCTGGCCATTTTCAATGCGGGGCATAAAAATCATATAATAGATAGGAATGTGCTGAAATACTAAGCTTGTATTTGTTTATTTCATTTACTTTAATATAGGCTTTACATTGAAAAACAATTTTTAACATGTTTAAAGGAAAAAGTTGACATTGATCTTTTTTAATGACTTTCTCATTTACGTTATCCTCCAAGTTCTTTTGTACTGTAAAGAAAGCTTTAAAAAAATTGGATGAGAAGAAAGTAATTTTACCCCTCTTAGGATTTGTACTGCTTCTTTACTGAGCCAGACTGGGTAGAGTACATCATCATGCAGGATTGACTCAAACAGATCCTCCTCATTATCTGCTTCAAATGGAGGCTGACCAGCCATCATTTCATACATAAGAACTCCTAATGCCCACCAGTCTACAGAAGCATCGTAATCTAGCTCTTGTAATATCTGAAATTAAACATTTATAATACATGAGGCATAAGGAATGAAAAGCAAATGGAATTGACTTTTTCTGTTGATAAGCTAAGCACAAACAAAAATTTCTGACATTTCTATAGAATTTAAATTAAGAATTTATATTAGAAATATTCAAAAATGTGATATACACTGCATTTCAGGTTCTCTCGTCATATTTTTTTTTTCTATAAACGATCCTTCTTTTAAAGGTGTCTTACCTCCGGTGCTATGTAATCTGGTGTGCCACAAAAAGTTTGTGTTACTTTGTTCTCAAACATTCCTTCTTTACACATACCAAAATCTGCTATTTTACAATGGCCCTCAGCATCTAATAATATGTTATCTAATTTCAGATCCCTGAAACAAAACAAGAATTGCTATTAAGCAATATTTTTACATAAAGTACACCATTACAAAGATGTATATGAAAATGAATGTTGCGCAGTGAAGGAATTCTTTCATCAATTTTGGAGGAGAGATGTTGGGATATACTGCAAATCTTTTTTCTTCATCATCACTTTGCAAGTTTAATTTTCTGTGAATAGCTGTACTTCTTACCTATAAATTATTCCATTTCGATGAAGAAACATAAGAGCAAGAGTCACTTCTGCAGCATAAAATCTAGCTCTTGGTTCATCAAATTTACGAGCTCGTTGAATTTGGAACATTAAATCACCACCATTTACATACTCCATCACAAAAAATAATCGGTCCTACAAATATAAAAATATGAATGACGACTTTAGAATAATTTTGAACAAGAGGCCCATGGGCCATAACGCTCACCTGAGTAACTTTGGCCCTGCTGTTCTTCACCTGATTTCCTACATTGTTATACCCCCCCCCCCCCCCCCCCCCCGGTGGTCATAATATGAACAATTTAGAATCTACAATACCCCAGGATGCTTCCACATAAGTTTCAGCTTTTCTGGCCCAGTGGTTCTTGAGAGGAAGATTTTTACTACATATTTTAATGTAAAACTTGGATTCCCTATTGTGGCCCCGCCTTACCCCCGGGGGTCATGATATGAACAATTTAGAATCTACACTACCCAAGGATGCTTCCACATAAGTTTCAGCTTTTCTGGCCCAGTGGTTCTAGAGAAGAAGATTTTTCCTATATATTTAAATGTAAAACTTGGATTCCCTATTGTGGCCCCACCCTAACCTCAGGGGTCATGATTTGAACAATTTAGAATCTACAATACCCCAGGATGCTTTCACATAAGTTTCAGTTTTTCTGGCCCAGTGGTTCTTGAGAAGAAGATTTTTAATGATATTTTCTACATATTTCAATGTAAAACTTGGATTCCCTATTGTGGCCCCGCCCTACCCCTAGGGGTCATGATTTGAACAATTTAGAATCTACACTACCCCAGGATGCTTCCAAATAAGTTTCAGCTTTTCTGGCCCAGTGGTTCTTGAGAAGAAGATTTTTTAATGACCCCACCCAATTTTTGTCTTCTCTTGATTATCTCCCCTTTGAAGGGGGCTTGGCCCTTCATTTTAACAATTTAAACTCCCCTTCACCCAAGGATGTTTTTACCAAGTTTGGTTAAAATTGGCCCAGTGGTTCTTGAGAAGAAGTTGAAAATGTGATAAGTTTACAGACGGACTGACAGACAGACGGACGATGGACAACAGGTGATCAGAAAAGCTCACTCGAGCTTTCAGCTCAGGTGAGCTAAAAACAAATGATTTATGTGTTATGATCTTAAAAATATGTATTTTGAGTATTTTTCTCTTCTTTCCCTTTAGAAAGTAAGAGCAAAAGAGCAAGACACTGGCAAAATAAGTTATCAATCCATGGATTTCATGGTTGAATATACCTGTAAGTTACTGCACACAGTAATTTCAATTTCCAAATACACTGTACATGCATTTAATCATGTAAGATAATTAAGTCATTTCAGTTCTTAAATTGTATTTCAAAGACTGCTATACACTAGTACAACAAAAAAAGATGTGTTTATGAAACACTGATACCCTCATATGACAGTTAAAAGGACAAGGTTTAAGCTTTTCAAAAGTAGGTCAAACTCCCAAGGTCAAGAGGTAAAAAAGATTGGTACCCAAAGAAAGGTCTTGTCTAAAGGAATACACAAACACTAAATTATGAAACCCCTTGTTTCAACCATTCAGAAATTATGGCTAAGGTTCAAGTTTTTCAAAAGTAGGTCATACTCCGAGGTCAAGGTCATAAGGTTGAAAATATTGGTACAAGAAAGGTTTGTCACAGGGAATACATGTGAATATGGAAGCCTTAGCACTAACCATTCAGAAATTATGGTCAAGGTTTCAGTTTTTCAAAAGTAGGTCATATTCCAAGGTCAAGGTCATGAAGATAAACATTATTAGTACCAAAGGAAAGGCCTTATCACAAGAAATACATAAGTGAAATAGTAAATCCCTAGTACTGACAGTTTAAAAGTTATAGCCAAGGTTGACTTGTTCAAATGTAGGTCAAACTCCAAGGTCATGAGGTCAAAAATGTTGGCACCCAAAGAAGGGTTTGGTCACATGGAACACACGTGAAATATAAAAGCCCTAGCACCGGCCAATGTTAAAGTTTGGTAAAATTTTGTAAAAAAGTGGGTCAAACTCCAAGGTCAAGAGGTCAAATATGTTGGTACCCAAAGAAAGGTCTTGTCACAAGAAATATACATGTGAAATATGAAAGCCCTAGCTAACCATTCAACATTATGGACAATGTTCAGTTTTTGCAGACAAACCAACAGACAGACAGACCAAAAAACTAATGCCCCGAATCATCAATAATGGGGGCATAAAAATCACTTATATATTAACAATGTAATTGTACGTAATCTCTTCTTCTGTCTTGAAAGTTAACATATTTAATTAAATAATGTACATAGTTTTAGAGTATTCTTTAATAACTGTGTGCTTATAAATATATTTATATGCTAATTTTCAAATGCATTTCTTTAACCATGATAAAATCTAGCAGCAGTTATGCTAAGAAATAAGTAACAGAGTGCAGAGTTCACAATATTAGTTCCCTGACAAATTCAAGCTACACGTTTTCTGAGGAAGTGGTTAAACAAAGCGTGGCAAGTTCAGATTTTTTTTTTTTTTTGCATGTAATACTTACCATGTTTACCACTTAATTTGAGTTTATGTCACTCATTGTCCTGAAGAGATACACGCATCAATCTACATAATATTTACTGCCTTATACAAGAACCAAAGTATAAAAGAAGGGAAAAATCCTTAGTAAAAAGCTTATAAACTGAAGTCAAAAATAAAATTTATGTAACAAAAAATACAGTTTAATCAGTTTAAATATTTTATGTCATTAATTCATCTGTAAATCGCGAAATTATTAATATTATGTATTGTACAGGATGACACACATGTACTGTACAGTAGAACTTTTTGTATCAAAAAGAGCAGAAAACAAATAATACATTTAGTCCTACAATGTTCAACATATGATAATGCAAATTATGAGTTAACAGCTAGAAAATCTCATGTCCTTCTACAATGATGTGCATCAATGTAGTAAAATTTTCCATTTGAATGGAACGTATTGAGCTCTCTTTTGAACATTGGTTGTTACATAATGACAAACCCATTTCTTCAGAAAAGAGAAAGCATTTCTGTTCTTATTGGTTTCAACACAAAAGGAAATTGTTAAATCATGAAAAAAAAAAAACAACAACATTTACATGTACATAAACACTCTTGAAAGTGAATCTTTATCTTCTTATAGCTACAAAGATAAATAAACCAAGACAACTGACTTCATACAAGTGGTAAAAATTTTTTCTGAAAGAAGAAGTTTCATGCATGCCAATGAACAATAGCACCAAAAAAAGATAATGCCCGGTGCTTTAGAAGAAAATAATTGACATCTGTCATCAATTGAAAATGTTTAAAACCATGAAAACACTAAGTCTTAATACTCATCAAAATTGTCTAAGAATCTTGTCAACTGAAGATTATCCATTTTATAATAAGTTGTACAATTTTGTGAACTTAAGTACTTAAAAACAATTTAATTAAAATTAGATCCTCCCAAATTTTTGTGATGTCACTCAGGAGGGAGGGATCAAAATATGCTAATTTTTTAAAAAGGCTACTTCATTTTTGTGAAAAAGGGGGCTAGGTTGTTCATTCATTTCCAGTTTCTTTAACAACAATACTCCTTTCCATTTTTCAGGTGACTGCTTTTTTATCAAACCGAATAAAGCAAAAAATATATACTGTTATTACATTTATTTATTTTATGTAAGACAAACATCATATTACCCATTCATTACATGAAAACAACATTTATAGGCTTTAGTGTTATATCAAACAGTGAACAAAGTTTTGTAAGTATTTGTTCTGTAATAGTCGTCATATTGACATTGATGCTATTATGCATAGTTTTTCGCATTTTTTGTCATTCATGTAATTTTGACACTGACTCGAAATTAGTGTCTTGTCTCATTATCAATACCTACTTTTCACTGCCAGACTTGTCAAAAGCCGTCGGTACTGCCGGTAAAAATTTCCATGTGTACTAATTTTTTAAGTCATAAGATTCCGCTGACAGTGAAGGGACACTTGTAAAACGCTAAAAATTGACATACTTAAAAACAGTTAGCTACCTCGGACCAGTTATAAACCAGTTCCAGTGATAAGTTCTGGTTCTTTACATCGAACCCTAGCAGCAGTCGAAAGGCCTACTTTCATCATTTAATCATGATTTACACTTTTATTAATATCATACATGTCAATATTTTGCCAATCTTGACCCCATTTGATTTTCTCATAAATGCTACAACTACCCAAAGTCATCCTTCCTGCTAGCTGGGTCAATGTCTTTACAAATGTTGTACAGTCTACGTTTTACTTTAGCCAGGCCTAGGATTAAATTGTGTTGAAAAATGTTTAAATTCAATAAAAAGAAATTTATTCGACAATATATTATATAATTTTTTTGCATCTCAAAAAAAAAACAAAAAAAAACACTGATGATATTATTATTCATGTCGGTATTTTACTTAATTGCTTCATTAAACGATCCATGGATATTAAGTCAGGTCTATAGTGAAGCCGAGATCAAAGCTAGTAAAAATCTTCAGGTGCTAGTCTGACTGGTCTAATTTATTTTTAAGTTAATGTTGACTCCTTTGACTGCAATGTCTGTAAAGTTACTTTTTCAGTACACTAATGACAAAATGAATGCCATTAAATTATGTAACATGAAGGTTGCTTTTAATCATAAACATATCTTATACACATGGACAAGCCCTTATAAAGCATATAAAAGCAATATCACTTTTCTTCAATGCAGACAAGATGTTCTACAAAACTACTGATTAACACTTCAAATGTTTAATAAAAAAAAAATCACAACTCTCTACTGAACTTACCCTTGTTTGGAAGCATGAATGAAGTGCTGTGAGGAAGGGATGCTTTGCAGAAAGAGCGAGGATTCTCTTTTCTGTCATGGTGCATTCTACATCATCATCTTGTAATATTGTTTCTTTTTTAAGAACTTTTACAGCTAAGACTTCATCTGTACCCTTCTTCTCTGCTAACATTACCTATATTTATCATTAAATCAAAGATTTATAGTGACTTTAGAACATTACTTTTATATTGTGAACATACTTATTTTAACAGTAATCGTATTTTAGCACCTTCTCCACTAATTTATGTACAAGTTAATACATGTACATGATTAAAAGCAATATGTGTCATGTTAAAAACCTCAAGAGCTAATTTATTATTGTGCAAATCAGATGAAGATTGTACTTAATCTTAAGAGCACTATTCATCCCTTGGCTAGTTAATTTTAAAGTTAACTTACTCATGCTATGGAGACCTCATTTACATTTTCAGATGATAAATAATAAAATATACTAAGAATAATGAAGATTATCAAATCCATTGTACCAAGAAATCCAGTAAAAACTTAAGCCATTCTTTTTATGATGCCTGCACAACTTGTATAAGCCTAAGCTTCAAGTAAAGATCAAAAGGATTTTTATTTGTTAACCAAATAAATAAATAACTGTAATTTCTAAATAAAACAAACCTTGCCAAAACTGCCTTTACCCAAAACTTTGATAAAGACAAAATCTTTGAGGCCGATTCTATCTGCACGTCTTTGGCCTGATCTGTCCTGTGATGGACTTCGCCCACGACTTAAACACATGTCGTCAGCGGAGAGTGTATTCTGATCACTGTCCTCTGGATACTCATCATTCCCATCATCTGTAACAATAGACGATTATCAAGTCTTGTTTTCACAAAAATGTGTATCTTACAATCTTTTTAGAAACAGAAAAAGCTACATTCCCATTATACAATATGCACACTTATGTTTAGCTATAATTACTCATCTAAAAATTTATCATTACATTTAGCCTCATTCAAAAGTCTATGCATGTAAATTTGCCTATTTTATATATGTCCTACTATATAATGTAATTTCTATAAGCATTATTTCACTGGCTAGCAAAGCATTTCTATCACTCAAAAGATTATCCAATACTCTGTCCTATGGGATAAAATCATACAGTTTGCAATGGTAAGATGAAAGAAGCTGAAGTTAGTTCAAGGATTTGTGGCTATTCACAGTTTCGTTAATATGCCTAGTACAAGCATGTGTTTGCTACAGGTCTCTTTTTCATTTGACTGTTACATCTCAATACATCTATACATCAACACTGCACACATAAACACAGCAAACACCCTATTCTTAGGGGATATTACAAAAACAGCAATCATTTTATAGTTTTGCATTACACATTAAAAACAATAACATACAAAAGTGCAGCTATCAGAAAATGGTTCAAAAACCACACAAAACAAGTAGTAGTGCAATATATCTGAAACTTCTGTGCAAGTTATATACTGGTACCATTTTAACATCTAATCTCTCCTGTTACAATACATAAATGTAAATAGATGAAATTTATGACTGCAAGTTTCATCAGTGCATCGACAGTATTTTCTTAGTGTAAGGAACACGCATATGACCATTTTATCTTGAATCTAACAAAAAATTTAAAAGATACTGATTAGATTTTCACTGTACCAATCACTTCTACTTCAAAATGAGAGATGCACTATTCTTTACAAGAACAATTACTGTGTGTGTACTTATTTGAACAGGATTCATATTATGGTGCCTTTGATTCAATTATTATGACTGCTTCCAAAACATGATTTTCTACCAGTATTGAAATAGCTAATTCAGGACTGTGCCAAATAGCCCATGACTTTGAGTTAAGATATACTGTAAATAAACATGCCAAAATAAGTACACAAACAATAATAAGTAAATGTGTGGGAAACACAGTACATGCTTCCAGACATCCAACGAAGCAAAATCTGGCCACAGAATATGATAGTATCGTGTCCAATCAGTCACATTCAATATCCATTGTGAGTTTTTGTTCTATTAGCCAACAGCTTTACATACCAATACCTGGTTTACATTGTGAAAAAAAATCATGCAACTGTAGTCTACCATGCATCTTCCGACCAACCAATGGTAAAAAAAAAACAAAAATGAAAGAATTGAATTGATTGAACAAGATGAAGCCACTCAGAGACAGCATGACACCTGTGCACAATGATTCCAAGGCATGCAGCTACATGTACATATATATAATGTACAGGAATTTGTCACTGGCTACAGAATGATACATATATGTATTTACGAGCTAACTAAATTGCTATGTAAGAGGCCTGCTTATAGTATGCTTTATATGGTCATAAGCACTATCTGTGGTGAATAGATTTTCTTACATACTTCTCTTTTTGTCTTTTGAGATTTCTACCTCTTTTTTATCTATCAGATCTAGATATACATAAAATATACTCATTAAAATACACTTGATTTTCAAAATAATATGTTCAAATCCCTTAAAGAAATGAAAAGTGGTGATGAATCTGTCAAAAGCTGTGGAATTTTTTCTGTGGGAAATATCTTGATTTTTAAATCCTCAGCACATTAATTAACATTTTTGTACTTTTGTATCAATTACCTTGCATGAAAAGCAAAGTCCTGTAAACAGTGACTCATAAAAAAAAAAGATTGTGCAAGATAAAAAGATTTTTAAAAATTGTATATATTCTCCAATAAATATGTACATGTATGAAGCAGATCAATAGAAATTAATTTAAAAAAAATTATTTACAATTAGATTTTAAAAAATTAAATTTGCTCAGATATTGAGTTTCTACAATATTTCATGGAAGTATTCTTTATAAACCATAAATTAAATGTTTTGTAAGCATGACTATAACATTCCTTAAATAAGTTACCATAACTTCTCAATGAGACACCCCAAATAAAGTGTTAATTACTCCTGAGATTATTTGTTAATAGGAGGATTGTATAATCAAGATCACCATATCTGCCTTCAAAGAGAAAAGAAAAGAAATATATGTAGCCAAGGACAAAGACAGGTGTTTGATTACATACTAGCAACTGTGTGACTCCGCATGTAGGGAATTTTTTTGTTCCCGTTTTTCTTTTTTTCTAAAATAAAATTATAAGAAACACAATGAACGAAAAAAAAAATAGAGAGAAAAAAGTAGCAAATAAAATATAACTATGATACAGTTTGTAAAGAAAGAACATTTAGAGGTTCATATAATTATTCAAACATGCATAAATTAAAAGAACTTGGTTCATTTTAAGCATAAGTTGGCCACATAAATTTAGTTAATTCTTAGCTTATGAAAAAAAAACAAAAATACTGATATGAAGAACAGCTGTTCCATTGCTTTCTTCTCTGGAGTTCTTTTATGGAGGAACATAGAAAAGTTGCTGATCATTGTGACAAAGTAATTTAAAATGAGCACAACACAAGTTCCAAATATAATGTCTAAAGAACAAGGGGAAGAATTCTTTCTAACAGAGATCAAATACCATGGATATGTCGAAGTGATTTGGAAGTTCCAAATACTTATTCTTTAAATATTTTACCCTGCATATCACGAATCCTCGGATATCTCAGTTTTTTCTTGGTCCAATCGAGTTTGAGATATCAAGGTTTGACTGTCTATCATCCATGCAAGTTTAGTCCAAGACTTGGATACAGCTTATAGTAACTTAAGAATGCACCCACTCCAAAAACTAATCTGGCCACTCTTCTCAAAATAAAGGTTAGGTGCAGCATCTGAACACATGGGCATCTCTAGATGCACCATTTTTACATCTTGGTCCACGTTGGGCTTATAATTACTTTGGAAATGGATCTGCTCGAAAAATTTAACCTGGGATGCCTACATAGGATGTATAGCATAAATTCAACTTGACTTCATCAAGGTGAGCAAAAATATACAGCTGCATGTACAAGTCATTTTAGGTACAATTTTAAAAAGCTGGTGATTTGACACTCTTTATTACATGAAAAGGATTACAAATCTCTTTGATACTAAAGGTGTTTTTTCCTTCAAATTTAACAATTTGAAATTTATCAGAGCCAAATTACACCTTTCATGAACCTTGTTTTTTGTTTTGTTTTGTTTTTTTGTATGATAGGAATAATTTTTTACTAGATTACAACAACAGTTCACAGCACATTGATATATTCAGTTCATTCTTTATTAATGCTCTATTTATAAATCTCATTTTAATAGTGAATCTAGTGCAATATGATACTTTGATTTAACACAAATTTCATTCAGGCCATCATTAAAATCTTTTTTGTTTGATGTACTCTGACCCACATTTTTGAAGGTGACTAGGTAGATACATGTAGGTAGTTATTATTATTATTACCTGGGTTTTTTTTTTTAATTATCTTAGAATGCCTTGATAATCATCAATAAAATCACAGACTTATAGTTTATTGATGTTTTCATTACAATGTATACACAGGACAGCTGGCATTGATACTGATGCAAAAAAAAAAGAGAAATGATAAACCTTAACTTTAAAAATGATCAAGAAATCTGTAATTACCTTGAAACAAATAGAAAAAAAATTAAAGAATTTAAAGTACTGAAAAAAAAGATAGGTAGGGGTGTTTACGATGGGTCGGTCGTCGTATATCAAACAAACCATTTTTTATTGTTGGCCTCAATATTCATGCCACGATTTATTACTTTTTTTAAATAAAATCTACTCTAGAAAGAATATCATATACACCTTACGATGCTCATGCAAATAAATTTGTTCAATAGTATACTTATTATACATTGTTGTTTTATTGCGTAACTAAACAGCCATTTGTTTATTGAAATGAATATAAATTTCAAATATCTTACCCAATTCAGGAAGAGGAGATGTCAAGCGTCCCTGTTTATCCTTGTTCGGAGATTCTGTACTTATTGATGGCTAAAACAGAAAATCAATTCTTGAGAATTGGATTACACATTGATGGCAACAAATAAAGAGCTAGATTCACTTTATGCATAAAATGGCCCTGCTTATGGACCGATTAAAGAATTAGCAGTCTATGTCCAATTTCAAACATTAAGATAAAAAAGAGACTTCATGCTTTCATACCATATGAAAAAGTTTGGTTAAAATTGGCCCAGTGGTTCTTGAGAAGAAGTTGAAAATGTGAAAAGTTTACAGACAGAAGGACAGACAATGGGTGATCAGAAAAGCTCACTTGAGCTTTCAGCTCAGGTGAGCTAAAAAGGACAGACTTCTCAGAATTTCCTTAACAAATAATTTTTTTCATTATTTATTATTTTAATGTTCAAAGTCAATCAATATATATAATTACCGGTAGTAATTTATTTCTTTTAAACTAATTCACTAGTATGAAAATTCACTGAAATTTTAATATCTATGCTATTATATATTGAAAAATTGACATTTTCTCAGGATTTTCAGATTTAAATGTACTACTAATTTAGTAAATACATTTTTCAAAAATTCTTGATAAAACCTTTTAAACAGCATTTTAATTTGAAAATCATTTCATTATTCTGAGTACATTTTCAATCAGCTATCAATGACCATAAATCCAAATGTGGCCACTTTACAGCCAAATTTTATGTTTTATTAATATGAAACTTAATTTCTTATTTAAATTCTTCAAATCCAGTACCTTTTTTCTTGTATTGCCCGGTGTGAGTCCAATTTCTTGTATCACCTTTGCCAACTGTTTTGAATTTAGTCCACAATTATTTGCAACATTTTTCTTACACCTTTTGTGAACATTTATTTTGCAATCTGAAAATAAAATTTGCAAAAAGTTATATGAAAGTTCTTGCAAAGAAATTGACATTATTATGCAAAAAAAAAAAGAAAAAAAAATCTTGACTTTCCTGCAACAGACAGGCCACTGTTACAGTATTACAACTCATTTAATAAACCACAGGGGTTTTTGTCACAAAAATATTTGTGTTCTTTGTTTCATCACTCTTATTAAGAAAAAAAACCCAAAAGGACTTGAATCTAAAAATAGAAAATTCACTATCACCAACTTTGATTTGCTTGTTTTTCAATTCATCTTGAGTGGAAAAAAAATCTCACTTAAAACAAGACGTGTTTGTGAAACACTGATGACCCCATATGGCAGCTCTAGGCCAAGGTTAAAGTTTTTTTTAATGTACATCAATTCCAGGGTCAAGGTGAAGAGCTCAAAAATGTTGGTACCCAGAAAAAGGTCTTGACACAAGGAATACACAGGTGAAATATGAAAGCACTGGCATCAACCATTCAGAAAATACGGGGAACTTTAAAGTTTTTCAAAAGAAGGTCATACTCCTGAGTCAAGGTCATGAGATTAAAAATATTCATACCAAAAGAAATGTCTTGTCACAAGGAATAAATAAGTGAAATATAAAAGCCTTAGCACCAACCATTCAACAGTTATAGGCAAGGTTAAAGGTTTTACTATTGTAGGTCAAACTCTAAGGTCAAAAGGTCAAATTGTTAGTACCCAAAGAAAGGTCTGGTCACATGAAATATACATGTGATATATGAAAGCCCTAGCACCAACCATTCAAAAGTGATGGTGAAGGTTAAAGTTTTTTAAAGTATGTCAAAGTTTGACAGTCAAACTCCAAGGTCAAGGTTAAAAGGTCAAAAATGTTAGTAACCAAAGAAAAGTCTAGTCACAAGTACTACACATGTGAAATATAAAGTTCCTACATTTAACAGCTCAAAAGTTATGGCTAAGGTTAAAGTTTGATAAAATTTGCAAAAGTAGGTCAAATTCCCAGGTCCAGGTCAAATATGTTGATACTGAAAGAAAGGTCTCGTCACAAGTAATACACAAGTAAAACATGAAAGCCCTAACACCAACCATTCAAAACTTTGGGAAGGTTAAAGTTTTTGTGAACAAAAAGACAGATTACCGGCAAAAGACAGATAGATGGACAGACCAAATACTGTATGCTCCCAAATCTTCATTTACGGCCGGGGCATAAAAATCTTTTCTCGATATTTAGATCTACCACGTTCTTTTCATATGTAAACTCACAGGGAATATAATGCTGTGATCTGATTGGTCACTCTCTTTAGATAACTAATGCACAAATAATTCATGAATTTGGAATACCTATACAGATGGAAAACGAAGGGAAAACCAGTGTCAGCCACATGTAATATTTCTGTGGTTACATTTGTACATATTATTTGTATTTAAAAATAATTCTTTGTAACAATGTAACAAATATATAATTTATGAATATTTTTTCCTTAGTACTGTTCTTAAAATAAATTTATTGAAGATTTAATTCTATGCACTCCATTCTCAAAAAGCAAGTAAAATAGGTTCAGAACTTTTTGAGTCATATAACTATCATTATGTAAAGTAGATTCAAGTTAGTTGTATTTTACTAATTACAGCCAAGGAATTGTGCTAGGGGCTAAGACAGGGTGGGGCCAAGCCAATAATACTACATACAATAAAACAATAAGCCAAGAATAATGTTTATTGTTTATGAGATGCTAAGTAAATATATAAGCTTATTTCTTAAATTAATAGACAGATAAGCAGTTATGGCAGATTTATAGAACATAAAAATTATCTGGTACATGTACCTAGTTTTAACTGATGTAATTCATTGTGCATCCAATTTCAAATATATTACTGAGTTGTGTAGGTCATTTTTCATGGATTTCTTAAAATTGAGACATTATTTTGTGAATGATATAACCTTACGTTTCAATATACATGTATATTCATTGAGATTGTAAATATGTGTCTATTGGGTAATCACGAAATCCATAAAAATTGAACCTCAACAAATATAATACTGCACAGTAGTGCTCCTTGTAGTATAAAATTTATAGCTTAGCATTATCAAGAATTCACTGTACCTGAGTTGACATTAAGTGTATTATTCATATTTTACTTCTTTCTATTACTGGGTATACAGGTATTTTCTTGTGGATACATGTAAGAGAAATTATGTGTATTAAGTAGTTTCAAAAGTACATGTAGCTGTAAAAGTTTGCAGGCCTTTGCTTACCTCCACATTGCTCCCCTTGTTTAACAATACCATACAATAAGGAGCCACAGTGGTCACAGAATGTTGGTCTCTTATAATTGTGTACATTGAAACGATGTGGAACATTGATCTTCACCCGCGGTACCTGCTACAAAAAGAAAATTTGTGCAATCAGCAGTTACGTACATCCATTTTTGCAGACAAAAGGAAGTAACAAAAGTTACTGGTTCTGAAATTTTTATTCACTTAAAAAAAATATTAATAAGTTTGAAACACAGTTTACATGTAAATTACATCTTAAGGCTTTCATTCCCTCTTGGTAGATGTAATATGTTGGATCACTGATCTCTCATTTTCTCTCTCTCTTTCTCTCTCTTTTTTTTTTTTTTTTTTTTTTACATTTTCTAGTAGCCAAATCTTACAAATGTGACATTTTATTTTTCTCCATATTTAGGTAGCATGTCAGATTTTCCCCCTACCTCTACACTTGCGTCATCCTTTGAGCCTGGACATTTAGTAACTACACTGTTGTGGCAGCGTTTATGGACCACACATGTACACACTTGACATTGATAACCTTGATTCCAAAGTCCCCTGCATTAGAGAAAAGACTGATTGGATTTTTGCTTTGCAGTATGCTACAAATTCTTCCATACTGCAAAGCAAAATCCAGTCCATGGTTAGATGATGTCCGTTTGTCTGTCCGTTCCCATCAACAATTTTGTTTAGCTGTTCCTTGTCCTTTTATGAGTGACATATTCAAATTATATTCTTCAAACTTCACTATATAGGTAAATCAAGATGAGATGTTTTAAAAGATTTTATCAAAATTGACCTTCGTCTTGGACCTTACCTTAACATTAGTAAAGGGAAAACATATATTTATAGTAAGGATGACCTAATGTGACCACCATCTTGCAAATGCATCACATTATTTGGAATATATACTATCCAGTCTGTTTCTATTTTGGATAACCCATTCCAATTATCTCTGAATTTATTCTGAATACCAAGTTTAACTTGACCTTGAAACCTAATCTTCAATTTGGTCACATGATTTGGAGGGCTATTTTCCTGTCTCTACTCTTGACTTAATGATTGGCTAATTTAAGACTGACCATATTATGATGCCTTCATTTTAGCATGCTGAAAATACAGTACTTTACTATCATACCATATTTTTTAAGATTTTTTGTTTTCACTGTCAACCAATGAAACAAAAGCTCCTGTTATTACTAAAACACATAATTGATACAGATGTGTTAATTTATTATTTATAATTACATATCTTATATAACTTTTGTGATACATGTATATAGAAATAAAAAAAAACTGCAATACTGGTTTGAGTGTGAATACTATTACAGCAACAAATAAGATTTAATTCACCTGTAAATGACACAGGTGATCTTTATTCAAGGACATACCATCACCTAGTATCAAAACTTATCATATTCATGCAATATTAAGCTTTCTTCAGATGAATAAAAATATATCATCCATAATTTACTGCAGAATTTAAAAACTGACAAAATTAGAAAACTCAGTGCTGTAACAGTATACTTCAGACATGCATGATAATTTTACCAGGCTTCCACAATTAATTTTGTGAGTTGTTAATTGAAGTGCAGATGTCAAGAAAACATGAATAATACAGTATTTATGGCTTAATTAACCAGAGGTTTTCACCTTCTATTCTTAGTATGCAGAGCTGTCCATTTTAATTAATTGACATTTAGTATTAGCGGGATCTCTGATGTAGATCATTAAGTACTTGTACATTGTATCACTTAATCAAAAAAAGAAACAATGCAAAATATTGTGCATTTAAGTTCTCTTAGCATCTTAGTAGTCCAAAATATGTTTATCTCAATGCTCAACCTCTCACGTTTAATCATTCAAATAAATCAGAACTTGATAACTTAAATTCCTTGTTATAAAATTGACATTCCGGTATTTCATCTAAATTTTGCTGCATTTTTTTTTTTAATGACATAGCATGTATTTTTATAGTACATGTACAATTAAAATGTCAGAATGTCATACAATTGTGAAAAAAAAAATAGTGGTAACAGAGTAGGAGAAGGATTAAAGGGAAATAAGACTTGCTTCTAACCATATAAAATCCCGACACAGTGAGCAGAAAGTGGGTTGACGTAGAAGTGTGGCCATGAATTTATGTCCATTGACTTGATGTACCCTTCTACGCATTGCCCCACGTCGGCGGTTGAGTAAACCATCCTTTTCTTTAAATACTCTTTCCTTTGGGGGCTCTGTAAAATACATAATATTAAAAATTAAAAAGTATCAATTGACTTTACATGTTTAATCCTAGCAATGGGATAATCAGTCCTCAAAAAAAAATGTTTACAGAAATGAGAAATAGACAAGAAATTAACAATTCTTTTCACAATGTTAATCTTAATTAAAAGATAGATATTCAGCCATAAAAGCTGAAAACCTGCTGCATTAACATTGTACAATCTTATTTACCAATATAGGTATAAATGATGCTTATACATTGTAGTATTGCACTACCCTCTGCACTACAGAAGTTACACAGGTACTCACTACTTGAGTGCTACTATGCTTGTTCATGTTCATGTACTTGTTAATGTTTATCAATGTACGATAGCCGAGTGATATGAGCACTGAATTATTTAAAAATCAAGGAATTTACTAGTTTGTTAGGAAGATAATAAAGTAACTTGAAATATACAAGAACAGATGGAGCATGTGGCTCAGTGGCCAGTAACAGAAAGCTTGCTGGTTCAATCCCTATTATGGGCACTTGATGTTGTGCATGCACTGTGTCCTCACACAAGATATTTATATATCTTCATTCTTTCAGTCCACCCTGCTCAAAATGGGTAATGATTAGGGCTGGGACGATACAGCTTTTTCTATATTGATACGTATCACGATATTTGAGCCAAGATACGATATGTATCACGATATGTTGAATTGATTATAAAATGTTTCTTTGTATTGAAATGAACAAAACATTATTTCTTCACAAATAAATTAAAAATTACTCAAAGAAGTTGTATATCTGTTGTAAAACAAAATCATTTTACCTAAGTGGTATTAATTATTATGTATTTCATATTTATATCTATATTTATCATATTTATTTTATATATTTGATCCAAAATGTTAAGTAAACAAAGAAAAACATAAGTCAGAATTTTTTTTGCGATATTTCGATATTTCTTCACACATATCGATATGCGTATCATCCTCAGGCCAAACAAAAAAATATGTGTGGTTCCGGTTACACTTCCAAAAAAATTAGGGTAGGTAGGTAGGGATTTTTTTTTTTTTTTTTTTTTTTTTTTTTTTTTTAACAAAATGATTTTCTTAATTTTTTTTAAATAATACCTATCACTGCTTTGCAAATGGCATTTAAATGTGGTGTGATACTAGTCAATATTGGTAGGGGACACCTACATGCTAGCTTGCTTTGGATTTAACACTATTAAACACTTGCATTATGTTTTGCAAGGAGGCCGTCATTGCTGAAACTAAAACAACTGGAGCCATTGATGGAAATCGGGGGAAATTCCAGAAAAAATATGAAAATTGCCAAAAAAAAGTTTAGGGTCAGGGGTATAAAATAGGGAAGGTCGGGTAACCGGAACCACACATATTTTTTTATTTGGCCTCATATTGAATCGATAACTCGATATATCGTCCCAGCCCTAGTAATGATTTACACTGGGAGTTAAACTGCGATGGACAGATGTCCTATCCTGAGGGAGTCAATGGCTCTCATTTGCTTAGCACCACAGAAATCTAGTAAAAGTGCCAACGCCTATTAGCCCCATTTTAAATGTTCCAAAACACAATATCAATGAACTTAAGCTCATTTAAAAGTACTATTGTCGCTATTTCTAATTAGTCCCGTCCATTCATCATGCTCATTTTTTTAAAGTGCAAACCATTTTGATAAACTTTGATACAATAAATAGTATAAAACATAATATTCTCTTATAAAGATTACTTGAATATTAGGATTGTTAATTATGTATAAAGATATGATAGAACAAAGTATCAACTACTTATGTGTATTAAAGAATGAATCAAATAGAAAGTAGGCTTTTATAAATAAAGTAAGTCAACTGTCAGTCTGTCATTAACAATTATACAGAGTCATATTTGCCAATGGGTAAAATAACTCAAATGCAAAACACTACTGTTCTGTGTGGGTGGTTGTGTAAGTATGAATATTAAATAACACTACAGCAGATGTGTAGACTAGTGCTTCCTTTATGTGGAAGTTAATACTCAACTTTAGTGTGTACAAATTTCATACAGCATAAATGTAAAATGGTTATGAGATTACTGTAGAATGACTAACACACAGATACTGTACTTAAATAATGTAAAACAGTATTAAAGAATCATACTAAACTAAAATATATTTTAACATGTTACATACCATGTTGCTTGTCTTGAACAACATCATATTTGGATCAGTTTGTATCATTACAAGTACAATAGTTGATGTAAAGAAAGGATAGTTATATAAATACATTCTTGTAGAAAAAGGGTATTAATATGATTATATGTGTTCTGTTCATAGATTATTTTTAATGAAAAACTGATGCAATTCTAAGACTTTTAATATCTATTGGTACATTAATCACCATGGGACACTTTTTCCGAAAGAAATGGTTAAAAATAGAAGATGTAAAATTGAATTATTAAATAAATCTTAATTCTTAACAAAAAACAAACTCAATGATTATTTTTAGTATCCTTTTTTCTCATCCCCTCCTTATCTACTTCAACCGCACCCCTGGGTCCTATCTAGATCAAATAACTTTAATCCAACACAACTTTAGACTTTCAATATAAATACTAAATTTGGGGTCAGTGGCTGAAAAATTCTGTCTTAAAAATTAATGTTGACGATAGGTGTGTTACAAAAACTTCAAAACACTGATAAAATGGAAAGAAATGCCATATATGGAATAGGATTCCCACATTCCAATGAAGGGTGGCATTACACCAAATGTTTGAGAAAACATGGCTGTTATACGTAACTTGGTACTTTAACAATGAATTTTCTTTTCAGTTACATATAAAGAGGATATTTTAGACACTCCCCAATTTAAATCTGAAATATGATGACCCACTATCCTCTGTCAGAACCTCCAACAGATGAATGATGAATGGTTTGTACTCTCTTAAATTGAGCTTTTAAGGTATTTCCACCCTCACAATTTTATGGGTTCAAAGTAGAAAAACTGCATTTATTTTTACTGAATATAGTTTAAATTAATTAATAATTGCAAAAAAATATATAGGTTGCCATATTTTTTTAGTTGTAAGACATAAATAAACAAAAGTATTTTTCAGCATAAAAATGTACATTTATAGTAAACAGTATCATAAAAAAAAATAAGTAAAATCTGGTCCAGATACATAATTCTGATGCTGAAAGTTCCAAATTAATTGTTACATTATAAATAAATTTGAAATGTGAATATCAGGGAAACCATTTTACATTTGAAGTACAATAAAGAAAATGCCTGAATGAAGGAGTTATTGCCCTAAGTAACATTTTTTAAAGATTGAATAATTGATTAAATAAAGAAAAATATTAATTTTTTTTTAATTCTTTTGCTAAACAACATTTTTCATTTGACCAATTAAAAAGCATTCTTCCAAAAGATATAATTCTGTTGGGTATGAATTTAAATTCATAACTGTACAGTTTTTGCAAAAGCCCTATTAATCAATAAACTTAAAAAAATGTTTACATTTATGTTTTCCTCCACTCCCCTCTCTTTACAAAGGATATCTTATCAGATTTATTATAAAGTTTTAAAGAAATATAATCAGTCACCAGTCACTGAACAATTTAACCTGTCCATGCACATAAATAACAATTAGAATGACAGCAAGGGCACCTGCTCAGTGCAATGTTTACATACTGCAATGATTGCAATGAATCTGTTTTTATTTAGTTTCTTTTTTCAAATCAGCTATAAAATCATTTTTTTTCTCTTTCCAATATGAATCATAACTAGTAAGAAGAATGTATATTTACTCCAATATTTATTTTATTATGATAAATAGCTTCCTATTTATTTACATTGTTAATATTGGTGGTAACCTCATTAACATAAATGATCACATCGGCGACAGAAGCCTACGTCATTGGCTAATCTGAAAATCACTTCTCCAAACAAAAAAGATGCCAATAGTGCACTAGCATGGTATAGCATGCAATGAACATTAACAGCTGATTTTATTAAGAGTCTCAAAATGGTAACTGGCAAAACACACTCAAAGGCTGACCTGAATTTGAGGTTACGAACGGAATGTACAATATATGCTAATGATATGGTGTTGTGTATTACCTTCAGATGTAGAGCCTTGTAATTCCAATATAATGTGTATTTGTCCATTTGGTTCCAAATCGACCTAAAATTCAGTAAAAATATATATATCAGTAAGCCATGTTCAGAAAAGTATATGTGACATTATAGCAGAATGTTGAGTACATTCCAAAAAATATACAAAAGCGACTCGTCTGCTGCGATTCGGGCGTCCATCTTGAATATCCAAATTCCCATTCCAACATTTCGTAGCTGTTTCTGGCTATTCCCAAACACTTCCTTGTACGCAAATCACAAGATATAAAATATATGCATTTAACATACCCATAGATCGTTAGAATTTTCCTTGATTTCTTCGAATGGGATTGAACAATTTGCAACAAAGTCGTCGGGGGGAATGGCCGCATCATGGAAAACCGTAAGTCCTAACGTACGTCCGTTATGCACTTCGGTCATAAAATTCTCGTTCCACACTGGAGTCAGAGTTTTCGTTTTTGTGGTGGTTCTTGCAACTTCATTGTCATCTACGTCTACCGATATATATGGATCTATCAACTGAGCCCCCTTGGCTATTTGATGGCGAGTCGAGCAGTCGGTTGGCTTAAGATCATGCGCCTCGCAGATCTTTAGCGACATAGATCCATTGAAAAACTTCATTGTATGTTGTATTTATACACAACTGTTTCTTATTATTACATCCATAATTAATCCGTTCGTACACAGTCGAAATAACTCAACATCGGAAACAACTTATCGCGGAAGTCGGTGCTTTGCTGCAATATATGCATTTTTACGTGTTACGCATGCGTGAAAATACCATCATGACCTTGAACTTAGACTGCTTGGATTTGTTTTTATTTTCAAATAAATTAATAAACAAAATATCAGATTATTATTAATAGTAGTAAAAAGTTTGATGGAGGAATTTTTATTAATCTTTAAGTAGAGAAAAAGATGTTAAAAATATTGAAAGGATTAAAAAAATATTGAAATGATTAAAATATGTATGTATACTTTTATATTAAAATTTTAAATAGTCATAGGGTGTAATCATGTACATGAGTGAATATTCAGGTTAAGTCTGATTGAAAGCAGGCACCAGGATAATGAAACATTTTTTTTTTTAAATTTCTACTTTTTTTTTTAAAGCTTTATACTAGAAAACACATAAAATTTGAATGTTATTAATCGTTTCACTTCCCTGTTGTTAATTAATTTGTCAGTTCATAAAAAGACATGTTCATTTTATAATTAAAAGCTAGAAATGTTGACTTTTAAAGTCTTAGACTGCTTTATGATACTGAGGACTGGTCCTTTTCCCGCACCTTCTCGATCCTCCTTTTTTAAGCTAGTCGATCGTAGCCTAATTTATGACCTTTTATATCGTAATCTAATGCTTTTTTTATTTTGCAATAAAACTTTATTTTGTAAATTTTACATTATAATAACGACTTTTCCTTAATTTATTTTTTTCATCTTCTTCATATGAACCTACTAGAATTATCAATTATTTAAGGACAAACAACGATTGTTTTCTTCTAAAATATTATTTTAATATATTAATTTTGTTTACCTCGTGTTTGTTACTTTGTATATATATTAATCTGTGTTTAGTTTTATGTTATAAATGTTCGTGACTGTATGCCGACATGATAATTGTCAATGAAGTGAATTGAATTGAAATATTATTTGATATATAACAAATAAAATTCCTTGACAAGCAAAAACAAAAACAAAAAACAAAAACAAAGCAGCCCCCCCCCCAAAGAAAAACAAAGGAAAAAAAAAACACAAACAACCCGCCCCCCCCCCAAAGAACAGAAAAAACAAAAAAAACAAAAAAACAAAAAAAACAAAACAAAACAAAACAAACAAAAAAAAAACAAAACAAAGAACCCCAAAAATGCATACACCCCCGCCCCCTCCGAAAGAATAATGATAAAATAAAACAAAAAATCATTTGACGTTATATTTAGGTGACACAATCATAAACTATCTATGTTTTCTATTGTTTATTATACTTGTATACTGAAAAAAATATTTGCTCGGGTGGGAGGGGAGGGGGGCTCCCCCGTGCACCCCGGTTTCTCCGGGCCTTGCTATATTAGTAAGTTAACACATTTAACAGTCGTGATTTAATTGTGAACCCCATACTCACAGTGTAAAGGTCATATTCTCCTGGACACTGTTTTGGTTTCTACACAAAACCCAGCCAACTACACTCAGTGGCTTTTCCTTACTACATCAACGATAATGATTCATGCTTTTTTAAAAAATTATTTTCATGAGTAAAGAAATTTGAAGCAAAAATGATTGCTTTAAATCATTCTGAAATATATTACTGCGGAGGTATTCCTTTCATTATACAGGAACTTCCCATCTTAAATGTGAAACGAAATGGTTTATTGTTCAGTACATGTATATGGTCAAGTAAGGTCAAGAATTAGTAAATGAAAGGTACCTACAGATTTCTCAAATATGAGAAATGAATTCCCCAATAATTTTGCCGATATATAGATTACTACAGAAAACATAAATACTATATGTTTGTGCCCCCTCAATAAAAACGTCTGATGACGGTTTTTTTTTTTTTTTTTTTTTTTTTTTTGCTTGTCAAGAAATTTTGGGTATTTGATATAGCCCCTTCTACTGAAAATATATGGCTGTGCCCCCCCCCCCCCAACTGAAATTGCTTCTTACGGGCCTGAATAAGGTGTATCGGGAACATAATTTTTTGGTCAACCCAACCAAAAACTTATTTTAAACTACCATTTACAATGAAAAATAAAGAGAACCAGTTAAAAATATGAGATTTTTTTCCATATCAGTCAAATTAAATGTCTCCATATTGTCTGGACATCCTTTCAGAAAACGGTAATTAATATATTATACTGACATCTTCTGTATAAAATACATGTAATATTAAATTGAATATAGGTATTGGGATTACTTTTGACGTCATTTCAAATTGAATTCCATGAAAATACATTATTTACCATATATAATTCAATTAGTTTTAAAGATGTATAATGGACCTAGCACCATAAAATACACTATAAACAATTTACTAGATCTGGACCTTAAGATGTAGAATGTGCATGCTTAAATTCCTCCAGTATGTCTTACTTACTAACAGAAGTTGTGTTTGGCCGCAATTGCCAGCTTCACTGAAGACAAATTCTTTCTTTGATAAGTTAAGAACGAAAAGGGGTATGACAGTCAGACTCATCGGAATGCAATTTAATGACGTCATAGTAGTTAATGGTTATTGTTACGTCATAACGTTTATGACAATGACATGGCGTCATAGTGGTTAAATTTTATTGTTATGTCACAATTCCATTTTGATATATTTACATTTTTGCGTTTTACAAGGGCGGATCTGGAGAGGGGGGGGGGTCGGGGGGTGGCGTCCGACCCCCCCCCCCTCCTCTGGAATTTTCAGAGATACTACATTTCTGTGCAAAAGTCACGAAAAAATTACCTTGCAACACCTCCATCCCCACTCCGTTTTGTTTTGTTTCTTTTGTTTTGCTCTATTTTGTTTGTTTGGTTGTTTGTGTGTGTGTGTGTGTTTTTTTTTCTTGTCAAAAAATTCCAAGTCTGACATTTAATTAGAGTTGATGTGGACCTTCCCATGGAAAAAAAAAATACTGGATCCACTCCTGTTTTACGAAATTGATAAAGCCAAACAAGTACCACCTTGACCACTATAAATGATATATTTCTTTATTGTATTAATGGACGAACTAACCATTAATGATATAACTATATAGGAAAAATCATACATGTTTTGAAATTCCTTTCTTTGTCACCTACCGTCAAAGCAATACACGAGGATAAGTTTGCTTGACGTCCGTTGTCTGTCCGTCTTCCTGTTACACCTCATAACTTGAGAACTGCAGAAGTTATGGATTTGATATCTCGCACATTGTATTGCTTTGTACTTTTGTTTGAAACCAGGGATTCGACCTCGTAACTTATTTATAATGCTGATATGAACTATATTCTTGTCATAATACCTTTTGCAAAATACATTAGATACTGTTAACTTGACCTTTGACCTACTTTACAAGAATCTTCCGAGCCATTAAATCAACTTAATTAAATCAGGTATAATTTTTCATTGTAGCATTCGGGTTGTGGCATCAAATTTCTATTTGGCCAACACGATTTGCTAGAAATACAACTGTAACATCAAAGTCTAACTCTTACAATCCATGGCTTTTTAAATTAAATGTTAACCACAATTCATATATTTTTTCTACCTTCTAACAAAGAAAAGTTTGATGATCTAATCTATATTGATGTAAAATTACAAATTATCAATAGTTGAAGTTGATGAACGTAAATTTTACTTTGTTGATATGTGATTGTGATTAATGAAGTAAAAAAAAAAACGAATTCATGATTTTGTTTTCACGAATTTCATAATTCATATATATGATTTCAATTGTACAATTCGTTTTAACAAATTTATAAAAGTCTTATGTAACATATTTCTATCTTATTTTTGATAACAGGTTGCATATGAATGTTATTTATGATAAAGAATTCGTTAAATATGTTATGACAATTCTAAATTATGTAATGCGTTTTATCAGATTTAAAAATATGTTAGAACGATTTCACATTTCCATATATTCGTTTTATATTTATCTATTTAATTTATCTCTCTATAAATATTGATAATTCTTTTATTATACGAGAGAAGATTTGAGTCCCTTGTGGAGTTAAAGTAGACATGACCCTTTAAACTCGGTCGTGATACTCAGGTGACCCTCAAGGCCCATCGGCCTCTTTTTTCAAATAATTGATCGAGGACTAGTTTTCCTCTATGAATATTTCAATTGCTATAGGGTAGTTGAATGATTACTGATTACTTAAACACACACAGCTTTAGAACAGAACCACCCTGTCTCGTGCCGCTCTGCAAGTTCGATTTCGATTGAAAGGTCTCTGGTTTAAATTAAGTTGGGTGACATCAGAATTATATCTAACTTAAATGATTTTTGCCTTTTATTAAGATACCAATTTTTTTAAAAATTATTTTGAATTTAAAGATAAGAATTACTTCAAGGATAAAAATGTGTTGATTCATATAACATTACTATAAAGATTACTATAAATACTGGTAGAGCCAATTCTAATCACTACTACCCAGATCTCTGGTATGTTTTCTTTTCCGGAGAGCTGCAGTTCTGCAGACAGGTTTCAAAATTTTTGCTTGGTTTGATTTTATTGCTTTACCCACATTAAAAAAAAAGGAATATTCAGACACATTGTTGTAATCCTTAGTTTTTTTGTCCGATCATTAATTTCTTCACTCCTGGGTGGAAGAAACTCGCACTTCTCTAAAAGCAGTAAGTATCATAATATTTCAACCAAACGAGGGGGGGGGCATGAGAGAGAGAGAGAGAGAGAGAGAGAGAGAGAGAGAGAGAGAGAGGGGGGGGGGGAGAGAGAGAGAAAGAGAGAGAGAGATTTACCAAATTTGAAAAAAATTCTTGGAAGGGGGGCTAGTTCCCACTCTCTTTTCATCTACATGCCAGCAATGTTGCATAGATGCATGGCAAGTATGAACGTTGTTCAGACTTACTTCTTATTCATCAAAGTCATAGGAGTACCTGGGTTTAAAATGGATCCAATGACAACATGGAACTGGAGACTAAACTAGGTCACGCCCGGCCGTTTACGTAACACTGAAGCCACAGCTAGTCCCTGAATGTTATGTTACACACAATGGACTGACTTTGTTAAAATCACTCAGATTCTATACACTAGTATAGGGTGCTGAAGTTCCTCATTAACAATATCTATGTAGTCTTTAGACAGGAAGTCTTTCAACAAACTGTTGGAATTCTAATGGACACTAATTGTGCTCCTTTATTAGCCCAGTCCAGTCAATTTATCATGAAACATCAAACTAATTGCAACACAATTTCTTTTGTTACAAATAAACTCTAGAATGCACAAAATAAATGTAATAAAAAAAATCTTACCAAATCTGATGCGGGGAAAGCATTATTTGAGGTATATAAATCTTCTATGAAAATTACTATAGAAAAGGGGCATAACTCTTATCAATTAAGTCAATTTTGATTAAAACTCTGGTGCACTTTTCTAAATTGATGAAAGGGGGAGTTGATTAAACTGTTGTATTATGACATTTATAGGTGTAGTAAATTCTTTTATATCTAAGGAGTTTTTTTTAAATAGATATTTTGGCTCACTTCAGAGAGTACATGTATGTTGCATTTCCTTGCCTCATAATAATATAATTTTAGGGTAGAGGTTATCAAAACATAGGCAAGACTTTGTCTCTAAAATTTTATGGATATATTTTTAAAATTATTTTTAGTATTTATGTATTAAAATGATTCATGCATACTAAATCTTGATCCTAGGGAAATTTATTCATTTTTATTTTTTTTTTAAGCCTGTTTTCACTAACTATTAAAAAATGCTTATATTTCCAAATTAACAAAGAGTATGAAATTAAATTCAAAATACCCATTTCAAATTTATATTATCTATTTAAAATAATGATCTATTCAATTGTATGAAAACAAAAATTGAAATCAACAGATTATGCTTTCAAGAAAAACAGGAATTTTCTATTCCTTCAGCAAAAAATTGGATGAATTTACAGTTATGCTCCTTTTCTTTAGTAATCCCCAGAGCCAATTTATATAATACCCCAAATTATGCTTTCCGCACATCAGATTTTCTTAGATGTTTTACAACAAATATTTTGTACATGTTACATTTAAGGACATATGCAACGTAGTTCGAACATTATTGTCTTTTTCCCTGGAGTTGAAGAGTTCCAATACTTGAATGACCTGTGTGCTACTCTTTTAATGTCTATATATGGTGCCGTACACATCTTTTAAAACAAATTTGATGAAAGAAACATCTAAAATATATGTTTAGTATTTTTTGTATATTTTTCTTTGAATAGTACAAGAGTTTTCATCATTTAATATCTTTTCAAAACCCCTGGTAATGCATGCTGATATTTTGTCTGCAAACATCTAATGGTACTATATCTTAAATTATGAATATCTTGAAAAATTATCAGTAGGTAAGGTGTGTTGCATATGTCCTTAATTTATGATACAATAATTTGTGTTGCAATTTGTTTGACATTGAGCTCATATTTTCACTAAATTGACTGGACTACCGACCTGTTTTAGCTCTACTGGTCAGAGACCAGAAGAGCTTATGCGATAGTAAGGTGTCCGTCGTTCGTCCGTCTGTCTGTCTGTAAGCAATTTTTCAAAATGCTACTCCTCCTACAGTTTTGGTCTGATTTTCAATATTACTTGGCACACAAGTAGACTATACTAAGATACATAATTTAATACATCGGTTTTTGATTTCGATGAACGGTGTTGCCATGGTTACTAAAAATAGATATATCTGTAAAATTCCTTTAAAACGCTACTCCTCCTACAGTTTTCGTCTGATTTCAATATAATTTGGCACACAAGTAGACTACACTATGATACATAATTTAGTGCATCGGTTTTTGATTTCAATGAATCGTGTTGCCATGGTTACTAAAAATAGAAATTTCTGTGAAATACTTTCAAAACGCTACTCCTCCAACAGTTTTGCTCCGATTTCAATTTCACTTGGCACACAAGTAGACTACACTAAGATACATAATTTAGTGCATCAGTTTTTGATTTCACTGAACGGTGTTGCCATGGTTACTTAAAATAGAAATTTATGTGAAATTCCGTTAAAACGCTAATCCTCCTACAGTTTTGGTCGGATTTCAATGTTACTTGGCACACAAGTAGACTACAATACGATACATAATTTAGTGCATTGGTTTTTGATTCTGATAAACGGTGTCACCATGGTTACTTAAAATAGAAATTTCTGTAAGATTACTTTAAAACAGTACTCCTGCTACAGTTTTGGTCTGATTTAAACTTAATTTGGCATACAAGTAGACTACACTAAGATACATAATATAGTGCATCGGTTTTTGATTTCGATGAATGGTGTTGCCATGGTGACTAAAAATAAAAATATCTGTGAAATTCCTTTAAAACGCTACTCCTCCCACAGTTTTCGTCTGATTTCAATATAACTTGGCACACAAGTAGACTACACTAGATACATAATTTAGTGCATCGGTTTTTGATTTCAATGAAGGGTGTGGCCATGGTTACTAAAAATATAAATTCATGTGAGATTCCTTGAAATCACAATTCCTCCTACAGTTTTAGTCTGATTTCAATATAACTGGTACACTAAGATGCATAATTTGATGAATTGGATTCTAAAAATAGAAATTTCTGTAAAATTCCTTTAAAACATTAATCTTGCTACAGTTTTGGTCTGATTTCAGTCTAATTTGGCACACAATTGGACTACACTAAGATACATAATAGTGTATATCGGTTTTTGATTTCTGTTAATGGTGTTGTCATTGTTACTAAAAATAGAAATTTCTGTGAAATACTTTCAAAATACTCCTCCTCCTTTTGTTTGATTTCAATATAACTTGCCACACAAGTAGACTACATTAAGATACATAATTCTATTTATTGCTGCATGTTGCAAAGTTTCAAATCCAAGTGCTACTTTTCCTTTGTTATACATACAGACCAGTAGAGCTACAGTCTCATCAGAGACTTCTGGTTTTATATTCCTATGAAGCAGAGTTTATTCAAAACCTTCTACATGAGATGAAGAAAGCACTTGTTGTGGCCTTCAACTCGAAATTTAATTCAGATAAATGTATATTGATGTTGTTTTATCAATTAACAAAAGTTATTTTCATTTATATGTTGACTCGATATATCCAGTGATCCTCACAGTGACTTACATTTAATTCCAATTAAACTCTGTGTGATTTTGTAAGAAATACCCTTGCCCATCATAACTATGCACTTTGTTTATCTGCTCAATACTAAGGAGAGGACAGGATTATTTAATATTTAAATTATACAACATGTATTAAATTAAATTATTTAGCAACTATATCATCAATAAAACTCCACCCTTACACCAGAACATCTGACCCAGGGGCCATGAAACTCAAAATTCTGGAAGAAACACCCCATTCTCATCATAACTATACACTTTGCTTTATAACCAGGAGCAGAAAAGAATATTTTCAAAGAAATTATGCTTTTTCACTATATAATTAATAGAGACCCCCCCCCCCCCTTTCACCAGAACCCCCGACCCTGAGTATCATAATTTTGAAAGAGGCATCCTTGTTTATCATAACCACATACTTAGTTTAAATAATTATCAGGAGCAGAGAATAAGATTTTCAAAGAAATAATGCACTTTCACTATATGATCTATATAGCCCCACCATAGCACCAGAACCCCTGACCCTGGGGCCATGGATTTCACAATTTTGGTAGAGAACTCAATGCTCATTACAATCATGCAAACAGTTCGACTGCTTGTTGTCCAGGAGTAAAGAAGAAGATTTTTAAAGAAGGCATTAATTTTACCCTTCTCCCATAGCATAACGCTATATGCCAAAATTGGTTGAAATAATGAAATTGATTCAGCGATTTCAGAGAAGAAATTGAAATGCTCAAATGTTAACACACAACACAAACCAGGCGACTGGCGGCGCATGATGACGGACGAAAACAGATAGCAATAGGTCACCTAAGCGACTAAGGTGACCTAAAAATCTAAAATCGCTGAAATTTGCATTTTAAAAAAATCATACTTTATGTACATTTAAATCTGAGTCCGTATGATGCAGTGTACAAAAAAAAAAGGTAATAATAAAAACATAGGCATTGTATACAGTCTTGGTGTTTCTTTAAAAAAATGCATGTTTACTTATATTATGAAATGGAAATTCACTAATTTTTATTTTAATTCTTAGAAAAGGAATGCTCTAGCTGGATGGTAAAAAAATAGATCCTGGAGAAAAAATATTAATTGGTTATTATTTAATTTATTTTTAATATTTTATTACAGTTACATCAAGTGTAGTCCCAGGAAAAGTTGCAAGGAGATACAGCAACTGGCCAATGTACACCTGTAACAATATTGTGGACACAATTTCAATTGTATCATTTAGAACTCCAACTTTATTTACCAGTTTAGAATACTAACTAGCAGTACAACAGAAAAATTCAAATAATTACATTTGTATATTTGTCTTTAAAATAGTGAAACATTTTTTTTTTTTTTTTACAAAACAATTATTCATATTCATTTGTTAGTCACTAAAAAAAAATATCATTGACTGGCTCATGACAATGCTGGTAGTCTATGGAAAATCTAGATGTGGTATTTAATGTTTACTGTGTAGGGATGTTTCATATTGCTTATTTTCCATTGGCAGCCTATCGAAGACCTATGAATTGCCAAAATATGAAGTTTTTTTTAACCTGTATATAATGAGCTTTTACAAATATCTTATTCACTGTTTCTTGAATTTGGTACTTTATCAAGACTATCTTGATTAAAGAAAAAAAGAAAGGTAGGTTCCCCAAAGTCAAAATTATTAAATATAATTACTATACTATCAAATACCCCCACTTATAATTATAATGCTTATGCATATAAACATGATATATTCAACAAAATGGAACACTTTTTAAAAAATCAGCCCCCCTCCACCCTAAATACAGCTGCTGAAAGATCCAACATAAAGAGCCATCGAAATTAATGAATGGAGTCCATCTCAATGCATCTCTGTCACTCAAATCAAGTACATGTACATATAAATTCTTAACTTTTAGGGTTGTAATCAAGGTTTACATAATCAAGAACAAACCCACTCTAGATATATTGTATGAAAATAACTATATACACAACATTTGATTTTTAATATATAAATCACTTAACATTATGAACCAAGTTCAATTAAAAACCAGGCTGTAGGAGATTCAAATTAATCATCATATACACAGTTAAAGTACGGGGTAAAAAATCCAAACAGTCTAGCAATATAATTGGAAACAAATAATGAGACTAACATACAATGCCTTTATCGGCTCTCTTTAATGTGATATCAATCTAAAAGTCACCTATAATAACATATAAATTACATGTACCCAATAAGATGACCACATTATGACATAGGAATTTCATGTGCAGCAGCATATCTGCCATACACATAATGGAAAAGCTGCCTCTCTATGTCTATTAAAAGAGCACTAGCTCCAAGACGAAACAAATGAGGACACAACCATTCATCCCCAAGCTCCTCTTTCATTAGAGAGAGCCATGTGCAAGCATCTTTGGCACTTCTTATTCCCCCTGCAGGTTTAAATCCAACTTTATGTCCAGTTCGCTGGTAGTATTCCCGAATAGCTCGCACCATGACTAGAGCCACTGGCAAAATGGCATTTACTCCTTCTTTTCCTGTGGAGGTCTTGATGAAATCTGCTCCTGCCATCATGCAAGCCATGCTTGCTTTGTAAACATTAACCATTGAACCTAATTCCCCAGTTGCTAGGATGGTCTTCATATGGGCCTCTCCACAAGCCTCTCTCATCATGCATACCTCATCATACACTCCTCTCCAATTTCCCTCTAAAGCATACTGGCGATTGATGACAATGTCGATTTCTTTGGCTCCATCTGCTACTGCCATTTTGATCTCTTCTAGTCGTGTTTTAAGGGGTACCTGTCCTGTTGGGAATCCTGTTGCTACAGAGGCTACTGGAATATCAGGGCGATTTGAAGCTTTGAGAAACCTGACACAATCAGCTACTCTGTTGGGATACACACACACTGCACCAACTGAAATGCCTTCATTTTCCATTTCAACTGCTTTCAGGATGTCTTTTCCAACAGGATTTGCTGCCTTAAAACATAGCCTGAAATAAGCACAAAACTTTTACCCCAAACTACTAGTAGGCAGTGTTTGTTAGGGTTATAATTTCTATATCAAAATAAAAATAACCTTTTAATCCTTAATCACAGGCACTTCAACTTAATGTTAATATGCATTGATGGAATAACATATGATTAGAGTGTTCCAAGAAATGCAGATGTTGCCAGTAAAAGAAACATCCATGATGTGAATAAAAATAGAGTGTAGTCAAGTGTTTATTCATTTATATACAGTTTAACTTCAGTATCTCGAACACTGATATCTTGAATACTATGGATATGTCGAAGTAATTTAGAAGTCCTAACCACTTATTCTTTAAGTATTTTACCCCTGATATCTCGAATCCTTGAATATCTAAAAGTTTTTTCTCGGTCCCACAGAGTTCGAGATAACGAGGTTTGACCTTACTACAGGCCCATAGAATCAATTTCAATTTTTTTTTTTTTGGGGGGGGGGGGGGGGGAGGGACCAAACATTTTCAGTTTGGGGGGGGGAGGGGGGGGGAGGGCACAACCAAGCAAAAATTCCTTGACAAGCAAAAAAAAAAAAAGGGGGGGGGTCCATCAAATGTAATTAATGAGGGGGGACAAGCATAAAGTAGCTATGTTTTCTATAGTATACTACGTATATGGGAAAAATTATTGGGGGGTCGGGGGGTGGGTGGGGGGCATATTTCTCAATTCTAAAAGATCATAGAAAAGTTCTAAAAACTGTATTGCCAGTATCATCTTTTACACATTGGATTCCCCTATTTCATTGAATTATTTATTGATAATCTATTTTTCAGTTATATTTGCAAGGTATGTGAAAAGGAAAAAAAAAACCCAAGAGGCCCATGGGCCACATCGCTCACCTGAGCACATTGGCTAGGAAAAACAGAATTCAGTTTAGTATTGAAAAGATTTAATATATGTTCGATTGACAATTCATTTTTTTTTCTTTGGAAAAGCAGGTCAAAGGTTTTGTGGACTGAAAGTACTCAAACTGCTATTTTTCAAAGGTTTTATGATAAACACTGTAAATGCTAAATATCTTGGAATTACCTTTCAGAGTTCAAAGAGTATAGTGTATATTGACAGAATGAATTGTTATCAGTGGCAAGTCAAGGTCAAATTCAATGTCACAAGGTCAATAACCATGGTATTTCACAAAAGTAATTGTGTTACTACCAAGTCAGGCACGTAGCTGCCTATACGCAAATACTCAAGTGCGTACACATCATTTAAAAAAAAGTCTAGGGGAGAGAGAGAATTATTCAGAGGAAAAAATCTTAATACCATCTCCAACAAATATATGTGTTTCAAATTATTTTGTGTCATACTGTTTCTGTTCAAATTTTATATTATGTTGTCTGAATAATTAAATTTGAAATCTTTCATTAAATAATCATTGCCAAATCCAAATAAATCGTCAATGAATTATTGTTCTATAATTCATCAATGATTTTGTTTAAGGATCTTTGAGAAATTTAATTTCAAACATATCGTTGAATGCTATGATTAACTAGTACTAGTTTATGATAAAAAAGATACAATATTCATTTTTTTGTTAATAATTAACATTTATTATATGCTTGTTGTCAGACGTTGAAAGAGAGTATATGATACCAGTATATCGTTAAAATATTTAGCCTCAACTACACGTACAAAAACTTTCCACGGAACTACATATATTAACATTGCGTTAAAAATAATAATACTAAGTCTTTTTCTTTCTATACAAAAGCGAAATGGCAGGACTTTTTTTGCCAGAAAATGAATGACATTTGGTAAACCCAGAAGTGAGAAGCTTCCAGCGGCTTCGACCCCCCCCCCCCCCCCTTGCTGCTCTCTGCGTACACGTCATTTCCATTCTGGCTACGTGCCTGCAAGTGATACTGAGGAATATATCAAAATTCCTAACTTTTATAGTTAAAAAAAAACATGAAAAATAAAAGATGTAACAGACATGATCCCAAAGTATGCTCTACTTTGCAGGTGACACAAAAAGAGCAGTCGGTTCGATGGATTTAACATTAACTTGAAGTGTCTGTACCCATAATATTGTCAATTAAAAGAGGAGCAATTTGTCTCAACTGAAAAGTTTGCTGAGCAAAAGTCATTGGCAAATTAAAAATAGAGCACCTTGAAACATTTGATGGAGTATCGTCCCCTGCCAAAGTTGTTAAATCAATACACGTTACTGCACGTAATAACCATGCTGCTTGCCATTGTTTCTTCACTGTTCTGCGGGTTCCTAAGGACTCTGCTCTGCGCTTCACAGCGGGTAAATTGACATATATATTGTCAAACCAACTTGGATCAAACACCTGTCCAGGATTTCTGGCCGACATTTTTAGGCTTATTCGGTTTGAAGAAATCTAATACACCGATAGAGTTGTGTCCTTCCTCTGTAATATACTATTTATTAATATTTTGTTCATTTATTTCCATTGAGTAACAATTATATATACGTACATCTTAAAAAAATAAGACTTCCTTCGAAAAGCTTATTTTATATCATATTTACCCGTATTATCTCCGTACGACAATGTCGATATCTAGGTAATTGAACGCACCTTATTCTAGTCATAAGAACGTTTGAAAAGCATAGATGATAACATTGTGTATTGGATATGAACACTAACGTCGACTTATTTTCTGTCCCCTCTAAAATGTCATTTTCGCGATAAAAAAAAAAAAATTAAATGGAAACCTTTCGGACTCTAAGCTTGCTTCGGAAGACTGGTCACAGTATTTCACGTCTTTGTTCAGCAAGGTATATTTCTGTTATAATGCTCTATAGTGTCACTGTTAATGATTTAAAAACAAACAAACACGAATATCCTAAACAGACTTGAAAAACAGATGATGTAAGTTATGTAGCCAAGTATTCTGTTATCTTAGGGCAATTATACCCAACAATAACTCACATGACAACAGAATGTTTAAATAGACTTAAATCAGTCAACGCAAAACTAGAATTTTTATCTCTTCTCATCATGGTTAAATTTCAGACAAATGACATGGTGCGATAAAAGAGCATTCCATCTTGGGGTGAAAAAGATGACAAATAATGATGCAGAAATGATCAAACTCAGTGATTCATGTGTGAAGGTATATAATCATCAAAGTATCATAGAGAGCCTTGGGACAAAATTATATTCTGTGATCTATATATACATGCACTTATTCTAGTGTTGAACATCCTCATACTATATCAGGAGTCCAGAGTCCACTTCTTGTCCCACGACCATGAGTGGACTCAGGACCCTTGACATTGTGAGAATAAGTGTTGCAGGGGTTGTATGTTTGTTCACCCTAAAATGTGTTTGCCCTTGATGCCGTCGCCCCAATTCTCGTTCGCCCAGAGTCCGATCGCCCTAAAACTTGATCGCACAGAGTCCGTTCGCCTTATTTATATTGCAGAAAGTTGAATAATGAACCAATGGATTTTTTAAAATAAATTATATGTACATTGGTACATAAATATTTCACAAGGGAGGCAACAGACGTATGCATGTGGTCACACTAAATACCTCTCCTATCAAAGACCAGGCAGACCAACAGAAATTAATGTCTCCGTCCTTTAATTGTTTTCAAAACATAATGCAGATTGTAAAAAAACATGGTGATCAATATGATCCCCTAAATTACAGTGACATTATTAAGTATAATTAAACCAATTAAGCATGTAAAAAGCAATAATATCAAATTTGAATTGTTTAATTAAGATTACGGTAAATAAAAAAAAAATACTGTAGCAACATTTGAAAAAAAAAAACAAAAAAACACCAAGTCGTAAAATATTGAATAAAATTAATAACAAATGTTAATATTTACTATATACTTTATATATATTAGGGCGAACAAGATATATGGCGAACGATATAGGGCGAACAATAATAATGGCGAATGTACCCTGCGCGAACGGACTCATGCGAACAGGTAGATAGGGCGAGCGAACCTGATACCTGTTGCAGGGGTTTTAAAAAACACACACATTAATTTAAAGTTATGAAGTTAGTATTTAAAGCAAAACGAGAGAGAGAGAGAGAGAGAGAGGAGAGAAGAATTTAGAAAATTAAAAAAGGAAATGGAGAAGAGGGAAAAAAATTTTGAAGGTCTGATTGCTATGGACTATGAAACTGATACGATTGCAAGTTTGGATTTACAAACTTACAAGTCTGGATTTTTGAACATGATTACCCTCCATAGATTGCAAATGCCAAATTTTAACAAACAGTTGTGACCTAAAGAACTAAGTAATGAAAAACTTTTTACGTTTAGAGGTTGAAAGAAATTGCTGATGAAAACTCTTACTTGAGAGTAGTTGTGGATGGTGGGGGCTGCTCAGGATTTCAGTACAAGTTTGATATAGAGTCCAAAATCCATGATGATGACAAGTAAGTTGCTACAAAGATCTTTCCTTGTTTTTAACTTCAGTCAAAACAAAACTTTCTCAACTACTGTAAAATCACTCATTATTTTTTATTCGTAGGGATTTGATATCATAATTGAAGAATATGCATGATACTGTAGTTTGAAATATTTAAATATCAGGACATAAATTAATGGGTCTCTTTGTACCATGAAAACAACGAAAATTAAAACCCAGGAAAATTAGTGATTTCACAGAATTCAACGATTGTGACAAGTGCATTTTTAAAATAGTATTAGAAACTTTTTACAAAAGACACCAAGTTCAAATAAATTCCGTTTTATTTTTCAGAAGTTATTGAATTCTGAAATGACTTATTCAGTGGAAAAGCATATTTTAACTGATCAACTCAATAGTGCTACATATACCTCTGCCAGCTATAAATTGAGAGGAGTATTAAATTTGATTTTTTATGAAATTCTAGAAGGTATATTACATGTATTTAAAAATTAGCTGATATGAAAATAAACCATTTAAATTATTTCAAAATCTTAAAATTTCAAGGCCATTTAAAACACATGTATTAATTTCCTTGATGACCAACATGCTCCAGCATGCTAGAGGTTTATGATGTTATACTTTTGACTTGATGCTGTGTAATCTCTTTCTGTAAGAAGCATAGGGACATAACCAAGGATCTTACCTATAGGAGCAGATGACCAATGAATATCTAAATTCATTTCTAAAGGAGTATTCTACTTAAGTATAGTAGTGTGGTCCCTTTTTACACCCTTGGTTTACCGGTTAAATATTAGCATACAGTATTTTGTTTATTTTCATTGTGTACAACGAAGTATTTCTAATTAAAACATTGTGTATTTATAATGAATAATTAAACATATCAGAAAATACAAGCCTATTTTTAACACCTATCGCACTTAAAAATGCCGGAACATTTTCCCCCGATCAGACCACGGTTTCTCTATTACATGGAAATGGGCGGAGACATTTAGATTAGATACTATAAAAAGAAGATCTTGGTATAATATTTTTCTTTCAAAGACGAATTATATGTTCAAGATTCACAATCAATTACAAATACAATTTTCTATTTACAAAACTTTGGGAATAAAAGCTATAACAAGATGAACCAAACAAGTCCATGCTGATCGATATAAAACTGAGTACGTTTCAACTGAGAACTAGCACGTTCGCTGGGGGCATTTACCTGTAACGATACAAAACCACGTGGCTTGTTATGATTCTAAACAGGTCATAGAGAGGTTAATCGCATGTAAATGAAGTCAGCGAAGAGATTCAAAATCACAATACTTTTAATTAGAAAACATAGAGCACAAGGTTGGTCAACAAAGATATTTTCACTCAACCTTTACACATATAATATACACATTATATTTCAAACTCGACTCTGAACAAACCTGTGCTCGGTGTTTACGAAAGCTTTGAAGTGTGTATATGTCACTGATTTCTTTTGATATTCATGAAAATCAAAGGACCCTACCTTCAACGCGCAGCTTCGTATGCTGCCTATATCTATTGTTTGACATTTTTAGATGATGATTCAAATAATAAAGACATTAATTAATAATAAAATTTAATTTTTAAACATTTTAATAAATGTTCGAAATTTGACGAGTAACCGGGGACCACAGATAAGCCTTATTGAGACTTGTTCTTTAATCCAACAAATGTTGCTATACATGGAAAAATATTGTGATAGTGCCATATCTCAGAGTCACTCCACCAAGTGGAAAGTCAAGGCAAAAAGTGCTTCTTTACTGCAATATTCCTTTTTTCTGGAAGTTTCAATTTGTTACTATATATAACAAACATGATGTATGAAATCTTTGCAATGCTTTCCCTAAGAACCTTCCACCGGCCAAATTGACCACTTCAATTGATAAAAATGCCACTTATAAATCAGAAGTTTTAAAAATAATTGTTGTAATGTCTACAAAGATACAAAGATTCTCTCTTCAGTGACTCTCCTTGGAGCAGACATTGGATAAATTCTGAAATTCAAATGGAAGTCAGACAGAAATCATTAAAACATAGATCTATTTCCTGAAGATTCACAATTTGAAATACATGTAGTTATAAAATTTGAGAGTGCTCCAAGGAACACAGATTACTTGCAACAGCAACTTTTAGAATATGGTTATATAACAAATTTTTTAGCTCACCTGAGCCAGAGGCTCATGTGAGCTTTTCTGATCAAAATTTGTTTGTGTCACATTTTTAGGTCACCTGAGTCACTCAGGTGACCTATTGCTATCTGTTTTCTTCATGCCGGTGTACAGTCGTGCATAAACTTTTCAATTTTTAACTTCTTTTCAAGAACCACTGGACCAATTTCAATCAAACTTGCCACAAAGTATCCTTGGCTGAAGGGGATTTAGATTTGTTCAAATGAAGGGCAGTGCCCTATTCCAAGGGGAGATAATCAAGACAAGAGGCCCATGGGCCACAGCGCTCACCTGAGTAACTTTGGCCTTGCTGTTTTTCACCTGATTCCCCCCCCCCCCCAATGTAGTATTTATTGTGGCCCCGCCTTACCCCCAGGGGTCATGATTTGAACAATTTAGAATCTACACTACCCCAGGATCCTTCCACATAAGTTTCAGCTTTTCTGGCCCACTGGTTCTTGAGAAGAAGATTTTTAAAGATTTCTACTTCATATTTCAATGTAAAACTTGGATTCCCTATTGTGGCCCCGCCCTACCCCCGGGGGTCATGATTTGAACAATTTAGAATCTACACTACCCCAGGATGCTTCCACATAAGTTTCAGCTTTTCTGGCCCACTGGTTCTTGAGAAGAAGATTTTTACTTCATATTTCAATGTAAAACTTGGATTCCCTAATGTGGCCCCGCCCTTACCCCGGGGGTCATGATTTGAACAATTTAGAATCTACACTACCCCAGGATGCTTCCACATAAGTTTCAGCTTTTCTGGCCCACTGGTTCTTGAGAAGAAGATTTTTAAAGATTTTTCCTATATATTTCAATGTAAAACTTGGATTCCCTAATGTGGCCCCACCCTACCCTCGGGGGTCATGATTTGAACAATTTAGAATCTACACTACCCCAGGATGCTTCCACTTAAGTTTCAGCTTTTCTGGCCCACTGGTTCTTGAGAAGAAGATTTTTAAAGATTTTTACTTCATATTTCAATGTAAAACTTGGATTCCCTATTGTGGCCCCGCCCTACCCTCGGGGGTCATGATTTGAACAATTTAGAATCTACACTACCCCAGGATGCTTCCACATAAGTTTCAGCTTTTCTGGCCCAGTGGTTCTTGAGAAGAAGATTTTTTAATGATCCCACCCAATTTTTGTATTTTCTTGATTATCTCCCCTTTGAACAGGACTTGGCCCTTCATTTTAACAATTTAAACTCCCCTTCACCCAAGGATGCTTTGTACCAAGTTTGGTTAAAATTGGCCCAGTGGTTCTTGAGAAGAAGTCGAAAATATGAAAAGTTTACAGACGGACGGACAGACGGACGGACGACGGATAACGGGTGATCAGAAAAGCTCACTTGAGCTTTCAGCTCAGGTGAGCTAAAAAGGCAAAAATAGGGTAGGGCCATTTAAAAATCTTCTTCTCAAGAACTACTGGGCCAGAAGAAATGAAACTTATAGGGAAGCTTCCTGACAATGTTTAGATTCAAGTTTGTTCAAATCATTGCCCTTGGGGATATGGTGGGGACACAATGGGGGATCAAAGTTTTACATAGGAATATATTCAGTAAAATCATTAAAAATCTTCTTCTCAAGAATAGTAAGGACAAAGATGGTTATATTAATATGGAAGCATCCTCAGGTAGTGTAGATTTATGTTTGTTCAAATCACAACCCCCTTGGAAGGGTGTGACCACAATGGGGGATCAAAGTTTTACATAGGAATATATATAAAATCATTAAAAATCTAAAGAACAGCAAACTATAGATGATCATATTTATATGGAAGGTTCCTCAGGTAGTGTAGATTCTTGTTTCTTCAAATCATGACCCTTGGGGGAAGGGTGGGGCCACAATGGAGGATCAAAGTTTTACATAGGAGGATAGGAAAATCATTAAAAATCTTCTAAAGAACAGCAAACTATAGATGGTCATATTTATATGGAAGGTTCCTCATGTACTGAAGATTCTTTTTTGTTCAAATCATGACCCCTGGGGGAAGGGTGGGGCCACAATGGAGGATCAAAGTTTTACATAGGAGGATCAAAGTTTTACATAGGAATATATTAAGGAAAATCATTAAAAATCTTCTAAAGAACAGCAAACTATAGATGGTCATATTTATATGGAAGGTTCCTCAGGTAGTGTAGATTCTTGTTTCTTCAAATCATGACCCTTGGGGAAAGGGTGGGGCCACGATGGAGGATCAAAGTTTTACATAGGAGGATCAAAGTTTTACATAGGAATATATTAAGGAAAATCATTAAAAATCTAAAGAACAGCAAACTATAGATGGTCATATTTATATGGAAGGTTCCTCATGTACTGTAGATTCTTTTTTGTTCAAATCATGACCCCTGGGGGAAGGGTGGGGGCACAATGGAGGATCAAAGTTTTACATAGGAGGATCAAAATTTTACATAGGAATACTGTACAGCAGGAAATTAACTCATGGAGTTAATATTCGCTATATTCGCGGAAATAAATATTCCGCGAATTCAACATACAGTGAATAATTCTTCAAAAATTGATAAGGATAAATTGAAATATTACGGATATCTGTGATTAGATTTGTTAACTCTATTCGTGTTTCCTTGCAAACATAAAAGCAGTAATTAATATATGTAGGCTGTCTTCCTAATTACTAACACGTAGCTGTTGTTGTTTTTTTTAAAGCTTAATTGATAAATAGACATCTATTACTAACATTTAATTCTGCAACCCGGTAGAGGTACGATGTAATTATCTATAAAACATGTATTGTTAGATTTCACCTGTGTGTATCACCCAGTCTTATTATCTTTAATCAAGGCACTTATGTAGTAAAGACAACACTGTTACACATTAATTCAATTTTATTAACAGTTCAACGTTTTGACTATCAGTACTGACAACTGATTTAGATTCAGAGGAATTTTAACATACTGCAGTAAATACTAATCTGTACTCTAATATATTTAATAAAAAGAAAGAAAGAAAACACGAGAAAGAAAGAAGAAAATTTATCTGAATGTGTAACATTGTGAATAGTACAACATTCATCTTCTAATAGGGATTCGTACAATGTTTCATTCTATTTAATTAATCGGGTTCAGAATCAACACAATACGCAAGGAAAATATTTGCATTGCTTAAAAAGTTTTTGTATAATTTTTCCTTTCCGCGAATTCAAACGACCGCGATTTGCTGCAAGTTGAACAAATCGTGATCTTTTCCGACCGCGATTTTAACCTGCTGTACAGTACCGGTATATAGGGAAAATCATTAAAAATCTTCTCAAGAACAGCAAACTATAGATGGTAATATTTATATGGAAGCATCCTCAGGTACTGTAGTGTAGATTCATGTTTGTTCAAATTATGACCCCTAGGGATAAGGTGGGGCCACATTGGGAGATCAAGGTTTAATGTTTATTTCATTCACTCATCAATTTATAGGGGAAAGGGAGCATAAATTTGAAAAATTTTTAGAGTTCTCATCAAACTGTATGTGATATATTAAAGTCTATTTAGCCAGTTTCAGGTGGGCTCAAAGTGAATATAGCCTGAAAAATTCATGATACTTATGTGACCATTAAGGCCCATGGGCCTCTTGTTAACTTCTCCAGAATCACTGGGTCATTTTCAACCAAACTTCACACAAATATCCTTGGGTGAAGGGAATTTAAATTTGTTCAAATGAAGGGCCACACCCTCCTTCAAGGGGAGCTAATTAAGACTGTAAGAAAATACATAATGCATATATACAGAAAAAAAAATCTTCTCCAGAACAGCAGGGCCATGTTGATGCTATTGATATTGAGGAATACCTATGTTGTATGGATTCAATTTTGATTAAATCATTTAGCTTCTTTAGGGCTAAATTTTGGTTTACAATATAGGGTCAAAATGTTTGATGAAATATTAAAGGAGGGAATTTTTTAGGGGAAAAAAATCTGCTATGAAGAACAGCAAGGCCAAAGAGACTCAGGTGAGCACTGTGACTCATAGGCCTCTTGTTTTTCACAAAAGGATGAAGGTCTATATCAAGGTCTCGATGCCTATAAAGCAAAACATTTTTGAAAGTTCCAACACATTGCTAAATTTCAAAATCCACCATCTAACATTCAAAAGATTTGTGCAAAGTTGAACTTTTATGAGTAGGTCAACAAGTTTATATTAAAGTTTAAAACCTGTTATCATGCAATACATATGGTAAATGTCATTCAGAACCATACTTTTTTCATGCAAAGAATGCAAGATGAAACTTCCTTTTGAAAAAAATACATCAAAGAGGTTAAAGTGCTCAGGTCACTAACCTTGATTCTTAAAATAAAAGTCTTAACAAGCATTACACATGCTAAATATATAACAGCTTTCACTGCAAGACAGTGTATACTGTCATTATGAAATAATTGATATGCAAGGTCACAAGGTCAGTAATCCTGGTACATGTGGTATTTTATTATAAATGTCAAGAAAAATGTGTGCAAATGTTAGATCCTAATGTCTAATGGTTTTAAATACATAGGCTATGACAGAGAGACTGATGGATAGTTTGCTAACTACAAAAAATGTTCCAATTTTCTTTCTCTCATTAGAACTGTTTTTAACATTATGTATTCTTGGATCTTTCTTTTCAGAGTCTATGAAAAAGATGGTGTTAAAATAGCCATTGATAATGACTCTTTGGAATTTCTGAAAGGATCTACCATTGACTATCATGAAGAACTCATTCGGAGTGCATTTAGAGTTATCAATAATCCCCAAGCTGACCAGGGATGTTCATGTGGTGCTTCATTTTCAATCAAGTGAAGAAAAACAAATCAACAGTCTCCGTGAAATGATTTTAATTCACCCTGTATTTATTGAAATAATTGTCCACATTTAGAAAAAAAAAATGAATTCTTAAGGTATTTGTAGATAGAACATGGTCTTCTTGTCCATAGAATCTAGAATCATAGAAAAAAATAGTTTCTCTTGGTAACTTTACTGGAAGGCTTGAATCTGATGAAAACATTGATGAGGTACACTTATTTCAGGTGAAGCAAAATGATATGCTTTAATTTAAGCATGAATGAAAGAATTTTAAATTTGAATGATGTGAATGTTTATGAATTGCTTGTTTTGTTTCCAATAAAAAAATTAATATATTATTCCTATGTTGGAGTTTATGTAACCAAAGTCGAGTCTTTCCTTCAAAGGTAGTTGAACTAGGAATAGTATTTTTAGAATAGTTCAAATTAGCTGGCTCACTAATATGTATGGCAACTGAAAGAATAAATACAAGAGACACAAGGGCCTTGACAGTCACCTGAATATAATTCAGAGGATCCATAGAAGTATGAAACAAAAATTGTTATTAAATGAACAGGAATTTTGATGCTCTCTGATTAATCCAGACACTCTTCCTGAGGCGTATTTCAGAGCAAGTTTAACTCCAAAAGAAGTTGCATAAAGTTTATTCGGGTTTTAATTTTCATCTGATTTACTTACATTTTCATTGACCAATCAAATTGTGTTTTGAAGCATATGTTGTCGTAGACATGAAAATGGCAAACCCCAGTATCAAAAAAAAAAAGACTAAACTCCGTTACGCTTTTATTTGTAAATGGTTGAGTATCTATTGTTTAGCATTAACATTGATTTCCACTTTTAAAACAGGTGTTAAACTGCTGAAATATAATTGTTATATTGTTACACAACTCATTGTTTTAGGAGTGTTTATATTTGTTTGAGACAAGAACTGTGGTGTGAAACAAAAGTAAAGATTACAGAGCTCACCTCAAAAAATTACATCTTTAAGTAAGGCAAAGTCCCCAGTAAACTTATAATCTAGTATTGTGCATCCCTGGATGCAACATTTTGGTCTGATAGGGCTTGCAGTTCTTGGAAATGGACTTATCTATAAACTCTTAACTAGTCACTCATCCAGAAAATGTAAGTCAAATCCAGCACCTGAAGCAAGTTTGAGAGTGTTTATCCCTTGATGCATCATCCACGCATTGCCAAGTTTGGTCTAGGTAGGGCTTGAAATTACACTAGAATGAGTCAGCTCCAAAAACTTTAATCTGGTTATTACTCATCAGGAAAATTTGGTCAAATCCAGCATCTGAAGCAACTCTGGTAGTGTGCATCCCTTGATGCATCATCCATGGAAGTTTGTTTCAGGTAGGCTTTATAGTTTCTTGGTAATGTACCTGTCCCATATACTTTAACCTTAACCTGGTCACTCATCTGGAAAATGTAGGCCAAATCCTGCATCCAAAGCAACTCTGGTAGTGTGCATCAATACATATATCTTCAGTGCAAAGTTGGTAAGCATAGGGCTTATAGTCACTTTAGAATGAACATGTTCCAAAAACTTTAACCTGGTCACTGATTCAGAAAATGTAGGTCAGATCCAGCATCTGAAGCAATTACAGTAGTATGCATCCTTAGATGTGTCATCGCTGCAAGTTTGGTCAACATAAGGCTTATAGTTACTTTAGAATGAAACTTCTCCAAATACTTAAAGCTGGTCACTCATCTGAAAAATGTAGGTCAGATCTAGCATCAGAAGCAAGCCTGGTAGTGTGCATCCTTAGATTTATCATCCATACAAGTTTGGTCAATATAGGGCTTATAGTTACTTGGAAATGAGACCTGCTTCAAAACTTTAACCTGCTCCAAAAAACTTTAACCTGCTCCAAAAACATTAACCTGGTCATTCTTTAGCTGAAATGCTGCATCTGAAACCTTGAATGGTACAAAGAAACATACTAGAGACATCCTCCATGCATCTGTGATTAATGCAGGCATAGAACTACTTGAAAAGAAATCTGCTCCAAAAACTTTAACCTGGGATGTGGATGCCGAGGGTATCACATAAGCTCCCCTCCAACTTCATTAAAGTGAGCTAAAAATGTTGCAAAATTCCTGATTATTAATAAAACGATTATTGACTTTTGATGAGGTCTACCAATGACTATATGGACCTGTTAACCTTGACCTCATCAAAAGTCAACAATTGTATAATATATTGCCCAAAAGCAATATAAATATGATCAGGGATCAACAAAATAGTTAGACCAGTACTCTGTAACAAATCATATTCAGCAGACCTATTTTCTTGCCTGTACTTGGCAGTGCTAATACACTCCCATTTGAAATTATCACCATACAAACTTAAACAAAACATTATTGCTTGAGCACATTACATCAGCCTCTCTTGGTCTTTGAATGACATTTAAATAAATGTACAAAGATAACTTAAGGTATTTTTGTCTCATTTTGTTTGAACTATTATTCAAGTCTACCTTATCATTGAAAATTTTGTATTATACATTAAACATTGTTATATAATTCATTTATTCACCAATCAATTATATTATTTACAGTGATTTAAATCATACGTGAATAGCAAAGGGAATAACCTCTCAGTAGAATACAAATTTTCCTACGAGATCAATAAAGCCATATCCAGCACAAGAACACTGACCCAGTGGTCCAAAATTTCGACACATCTGGAAAAATACCATTGCTCATTACCAAATTGTACTCTGTTTGCCTCCCATATGCCTAGGAGTAGAGGAGAAGATTTTCAAAACATTAATGCATTTGATTTCAAAGAAATAACGCATTTTCACTATATATTAAATAGAGCCCCATCCTAACCCAGAACCCCTGACCCAGAGGCCAAGAATTTCACAATTATGGGAGAGGCGCATCAAAATCATGCAATTAGTTTGTCTTCTAAATATACAGGGGAGAGATGTATGCATTTTTCACTATATGATCAATAGAGCCCTACCCTAACTGCAGAACCCGTGTCTCAGGAGCCATGAATTTCTAAAATTCACACTTTTGGTAAATGGCTCAATGCTTATTACAATCATGCCAAAAGTTAGCTATGGCACTATCAATAAATATGAATTATGATATCTCAAAGGTCAAAATCACAGATTTCTTATTCATCTTAAAAAGTGGATTATATCATACAGAAATGGATTCTGACAATTTTCATGAAATCATGTAATGCTAGCAAACACCCCTTCCAGAATCTGACTAGTTTGTTAATAAATTTGAAAAGATAAGTGTAATAAGATAAATATTGTTGATAAATTTACTTGGAAATGACATTCAGGGAGTTTTTGGATTAAGATGAATGTAATCTGCTGCTGTTAAAATTGACCTTTTTAATCTGGTAACTACTTACTCGTCTTAATATTTGGTTAATATGAAAAGTGTGAAAATAATGGACTCTCATCCCTAAATCTTTTCAATGCAAAAAGAAAAAAAAAATCTGCAAAAATACACTTTTTTAAGTTTGGATAACTTATGAAAATTGGTACTGTCCAAGAAATATTTTTCAATTAGTTATTAAATCTCTATTTCCATGCACAGATCAAGAGGAGGGGGGGGTTGTGGTGGGGGGGGGGGGTTGTTCTGGACTACCCCCCCCCCCCCCTTAGAATTTGCAGAGTTATTAAAAGTATATACTAAAGGAAAGAAAAAAATGACTTTGGAACCCTCCCTCCCCCTCCCCAGAAAATGTTGACCCAACCATGACAAAATAGGTGTTTTTCACGGTTGGGAAATGGATTTTAGGTTGTTTTTTTTTCTTTTTTTTTTTTTTTTGCATGTCAAGAAATTCTCTGGGTTTAATATGTTTGGGAAGGGAATTAAGGTGTTTTTTTTTTGCTTGTCAAGGAATTTTTTTTCGTTGGAAATTTTTTTTTACCCTGATGGACTGGGACCCCTGGAAAAAAATTCCTGAATCTGCATCTGATTTCTATTAAAAACTTTCAATGCCAATGTGACTTGATCTTGACTCCACAATCTACAGTTCGAATAATTGAATAATTCAGGTCATTTCTTCAATAAATTGGTAACTATTAAGAACTCATTGGATGTGCATATAGAGATATCAATAATCCTTTAGCTTCTGAAGCCTCATTTTAATGAAAAAATGCAATGCATAGAATGAAAAAGTTAATAAATCATCAATATTTATTGAAATGTCCATCTACACAAAACAGAATGCATTATTTAGGAATCTTGTTAAAGTCACTGGTGTCTTCTTATCCTGTTTCAAAAAAAAGAAGAAGTTACATTAGTATCTCAAAGGCATGAATCTGTGGTAAGATTTTCTATATCATATACATACATAAAGTTTACATATTTGGACACCACAAAAAAGTAATAATACTTATACTTGTAATTTTTAGGCATATGAATTTAACTACATGTATATACTAGACATAAATTGCTACTCAACATACCCATATATAAACAGAACATTTGCCTAATCAATATGTGTAAATCTAAAATGTCATCTTGCCTAATCCAGTCAGAGTTGTCAACACTAGACACTCATTTGACCTTCTTGACTGCCTACCAATTTTTTGAAGCCAAATGTGCACAGTTTTTTACACTGATGTGAAGTTGGTAGTTACTGATGGTTATCATTGACATTGTAACAAAGGTGGTACATGTATCATTGTTTCTCTGATGAAGGAGAGTGATACATGTAAGTCTATCATATCACCTAAAAGTCACCCAGCACTCAAGCATCAGAATTTGGTCTACCACACTTCCAGTTGCCACAGATTTACAGTGCAATCTTGCAATAATTGCGCACCAATAATAGACATTTGCATATCTATTAATCTAGTTGCAGCATTTTTGTGTCACCTGCAGAGCAGAGCGACACTTAGAGATCACTTTATTCAGCATCTGTCTGTCCGTCCGTCCGTCTGTCACAGCCTATATCTTGAGAACTGTAAAAGATATGGATAAGATAATTTCCACATATATTGCTTTGGACTTTTGCTTTTGTAAAATACCATGATTACTGGCCTCATAACCTTTGAACTTGACCTTTGACCTACTTTTCAAAATAGTTCAATGTGCTGATATACAGCATATTTTTGACATTTAAGAGGTAAATTTATGCTATTTAGCATTTGCACTATTTGACATAAAACATCATGTAAAATAATAGCATTACAATCCACTTGACCTTTGACCCACTTTGCATAAATACTATGGATGGTTGATTTAACTTGTGTCCCTTTTGTGAGGCAGGGTTTTGATCTTGGCATTTATATTTCATGTTTATGAGCTCATGACACTGTACTTTGAAGCTGTATGCTATACAGTATCCACAAAAACTGAAATCTAAATACTATGAAAATACATCAGGATCAGTCTACCAAAAGAATCATTGTAGATTGATAATATTGCAGTAAAGAAAAAAAATGTTTTACTTTAAATTACGCTAACATATTTATACATCAAATTCATCATAAACAAGTTTTGAAAAGGCAATTATTAATTTTTCTATGGTGGTGCAAGGCCTTTCAAAATCTGCTGGTACCCAGTACTTTTATCCAGCTGAAATTGTGATTGTACTGAAAATATTTGGTGGAGAAAACTTTGACAGCATATTTAATTAAAATTGCTTCAAAAAAAGGTACCTCCTATTTTTGTCAAAGTACCACCTGTTTCTAATCTTTTTGAAAGCCCTGTGGTGCGTTAGCAATTTTGTCTAGTGTATGTGTACCTGTTATACATGTACCTTTAAAAGTTGTTTTCTACATAAATCTATACCAAAAAAGTCTAACATTTCAAATGTTTTATGGAGCTTTCCAAAAAAAAAAAAATCATGTTGGACCCCGAGTGAGATATTGGACTGCTATGACGTTTTTTATACATCACACTGTAGGCAGGATCAGTTACATATTATTTGCATTCTTTGGTGTTCCACAGTAACAGGATTGACCGACTTAAATCAGCAGTGTGGGTAAACGAAATTTACATCATGTATTGCAAAAATGGAAGCCAGCGCAAGATATGTCAAAATAAATAGTATAGGATATAACAAAACATTTATTGACTGTATTCTCGGGAAAACTGCGTTTTGCCGACCACTCGAACCAATCTGTTTGCCTGAGGCTGTTAGGCCTCAGGCAAATAGTTTTGCTCTTGGGTCCAACAGAATGCATGTTGCTCTTGAACCCAGTCAATAAATGTAGAATGTTTACAAACTATTTATTTTCAACAAACTGTAATCAGTGAGCTTACCATTGTTATATTGTTGTAACTGACACTCAGCTGAGATATGGCATCAGCACTTAAACAGTCTGGTTTTATCTCCAATAACAGTTGAACTTTAAGTAGTAATTCTACCATAGTTCTAAAGTTAGCTGGCTCACAGAGGTCACTAATAACCGAGGTATCTAAAGAAAACAACAAACCATTTAGTGATGTCTTATAATACCAACATACTGTTAACATACTGTTTTTTTTGGAAAATTAGTGTAAATGTTAATCACAAACATATGGTATAATCTTCAATTTGCGCTATCAGATTTGTTTTGTATAATACTTATGCAAAGTAATATCTACATTAATTAACACATTGAATGCCATGCCAAATGTCCATGTACCAATACATGTATGAATGTCTGAATCTTGATAAACACATGTAAAGTACATTTCAAGCAACTAAAATGAAATCATAATGTCAGTGAGTTAATGTCATCATAAGTCTTTCAGTTATTAAAAGAGAAAATGTTCATTATTTTTTTTTTTAAATGAATTACAAGTACAGTGAAAACTGTCTAATCTGATACTGTGTAATCTGTTTCTTATGAATTGCAACCTTTATTTTCTTTCCCATTTTACTATTTTCCATGCTCTTTACACTGTGTGATCCATCACTCTATCTATTCTGACACAAAATTTGTCTCCCAGTGCATGTTGGATTAGACAAGTTTCACTGTGTTTGAAACATCTGTAGCTTAAATAAAGAAACTGTTCAGACCCACAGATCAAATATTTCTGTAATCAATGCAATCAAATGAAGTATCAAATAAATTGTCTCTTACGATTTGCCAAACAAGAAACATACGTAGTATTTTCAGATGTTCCTGAACAAAACGAAGGTCCTGTATCAAGTTGTGAACTTGAATCTCCTCTTGCGTAAAGGAATGTGTTACATCATTAGTGGTGCTCAGTGCCAACATTTTCTGAAGATTAAGGCAAACATTAAGATGATTGAAATACAAGTAGTAGGCAGTCGCAAATAGATAAATTCATTACTGCACCTACCTGTAACATTTGGTATAAATAAACAGAATTGAAGATGGCCTCCGAGAAGAAACTGTTGTCCTCTGCTTCATATAACTGTTTACTAAAATCAGATTGTCAGGAAATAAAACAGTGAATACTGTGTAATCATTTTAAAATTTTCATGAAAGCATTTTTCCAGATTTCCATATCTTGTCAGTATAGGTTCTGCTGAATAGGCAGATAAACAGTCTATGCATTACAAGAAAGAAAAAAAAATCAGCAGAAGGTGCCAAAGAAAAAGGAAGGAGGAAAGGAGAGAAAAATTTCATCTTGAAGAGCAAAAAAAAACCCTTAAAAATATATGTCTTTCATGCATACTTCTAGTTCGGGTGATCCATGCATTGTGACATTTAGAAACTGCAGAATTGTTCATTCCATAGCACATTAAAGATACATTTTCTTGAGGCAGAGTATTTATTGAAACTGAGGTTAAAATATTTTAATGATTTTTTTTTGGACCACCCCCTTTCAGACGAACATTTTTTAAATTCTCCAGCTGCCAAAAGGATATGAATTTAAAGAATGCAAATAAACAGATGTCAAAGTATGTCCTCTCTAATATCCACATCATTTCTGAAAATCCTATTAACGTCCTCAAAATCGGTCACTAATTCACTAATATACATAAACATGTTTTCCTTTGCTCAAATGCCCTGTCAATCAGATGTCTTTTTCCCTCTCAATAAATAAAAAAATGATTATCCAGGTGAACGATTAGGATTATTTTTTGTGATTCTGAAAAAAAAAATTCTGTAACTTTTAATCTTATTTATGGGCTGGTATAACTCAGCGTGCCTTTTAACTTCAAGACTTAACTTGAAAACAGTCAAGTATAATTTACCCTTTATGAGATTTCAGATATATCTGTTGAACACTGGTTGGTTGGTACAGCTTTTGAAAGATCTCTTTCACAGCTTGTGTTGACCACCAGAAATGCCCACTGAAGTAACTTATCCATTCCTGTAAATAAGAAATTCTGACAATTTGATATAAAATATGAGCTAAGTGTGTTGAATGCAACATAGAGATTATAAAAGTTTATAATATAATTCAAACCTGAATTGAATCTCTGCCAGTCTGGTCAAAGATATCTCAATGTGTTCAAATTTTTAAAGCTGCATGTACATGACTTTAACAAAACTTTAAAATTACACATAAGAATGACTTACATTTCTGTGATTTTCATGTCAGAGCAAACCAAATGAGTTTAATGTACTTTAATGCAGTTTTTGATGGAGTTTGATAAAATCAACTGCAACTTGCCTGTAAACATGTATTGCACTGCAAAGATCCATACTGTAAAAGATAACAATATGTTTAGGAAGATTTCATAAAAGGCTAAAAGAAAAACTTCATCTGATGGAAAATGTATTTTATAAATCAGATTATAGTTTAGACTAGTAAATCGCTCTTTAAATACCTCATTAAATTCCTGAGAGAGTGAGGCAATGAATTTAGAAGCATGCACCCTGACATCAGGATCATCATCTTGTACAAGATTCCATACACAGAAAAACAACCTGAATGTAAGACATAATTCTATATCATTTAGTAACAGCAGAAAGAGTCTTAGTGTCCTGTTACAATCTCACAAGTGACATATGTTTAGTCCAAATGCTCATATAAAGATTTTTGAATTAACAAAAAAGATTCAAGGTCTCAATAATTTTGAAAAAATGCCTGATAAATGACCCAACAGATGCATCTTGAACTAGAAATATGTCCATAGGACATGAATGCCCCGCCAAGGGTATATAAGTAATGCAACATGAAAATTTGTTTTGGTGTATGAAATTTGATGAGAATATCTTGAATAGTTTCTTTAAAATTGAAATCTAAAAAGTTGGATGTAGATGATAAATTCTTGCCAAATTATGTATGAGTGCATAAACTTACATAAATATATCTTAAATGGTTTCTTTAAAATTAAGCAAAATGCAAATCTAAGAAAAGTGAGGTCAAGGTCACAGGGAAGTTCAAGGTCAAATGTTTTTGATGCAGTTGAATACTTCTCACAAATACGTATCAGCATATTTAAGTTTGATAAAAATATCTTGAATGGTTTATTTTAAACTGAGCTAAACACTAATTTAAAATAAATGAAGTTAAGGTCAAAGGAAAGGTCAAGGTCAAAAAATGTTGACGCAGTTGAAAAGGTTACATCAGTATGTATTAGCATATGAAGTTTGATAAAAATATTATGAATGTTTTCTTTAAAACTGAGTTAAACACAAATTGAAAAAAGTAAGGTCAAGGTCAAAGGAAAGGTCAAGGTCAAAAATATTGATGCAGTTGAATAGCTTACATCAGTATGTATCAGCATATGAAGTTTGATTACACTATCTTGAAAGTTTGACACTAATTTAAGAAAAGTGATGTCAAGGTCAAAGGAATGGTCAAGGTTAAAAAATGTTGATGCAGTTGAATAGCTCCCATCGATATGTATTAACATATGAAGTTTGATAACAGTATTGAATGGTATCTTTAAAACTGAGCTAAACACTAATTTAAGAAGAGTAAGGTCAAGGCCAAAGGAAAGGTCGAGGTAAAAAAAATATTGATGCAGTTGAAAAGCTCTCATCAGTATGTATCAGCATATGAAGTTTGATAAAAATATCTTGAATGATTTCATTAAAACTGAGCTAAACACTAATTTAAGAAAAGCGAGGTCAAGGTCAAGGGAATGGTCAAGGTCAAAAAATGTTGATGCACTTGAATAGTTTACATCAGTATGTATCAACATATGAAGTTTGATTACACTATCTTGAATGGTATCTTTAAAACTGAGCTAAACACTAATTTAAGAAAAGTAAGGTCAAGGTCTAAGGAAAGGTCAAGGTAAATACAATGTTCATGCAGTTGAATAGCTTACATCAGTATTTATCAACATATGAAGTTTGATTACACTACCTTGAATGGTATCTTTAAAACTGAGCTAAACACTCATTTAAGAAAAATAAGGTCAAGGTCAAAGGAAAGGTCAGGGTCAGATGTTGATGCAGTTGCATAGCTCTCATCAATATCTATTGGCATATGAAGTTTGATAAAAATATCTTGGATAGTTTCTTTGAAACTGAGCTTTGAACAGAGCTAAACGCAAAATGTGACAGAAGGACAGACGGAAGGACGGAAGACGGACATGACAAACACTATATGCCCCGGCCATATTCATGGGGGGGCATAAAAATGGACAATTTTCCTAAGAAGAAATCCCTTTAACTAGCTATAAAAGTTATCATACTATCATAATATTCAAATGACAAGTGTGCCCTGCATAAAAATTACACATAACTTCTCAAAATACCTTCTTTTCACATGTATAACCAGCTCAGGAGCCCCCCCCCCCCCCCCCCCCCCCAGCGCTTCCCAACAATTCAACACATACACAACCTAAAAAAACTTACTTTAACAATGAAGACATGAATGTTTCTCCTTTCTTCTGTAGGCATAATCTTAGTACACTTTCTCCAATAATCGATAGACTGTGGCATACAGCCACTTTACACAGGTCACTACTGCTGCTGGTGTGATGCATGACATCACAGATGACTAGTATATCTTCTTCAGCCACCACACTGAAAGTTATAAAACTGTCTGAATATTTCAAGTAACATTCATTTTAGTTTACTGAAGTAATGAGATTTACTTTAAGATATTCTATAGAAATTCTAGCCATTATCTACATGTATATTACGATGTCTAATTATACGACAAAATTCCCAAAAATAGGCTACAAACAATGTTAGCCACACATATGTAATACTGGTACATGTACTGGTCAGACTTCTTTTAGCCATGTCAAAAGATCCCATTCATGTCAATTGACCTTTTTGATAAAATAGATTCTTTTAGGGCTGTTTGGAAATTATTGAGACATTCTGTTTATTTTCCTTTCTAATCTACTAGATGACCATAAGTTATTAAGGATTTGCTACAAATCAGTGGTGCTAAGTCAGTACCGAATAATCCGCGTCGGACTGTAAGAGGTATTTCATGGCAATATGACAACACACATTTTCAACAGAGTTTAAGAATGGAGAACATTTGTGCCTGGTTGGTTCCTGGAATTTTGAATGAGTGATGACAGAGATAGGAGTTTAACAATGCTTCCCAACTGTTTCAATACTAGAAAAAAATCTAACTCTGAAGTAACAATAAAATAATTTAGTGGTAATCTCACCAGAGTGTTCTAAGTCAATGGAAATACATGTACACAAGTTTATAATTTCATCAGGATTTATCTACTGTAATGATGTGATCAACTAGAATTTTTGCATATTTTTATTATTCGTTCTTGAAAAAAATTTGGTCAATTTTCAAGAATTGATTTCTTCCTTCTACAGAGTTAGTATCTCAATAATTTATGAAAAGCCCTCGTATCAGAAGTATATATATATATATATATGTAAAATAAAAAAAATTAGAAAAGATATATTCTACATTATACAGTTGGGTATGAAATTTACTTCATGAGCAGGACAAGATTCTTTTTTATATTTTCATGAGTGAAAATATTTTTAAAAAATCCTGTAGCACAAGTAAAGCACTTTTTTCCCTTTTGCTTCTATTGCCTATTAGATGTTAACAATTTGGAGACACTTTGGCAGTTTTAGTCGGTGTCAGGATATGGATTATTCACTTTTGCTATCTAAAGGGAGTATTTTCTTGAAGACTCTTAATGAAGGGAAGGAGAGTTTTGACACCATTTTGTTATTTTCACAGTGAAAATAACACATTTGTGAAAATACCAATTTAATTTAATGGATAAATTACAGTATTTCACTGTTGAAAAAGTAAAAAAAGTTTCATTTCTTCAAACTAATAAAAAAAAATGTCCTAATGATCACATACTTTTCATTTCTAAAACTTGCATCCAGGTAAACACATCCTAATTCCAAAGCAACTGAAGCCAGAATTCCTTTATTGTACACTCTGCTTCTATTCAGCTGCCATGCTTCTTTCAAAAGCTGTAGATCTGATTGGCTTATTGTTCTATGTCTCATGTACTGTTCAGTCATGCATGAAATTAGTGCACTCTCTAAAGGGGGATAACTCTCTGCCAGTATACACTTCAGTAGATCTGGCAGTAAATCAGGGGACATTTCAAAGGTTTTGTCCTCTCTGGCTATGGCAGTAAAAAACTCCATCAAGAACAATTTCACATCTGCATTTACTTTCTGTGTAGTGAGCATTTTCAGACAGATAGATTGGCATCCATGTTGTAATAAACAAGCAATACAGGCTTTCTCTGTTAATGGCTTCTGAAAATAAATTAAAATCAAGAAATATAGAAAAGAAAATCGAACAAAACTGCAAAAAAGTTTGGAAAGACATGTAAAAAAACCCCACAAACTAATGGTAGGTGTATAATTCTAGCATATTAAAAATTTGGTGCAATTATATAACACAGACTATTTTGTACCAACATGAATAAATATTTTAAAACATGTATTTGGGATTGGAGGAGACGATGCATCAAAATGAAATATAAAGCTACATGTACATTTAAAGAATAATATGATACCTTAGACATGTTTTGTTCTTTCCTCTCGGTATCTGAGCAGAATTTTCTCAATGTTTCCAGTATTTCAGCTCTAGTTGTCTGTTTCTCCTTATTCAACAGACCACACAGCAGTCTTACATACTGTGCCGACACTATGTCTGGTAAGGTGATCACATCACTTGACATTTTTAAAATTGCTTGCATAACATCCTCTGGTATTCTTCAATTTAAAGCAAATCTGATCAGAACTAGGACTTACATTTTTTAACTAATTAAGTCACTGGCAGTAAATATATTCATTTAACCACTTTCCAGCCAACTAAGATATTTTTTCTTGAAACCTTTACATGCATATAGTTTTTCCATCACAGAAGAGAAATAAATTCATTTACAGCAAACTCATCTAAGGCCATTTTTACAGAATAAATCATTTTAATGTACTTACTCATTGCAACTGTTTGTCAACATTTCTATGGATACCAGGGCTCCATGGATAAAGTTGCTGTCAGGTGATGGTGACATTTCTGATATCAACTCTCTGATGATTTTCAGTGTCATCTTCAGTGGAACCAAAGACACAAAGGCAGCTGAGGAGAGTTGTCTCAAGAAATAAACAGGGCTTCTCAAGAGTATCCTCACCAGGTTCCTCAGGGGTAGGACCTCACTAACAAAGAGTACCAGTAATTAGGTCAAACCTTTAGAACTTATTAAATAAACAGGGCTTCTCAAGAGTATCCTCACCAGGTTCCTCAGGGGTAGGACCTCACTAACAAAGAGTACCAGTAATTAGGTCAAACCTTTAGAACTTATTAAATAAACAGGGCTTCTCAAGAGTATCCTCACCAGGTTCCTCAGGGGTAGGACCTCACTAACAAAGTACACCAGTAATTAGGTCAAACCTTTAGAACTTATTAAATAAACAGGGCTTCTCAAGAGTATCCTCACCAGGTTCCTCAGGGGTAGGACCTCACTAACAAAGAGTACCAGTAATTAGGTCAAACCTTTAGAACTTATTAAATAAACAGGGCTTCTCAAGAGTATCCTCACCAGGTTCCTCAGGGGTAGGACCTCACTAACAAAGAGTACCAGTAATCAGGTCAAACCTTGAGAACTTATTAAATAAACAGGGCTTCTCAGGAGTATCCTCACCAGGTTCCTCAGGGGTAGGACCTCACTAACAAAGAGTACCAGTAATTAGGTCAAACCTTTAGAACTTATTAAATAAACAGGGCTTCTCAAGAGTATCCTCACCAGGTTCCTCAGGGGTAGGACCTCACTAACAAGGTACACCAGTAATTAGGTCAAACCTTGAGAACTTATTAAATAAACAGGGCTTCTCAAGAGTATCCTCACCAGGTTCCTCAGGGGTAGGACCTCACTAACAAAAAGTACCAGAAATTAGGTCAAACCTTGAGAACTTATTAAATAAACAGGGCTCCTCAAGAGTATCCTCACCAGGTTCCTCAGGGGTAGGACCTCACTAACAAAGAGTACCAGTAATTAGGTCAAACCTTTAGAACTTATTAAATAAACAGGGCTTCTCAAGAGTATCCTCACCAGGTTCCTCAGGGGTAGGACCTCACTAACAAAGAGTACCAGTAATTAGGTCAAACTTTTAGAACTTATTAAATAAACAGGGCTTCTCAAGAGTATCCTCACCAGGTTCCTCAGGGGTAGGACCTCACTAACAAAGAGTACCAGTAATCAGGCCAAACCTTGAGAACTTATTAAATAAACAGGGCTTCTCAAGAGTATCCTCACCAGGTTCCTCAGAGGTAGGACCTCACTAACAAAGAGTACCAGTAATTAGGTCAAACCTTTAGAACTTATTAAATAAACAGGGCTTCTCAGGAGTATTCTTACCAATTTTCTTTCAGCTGTTCCTAATAATTTACTATAACCATTTTTCACTGTGATACTATTGTTTCCTTCTCTATCAAATTAGGTTGAAGAAATACATTTTTTATATTGTGTGGAAATTCATGTTAACAAAGAAAGCTAAAAGTTGAAATATCAATGACCCATGTGAACAGAATCACTTTAGGCATGCTTGCAAAATGTTTACTAAACAATGAATCCTTTCATTGCATGCAAATTTATCCTTTCTTCATAAACCAAAAAAGTACCAATATTTTTGTTAATTACTTTGATTCATCTTCTTGGTCAAGTCTTCCCATATGTGAAAGAATAGTTAAAACAGGAAAGAGAGAGGGATGTAGGGAATGAATGGCAGTTATCTCCCTTTGTAGTGCACTCTCCAGACTCTGAAGGAGGTAAGGAATTAACTCTGGGTAATAGGCAGATAACTCTGGGAGAGATTTTGTATTGCAGGCCTGCATTCCTATAATCTTCTTTTGTCCAAAAAGTCTTGTAATCAAAACACCTAAAAAATTGTGATATAATGTAAAATTTTGTATGATACAATCAGTAGTAATTCATCACAGCTCAGTATCACATCTGCATGCATGCAGCATCAACTAGAAACATGAATCTTTCGCTTCATTAAAATATGCATTAAAATATTTTAAAGGAATATTGGAAGTAACGATGTACATATCATTTTGTTCAGAGAAAAACACTGCATTTTTTTTCAATTCTTCTAATTTTCATGGCAACAAGAAAGGAAATCTGTAAATAAAAGTCAACCCATACTAAATAATCTTGTAGCAGCATTTCTAATTGACCACGCTGGTGACCCAAACTGCTCAACCACAAGTATCACTGCTTTTTCAATGAACTGCATCAGGGCCTCGTGCAGGCTTGAATCTCCATATAAACATTTAAGGATGTTCAATGCATGAACTTGAGGTAGATCATGTCTGTCGTCAATGACTCCTTCTATTGGTAATTCTGCCATATTGAATAACTGATCCAATGCTATCTTCATTGATTCATTCTGTAATAATACAACATATAATCAATATTATTTTCAAAGAAGGTACAGTTGAACTTTTATCTCAAACACCGATATCTAGAGTACCATGGATATACATGTAGCTTGAAATCAGTTGGAAGTTACAACTACTTTTTCTTTACGTATTTTACCCTCAGTATCTTTTTACAAAGAGCCATCCCCCTTTCATGGTGGTAAATATTAATAAAAAGTACAAATAAGATAGGATTCTTTTCAAGAACCACTTAGCCAGAAATAAAGAAGTGTAGTTGAAAGCTTCCCTATGTAGAGTAGATAGTCCATGGGATGGGGCCACAGTAGGAGAATCAAAGTTTTACAAAGGAATAAAATGACCACTTTTGGAAAATTCTTCAATAAGACAGCAAAACAATATATGTATCTGTTTGAACAGATATATAAGCATCCCTAAGTCGTATAAATTAATTTTCTTATTAACCTCTCATTTTACAGTTTCCAGATTTGTACTTACAAGTATGTTTTACATAGAGTAATTGGTAACTGTCAGAAAGACCAACAAATCCTTTAGTTTTATACTATAAGAAGGAAGTGTATCAACATGTTACTTTCCTTTCCATTTCTGATTTATGTTAAGTATTTAAAAATATTTATATGTATATCCAAGTACAATTTTGGGAATGTTAAAGGGGAGGAAGATTTTAGCTGAAAGGTACAAATATTTAAGTACCAGTCCACATAAAAATCAGACAAAGGGTGATATATGAGGGTTCTCAGAATTTGATGATTTTCCACACATAGATTTGTTTTGAACTATGAACAATGTATGTAAAATGAAAAATGTTTTGAGTCATGGTTACCATGGAAACCCGGCCAAAGAAATTTCCTTAGCAACCAGCAAATTTTTCTGTGATGATGGACAAAAATTCATCTATCTTTAAGGCTTAAAATAAAAAGTAATTAGCATGAGAATTTTTTTCACTTACTGGTGTAATAAAGATACGAATTTTAAGTGTTTTAATAATGCAATAAAAGAATTTTAGGTCTTAAGTTAGCTCTGTGCTAGACATTGGAAGGTACACATGTTTTGCAATTTTTGCTGATTCAGCATTTTTCATGATTTTGGCAATATTCAAGGCCAAATTTAAAAAAAGGCCAGATTAAAACAGCTGTTGCGTGTATTTCACATAAAAGCAGATGAATTTCTCTTTTAGAATTTGAAGTCAAATCCATGGGCCTTTTTGAAAATCAAATCTGTTGCCTAGCAACAAATATGGACATTTTGATACATAAAATGAGAAACAATGTAAAAAGTTTACGGAAAAATCAAATGAATTGTTATCTACAAAAACGAAAAACAAATCTTAAAAAAGTAGAATTAAATTTGGACCTCCTAGCAAATTATTGAATATTGTATAATTATTTATCTCCATAGCAACAACAGGTTCTCCATAGCAACGGGCAAAGAAAATTAATTTTGACATGTATTCATGTAATCTTATTAATATTTATTCAAATTAAGTCAGAAAAATGTCGTTGAGCAAAATTGACAATGAAATGTTGGTCTTATTAAAGTTATTTTTGGTACTTAATCAACCCATGGCAACTATTACCAGTACATGACAAACAATGTGCACTATGCCTCCTGTAAGACAGATTTGACTTTGGGATCATATTGTTTGTGATGGAAATTAATATTCAATTAATGTGTTGATGATTGTATATGTTGAGAGAGCGGAATGAATATAAAATGTTCTATCAGTTGTTGTCATGGCAACATGCAATCTCCTAATAATTAAGCCATGGCAATATGCAATCCCCTTAGCAACTAAACATAAAAATTCATAATTCACCGAAAAAACATTCCAGTTCAAAGTAGGTATGAATGATGTCGAATGGAATGTAAAACAAATTCTGCAATACAGACAACTAAAGCATGTAGCAGGTCTTTTCAAAGTATTTTATTGCTTTATACACCTTAAGTAACAACACTTGAAAAGTTAAGAAGAATTAATTTCATTAAGAATAAATGTAACAACAAATCTCTTTTTTTTACTCCCACTTCGACCAGTGCATGCACCATTTTAGCCCTCTGTGTAAATTCAGAAATGTAACTTATTAAAGCTCTCTAAAATGAATTGATCAAGATTCCTCAAATTACTGATACAAAGAAGATCGGCGAACAAGGCAAGCGAAGTGCCTATAGTGTAACAAACATAAAGGTGAAAAATTAAATCTCAATTACAGAATTTTCTTTGATATATCATCTAACATTAAAGTATACTTTATGTAAAAATTCCACAATTTGCAAAAATCTCACGAAGATTGAAATTATTTGCCTATGAAATAGCAAACACACACACTAAAGATGGCAAAACGATCATTTTCTCATACTATAACACATTTTTTTGATATGAGTGGGTCATCGCTCCATTTTATTGAAAGGTTACCGTCAAAGTTTGCATAAAAATATACATTTTTTGGTAAACAAAGACATGGAGCAAAGACCCACTATACCTTAAAAATACACTTTTATGACACAACATTCGCATCCTCTGAAAAAATACTTTAAGGTAAGGTTTGCGACACCCTCCAAATTTTATTTTTTTAAAATTGTATATATGTCATACATCAATTTGTTTGGGAAGAATAGTTTCATCAATTAACACGATTTTAAAAGATATTGCCCGTCCCGTTTTTTGAGTAAAAGACGCCAAATTTGAGGTATTTGACGCTTTACATGTTTAATTATTTTCAATGAAAAAAAATGATTTATTTTATATATTATCATATTAAAATAATCAAAATGGCATGATTTAATATATTTTATGCTTAATTTATCTTAAATTTATATTTCTGTTATTTAAAATGTAAAAATTTGGGTAAAAAAAGAGGTTTTTTCAATTTTCCTTAATAAAGTGAAACCGTTCCCATGGCAACAAACAAGTAAAATCACCACTATCCATATCTACCGATTTTTAACATGTAAAGGCATCGGTGTTCCTAGGAATTAAAAGGACATTGGCAAAACAATTCCAGTCTTATCTTACCAGCTCAGATGAACTCATTCCCGTATGTAACTCAATATGTTCAGGTAATTGTCTCCTATGACCTTTAAGTTTGAAATCAGATATGCTAGGATGGAAATTATAAGGCATACAGAAACCAGTCGACGTAAAAACAGACCCATAGGAAGCAATTTCAGTGGGGGGGGGGGGGGGGGGGGGCAACCAAACACTTTCATTTGGGAGGCACTATCAACTACCAAAAATTCCTTGGCAAAAAAGGTCATCAGACATTATTATTGAGTAGGCACAAACATATTGTAGCGAAGTTTTCTATAGTATTCTATATTTTGTGCTCCCCCGGTTCCTATGGCCATGAAAAACCATCATCGTTGAAGGGATTCTTTAAAGACAGAAGAATGTTTTTATGTTTTTAAAAACAAAGACATCACATATGCATGTACATGCAGCACAGGGAAAAATGCTATAAATCTTAATGCTACCTGTATAAATGTATTGTATTATATGTTTTTATTTATATTTTGAAAACGTAGTTTGAAATTAATTCTTTAAAAATTCTATTTCCACCTATTTGGCTAACATAAAATTGCCAGAAAGATATCCTGCAAATATTCTGGAAATACAAAAAATTGTCGGAAATGAAAAAAAAATTGTCGTAAATGAAATAAAAAAAAATGTCGGAAATGCTATGCAAAATACCGGAAATGAAATGCAGTGAAAGAAAAGGTAGAGTTAAGTGAGCAAGCACATAAAATTATACTCTATACACCTAATAAAACCCTTAACCCTGGTAATGTTGATCTAGCATATATTGTGTTCATTTGAGATAATTTCTGTTTTTCAAAAGATCAGATATAAGCTTGTATCTTTTACTTGTTGTTAAGAAGCTGACATATACTTTTTTGTCTCTGTGTAAATCCAAGTTATTTCATATCATGGTCTTAAGAATTGGATGAGGTTTAAAGGGGGGAGGGACAAGTGGAAAAAACAACCTCGAATGTGTTACATGTAAGTAGGCGTCTATGATAACCCATTTTAAGAAACATTTGAATAAATGTAGGGAGACTTTTTTTCAATAGAGTATGGAACTGATCTTCATTGAATGTACAGATATTAAAATATACCACAGAAGGAACAATCAACTATGGTTATTAAATATTTACATAAATTATAAAATTATATATCACTTCATTTTGTACAAATTTTTAACATCCAGTGATTTAAATACATTAAATGTATTTTCGGGGCTTGCCGGAAAGGCCTGAGAAGATGCCATTCGGGGAAAAAATCTTAAAGAATCTTCTTCTCAAGGACAACAAGATTATAAGTATATTGATAACCAAGCACCTCATTCAGTGCAGATTCAGTTTGCCAAAATCATGGACCCAATAGGTAATCTGGCATGATCATATTAATTTAGGAAAGGGTCATTTCAACTTCTTAAGAATATATAGCGAAAATATTCAAATAACAGCAGGAACAGATAGATTCAGGTGAGACTTGTGGCCCATGACCCCTTATTTTACAAAAAGAAATTCTGGAGGGAGATATAGTTTTTTAGTGAGAAATTAAAAAAAAAAAAACAAAAAAAATTCAAACGTACATAAATAAATAATGCATACAATAGCAGATAAAAAGCAAAAACAGAGATTTAATACATAGATTCCCCTAAAATGTTTTGTTCCATATTTTAAATGTATGATATTGTTGGTTTCAAATTTAATTTAAATTTGTTTAACACAACCTGTTTTTAAGTCTACGTTATTCTTTTAGTCTTTCGAAAACTTTAAATCCCAGTCACATTTCCAAAAATGACCAATGGCCGAAGTTTTTTGAAACAAAAATAGGATTCTTCGGGGGACAGTCGGCAGTTCATTGGGTGTTGTCTTGTCTGATTTTGACTTCTTCTTTTTGCGTCAACCGGCCAATTTTGTGTCTGTCTGGACAAGTTACTTTTTTCTGCGTTGGTGGCCAATTCCTTCAACATTGCTAGGATGGAAATTATAAGGCATCATTGTCAATATAAGGATCATTGTCCAACCATCGCCAGACAGTTTGTCATGTCGGTCGTAGGTCGATCGAAATTTCAGGATTGGGTTTTCATAAAATGTCAGCCGACGGTGAAAATCAAACAGCGGCTCAGCAAACGATGATCGGGTAAGGGTTGGCCTACTTAGCGATTTTTAACATGTAAAGGCATCGGTGTTCCTAGGAATTAAAAGGACATTGGCAAAGTTCCTGGTTATCGTATAGAATTTTTCAAGAACTCTTGAATAGGTTTAATTGTATTAAACAGGCTATATTCTGGATTGTTTAACCTACCAAGCCAACCTTCCTTTTTAGATTTTGTCATATCAGTGTTTTTGCAATTCTCAATGCATTTCCTACCGGTATGTAAAATGTTGATAAACTGATAAAAGGGACCTACATAATTTTTCATCATATTTCTCCAAAACCCACTTATTTCATTTAGTTTTTGTATTATATACATTATTGTATCTTCATTACCTATGACTTATAGATATTTTGACTGAAAATGTATATATAAGACATGGACATACCAGCACCGATCTTTTTTTTTGAGTTACTTCCCTTAACAGCTATAATTACATATTATTCATAATGGTCAAGAGAGTCAGACTGGTTGATTGATTCTATCATTTAATTGACTAAATTGATTGAAACACATTGTTATAAAAATATTGGCATGGATTTACTTCAATTTTTATTCGTTGTTACTAAATGCTGCTTCCTTCATACAACATAGGAACTGATCTCAGTCTGTCTACCTTTCAGCATATATCACATCTTTGCTCTTCCCAGCATACTGAGCACAACTATGGTAAATGACGACCTGTTGGTTCTTTGTCCCCTAAATACAATGTATAAAAAAGCCATTACTACTTTTCTTTCTTGCTGTATATATGATTCTACCCATTGAAGGAAGTACGTGTGCTTTTGTTTACCTCTGTAAACATTGGCTTTAATTGGTTTTCACCGCTTAGAGAATTCTACACGGGAGATCACTCTCAATCACTATTTCATAAGTAAAAAAACCCATGTATTAAACCTTTTTTCTCCGGAAAACCTTGACTTGCCAATGTCCTTAATGTGACTACTCTGCATCGCCCGATACTAGAATCGTCTGATTAAGTTTTTCAGCCGACGATACGATAATAATTTGGTCGCCCGACCATCGGCTTAAATCATTTAAGTATTACTCGAGGTTATTGATGCATAAAACTCTATATTTAGATATGAACAAACGTGTTTATCCTCTAACTGTTTGAAAAGAAAACTCTGCAATCTGTATAAGTATAAATAGAATAATTAAATCCTGATCTTCCTACTCAATTTGAATCCTCTTACCAAATATTATTAGATACGTTTCCATAGTAACAATATTCTTTTTATTTATCTATTTATTTTCATGAGGAATAATTGTTACATTGTAATGCTTTCTGTAGTGATTATTTGAGAGTCGTACATGTATCCCCGAAATCTGTGACGAGTGCCAAATCTTTCAATACAGCGGTTACAGAGAATGAATCCCATACTGACAAAATTGCTGGCTATGTGCTAGGAATCGTTGCTATGGGTTAAATGAGTACAAAAATATTTTCCTAAAACAAACACGACAATGTCAATTTTTCTCAAACACATTTTTGTGACTTGATTTAGATATATTTTACAGGTTTACATGAATATGTGTCAAAATTAAGTTTCTTTGCCTCGTTGCTATGGGGAAGTGTTGTTGTTGCTATGGAAATAAGTCAAAGTACGATATTCAATAATTTGCTACAACATTTTATATTCTTTACACACTCTCAGCATATACAATTATCAGCACATTACTTGAATATTCAATTCCATGACAAACAATATGATCCCAAAGTCAAATCTGTTTTACAGGAGGCATAGTGCACATTGGTTGTCATGTACTGGGAATCGTTGCTATGGGTTGATTAAGTACCACAAAAACTTTAATAAGACCAACATTTCATTGTCAATTTTGCTCAACGACATTTTTCTGACTTAATTTGAATAAATTTTTAATAAGATTACATGAATACATGTCAAAATTGACTTTCTTTGCCCGTTGCTATGGAGAACCTGTTGTTGCTATGGAGATAAATAATTATACAATATTCAATAATTTGCTAGGAAGTCAAAATTTAATTCTACTATTTTAAGATTTGTTTTTCGTTTTTGTAGATAACAATTCATTTGATTTTTCCGTAAACTTTTTACATTGTTTCTCATTTTATGTATCAAAATGTCCATATTTGTTGCTAGGCAACAGATTTGATTTTCAAAAAGGCCCGTGGATTTGACTTCAAATTCTAAAAGAGAAATTCATCTGCTTTTATGTGAAATACACGCAACAGCTGTATTAATCTGGCCTTTTTTTAAATTTGGCCTTGAATATTGCCAAAATCACGAAAAATGCTGAATCAGCAGAAATTGCAAAACATGTGTACCTTCCAATGGCTAGCACAGAACTAACTTAAGACCTAAATTTCTTTCATTGCATTATTAAAACACTTTAAATGTGTATCTTTATTACACCAGTAATTGAGAATAATTTTCATGGTATTAAAATTTTATTTTAAGCCTTAAAGATAGGTGAATTTTTGTCCATCAACATGGAAAAAATTGCCGGTTGCTAAGGAAATTTCTTTGGCCGGGTTTCCATGGTAACCATGACTTAAAACATTTTTCATTTTACATACATTGTTCATATTGCAAGAGAAATTTATGAGTGAAAAATCATCGAATTCTGAAAACCTTCATGTATCACTTTCATACAATTTTGTCTGATTTTTATGTGGACTGGTATATTTTATGTGGACTGGTACTTAAAAAAATAAAACAACGAAACAAAAACACTCCCCCCCCCCCAAAAAAAAAAAAATTAGGAAAGAAAGCCAACCAAAAACAAGATTGGAATTTGTTTTGCTTCTCATTTACAGAATTTTACCTCAAATTTTAAAGTCCATTTAGGCAGAAGGATTAGATATGGAAATTTACACACATGGAATTCTATGAACACATAATTCATTCAATAAGAAATCACTTTTGGAAATAAAGATTATGATGAATAAACCATAAATATGAAGACATTATCCTTCACTGTTCAATGGTTTGAATAATAAAATAAAAACTACATGTATATCAAAGCAAAGTTAACCTTCTTGTTTTGGCGTTCACAGGAGATAATACACTGTACTACCACTGGCAGACCAGCTGACTTTCTGGTAGTTGATGTGGAGGCAGCTTTTGACTGAAGACTGTCTAATGACTATGTCAAAACAGAAAAAAAAATACAGCATACAAGTAAAATCTTCTATAATTTTTCTGTGCCATGCACAGTTATTCAATAGATATTTCCAAAAAAAGAAATCTATCACATGGCTTTACTGGCAATTCCAAGGAAAAGAACAATTGTATTACAGATAATTAAAGCTGCTCAATTTTTTTTTCACCTTGATCCTTCAAAGGTAGCTCTCAAATGTTTTGCTTCACAATTAAAGTCAGTTGGCTATAATGAGCACACACTGGAATACTTCCGTGTTTCATTTTTTTTTTTAAATTCTTAATCACTAGAAAAATTCAGCTATTGCCACAATTTCCTATTTTAATTTCAAATGAGTTTTCAAATTCTTTTTCAATCTTTCACAAAGTATGTTTAGAATCATTTGTTTAACACTTAACATACTGTCGTTATTATACCTTGAATAAAATATTCTGAGGAATGCAGGTCAATTCTTTGTTGTTTGATTCAAATAGAGCTGAACAGAACACGGTGAAAGCTGTTCTGCATCCTTCAATAACACCCTGTATGAAATAAGATACATTCAAACATTCAGTGTGAATTATCAGAGACTATTTGCTCTCCTAGGATAGATTTCAATAGGATCTACATTTCCGTGAAAAATAGTACAGTAAAACTCGGTTATAAAGAACTCAGTAGTATGGAAATCTTGGTTATAAAGAATTTTTTATGAATTCGCTAAACGACTTTTTATGAAGTTCCTTACATGACTTTAAAAAATCTCAGTATAAGGAAGTAAAATTCAAGGTCCCAGTGACTTCCTAATAACCAAGTTTTACTGTACTGGTTTTTATCAGATGCCTCACTTAATATTTTACTGACTCTACAATTCAGAGTTCTCTCTTTATGCTTCATTTTACTTAAAATGCCCTTACTCTGTGTCTGCACTGTGTAAGAACTTTCATAAAGGTATCGCCCACTGATCTGATAACCTTGACTTCCAAAGCCATAATTTCAAAATAACTTATCAAGGCTCCTGACAAATGTCCTAGACTAAGACAACTTTCCTGTAAAATAACAATAATAATAATAAAAAGACTAAAATTTTATGTACTGAAAACACTTTTTATTAGCGAGAACTTTATTTTAGTGTACCGTAATTATGCGAGGCGGTATGCTTGTCAAAATTTCATTCTTGCGTTTATTTTTATTAGTATATATTATATACACCAATAAGCAGAATTCGTGAAAATTTTGTCTCACTTATAAACACTCAATACCTATCTCGCAAAAATAAGGTGTCGCAAAAATTTGGTGATCTACAGTATAAAACTACTGTGTGCATTTCCAAAGTAACATACCATTGCATTAATTAAATAGGATAAATTACCTTGATATTGACCCAGCACCAGGATAACAAGTACTGGTGTTCCCCAGACAGAGCCTCACTCTGACTGTAATCTTCCTCACTTTCCACAATTAAACTCTCTAAAGCCTGTCCTATTTCAGCAAAGGATGGACAGCCCTCAGACTCCGAGCCTCGGGCCATGATGTTCAGCATTGTCTGGATTATCTGGGTATTTAGTTCAACCAAACTTAGGTAATGTTGTGTGAGACTTTCTATGCTTTTTTGTTGCAGTGATTCTAAACATTCTGTTAAACATCTCGTAACTGCAGTCACATATCCTGTAAAATGACCACAGCATCATACAAAATTCAGCAAGTTTGCACACACTAAAGACATTTGATTAATTTTGTTTTTAATACCGGTACATAGAACATTAGAACCTCATTTTGTGATTACTTAGGAAATATGAAGTCATTTAGTCAACAAAACCTTGAGTCAAAACACTGCATAAAATTACTAGTAATCATAAATATTGACCTTGTGACTCAAAACCTATGGATCTCATCTATTTATTATCTTCCAATTATAAACTAAATACAAAGTAATAATTACATACAGAACATGAATGTTAAAAAAGTACCAGTAAAAGCAAATTTAGTGGAGTAATCTACAAAATCTCTGCTTTCCTAGTGGTCAATAAGTGGCCAACTTACTATAAAAAGAACTTAATTCATAGCAGTACTTATAGTGAATGAATGGACGGCAATTAAGGCACATGGACAAAATGATTGGAGTGGGGCATAAATAATAGTGGTACCCATTCCTCAAATATTACTGAAGAACTCGGAACTTTACTGAACTGTAACTTCTGACGAATAAATAGAGACAAAGATAAGCTTTACTATTCTATAACTCATACCATGGATTGGTGATGACTTGGAAGCCTTTACAGGAGCATTCTGGGATTTGGCCAGCATTCCCTGGATTTCCTGTAGCATATGTTGGAGGAAGACTTGAACTGGATCTCCTGTTGGTGAAGTCAAGTCACGTTTACATTGGTCAGACTGTATGATAAAACACCATCCATTCTCTGTTACACTTCTGAAATTAAGCAATATGAGCTGCAATTTTCATGTCAGAAATTTTTAACATAAAATTAAAATTTACTACATGTATTTCAGTGACAGAAAAAAATGAATCATAAAATTTTGTTGTTCATTTTATTAGAACCAGAAGCAAATTATCATTCATGTGAATCAAAAATTAATATACATGTACATGCTTATATAAATTTCCTTAAAATCAGGCAGAAACTGTAGAAATACATTTTGAAATACTGAAGAGATATGAGTCTATTTCTAGTTAATGTGACATCACTATGTATTAATATCAAAAATCAATTTCTTTGAGAAAAAAAAACAAAAATTGAAAAAAAAAACTCTTAATTTTAATCAACCTAACCTACTTTCACCTTTCTTCACAGAGTAAGTAAAACAATGTCACGTATTATGAATTTTATGAATATGTTAATTAATGCCTCTTTGTTTAACACTTAATATACTGTCAGTATTAAAATACTAATATGCGCTAAATTTATATTCATAAGATTACTTTTTGAAGATGAGTTTTAACAATAGAGCCCCACTCTGGCTCTGGTAAGGTTTAGGACTGTTACACAACCGCAGTGCCTCCATCATCAGATGACATTCCAGTGTGCCCTCTGAACCATCTCCAGATGGACCAGGACTGCCATCTAGTGGCCAAGTATAATATTCCAACAGCAGACTACAGGCCAACTCTTGAATCTATCACATAAAAAAGAGATGGACATCAAATTATCTGAATCTCAATATACTCTGTGACGGATGCATCAAAGAATGAACATCAGGGTTTATAATTATTCATTGTAAAAATATTTTGTTTAGAAAGTCATCATGCAGGCAAATTTATCAATAACAAGTATCAGTTTTTCATTATTCACACTATTTGTATATAGTTTTTTTTTCCCAACATCATTGCATGCTACTCAAATTTTAAATTTCGAAGTATTTCCAACATGATATCATTTTAAGAACAAATCTTACATCATCAGCTCCATCCAGCAAACACATGACTAGTACACCATTGCTATGATAACAGAAGAAATCCCACAATCCTCTCTCCTTCACATAATTGTTCAGTTTCTTAGTGCTCTCTATAAAACGAAAAACAAATGTCACCCACAGAACTTAGTCTTTTTTCCTTTCTCACACACAGAACTGATACATTGGCTACAGTTATTGCTTTTTTGTAGAATGTCATGTTGAGTTCATCCTATTTGTGTTAAAAAGCTAAATGTATCAAGTTCTTTCTCTCTTTATGCAGCAAATTGATACACAATCTCAAGTACATTTTAGATTACATTTGACATTTTTCTCCATCATCTATGATAAGCTAATCCCACAACCTCAGAATGTTAAATAAATTTCACCGAACTGCTCTGTGAAATTGTACGTAGAAATTCTCTACCAAAGATGAACTAAAAGCAGAATTTAGGAAATGTGAGGTCAGAGTAAAATATCTTGTTCTGATACAAAATTTCAGTGCCAAAGCTGAAAGAGAACTAGTTTTCATCTGGAAACTATCTTACGCAAGATACGATGAATATGTGACCTTGACCTTTGAGCCCAAAACCAAAGAGTGCTTTTGAAGTACTGGTAATAGGGAGTTATGATATAAAATTTCATGGCAAAAACTCAAAGTGAGTTAAGATCAATTAAGATTGTCACCTGGACACACTTTTATGCAAGATATGAATTTCTGAATCTGACCTTTTACCTTTTGACCAAAAAATCAATAGAAATCTTACTGTGGAATCATCATTGTTCATGGGTGACCAATGGATTCTGTGGGTCATCCTCACCCACGGATTTACACTCCCACGAAAGTTTATTTTGAAACAAATTGATTCATTGAATCCACTGTATAAACAAGTAACCCATAAAATGATGTCCCCATGAACAAGTAAAATTTTGCTTGTCCATGAACATTGACTCCCACGAATTAAAATGATTCCACAGTATTTTAAGTCATAAGGAGTTATGATATAAAATTTCCATACAAAAGCTAAATGACTTTTTGAACTATAGTGTCACACACAGAGAGAATGACAGGGGACAGACTCAAATTAATGTCCCCTGCTTTTAGTAAAAGTGAGGGAAAAAATAAATGTTCCCAGATATTGGCAAAAAGGGGGACAAAAAAGGAAGAACAAAAAAGGAAGAAACATAGGTAATCAAAGATTACTAAGCTCACCTCGACGAATGTTATCTATAAGTAAGGCGAATCTCACATCATATTTTTTTCCTAGTTAGTGTACATCCCAAGATCGATATCCATCAATATCAGTTTCAGAATCCAAAGCAAGTCTGGAAGTGTCCATCCCTAGATACATCATCATCCATGCTAATTTGGTTAAAATATGGCTTAAATTCACTCATGTGGAAAATCTAGGTCAGATCCAGAATCCGAAGCAGGTTAGTTAGTGTACATCCCTAGATGCATCATCCATGCAAGTTTGGTCCAGGTAGGGCTTATAGTGTCTTGGGAATGGACCTGCTCCAAAAAAATTAACCTGGTCACTCATCTGGAAAATCTAGGTCAGACCCAGCATCTGAAACAAGTGTGGTAGTGTCCATCCCTAGATGCTTCATCAATGCAAGTTTGGTCCAGGTAGGGCTTATAGTTCCTTAGGAAATGACCTGCTCCAAAAACTTTAACCTGGTCACTCATCAGGAAAATCTAGGTCAGATCCAGTATCTGAAGCAAGTGTGGTAGTGTCCATCCCAAGATGTATCATCCATGCAAGTTTGGTCAAGGTAAGGCTTATAATTACTTGGGAATAGACCTGCTCCAAAAACATTAACCTGGTCACTCATCTGGAAAATCTGGGTCAGATCAAGAATCCGAAGCAAGTGTGGTAGTGTCCATCCCTAGATGCTTCATCAATGCAAGTTTGGTCCAGGTAGGGCTTATAGTTAGGTACCTGCTCCAAAATCTTTAACCTTGGTCACTTGTCTGGAAAATCTAGGTCAGATCCAGCATCTGAAGCAAGTGTGGTAGTGTCCATCCCAAGATGCATCATCCTCGCAAGTTTGGTCAAGGTAAGGCTTATAATACTTGGGAATAGACCTGCTCCAAAAACTTTAATCTGGTCACTCATCTGGAAAATCTAGGTCAGATCAAGAATCCGAAGCAAGTGTGGTAGTGTCCATCCCTAGAGGTATCATCCATGCAAGTTTGGTCCAGGTAGGGCTTATAGTTCCTTGGCAATGGACCTGCTCCAAAAACTTTAACCTGGTCACTCATCAGGAAAATCTAAGTTAGATCCAGCATCCGAAGCAAGTGTGGTAATGTCCATCCCTAGATGCATCATCCTCGCAAGTTTGGTCCAGGTAGGGCTTATAGTTACTTGAGAATGGACTTGCTCCTAAAACTTTAACCGGAACGCCGACGCTAACGCCAACGCCCGGGGGTATAGCATAAGCTCATCTCTACTTCGTCGAGGTGAGCTTAAAATGTTAAACTTAGGTCAAAGGTGAACACAAAGTTAACAAGTTTTTAACAAAGATGAATTGGTCCCAACAATATGAACAGTAAATGTATCACTGTATGGAGTTTAATAAATAATGTACACTAAATGCAAAATGAGTAAATGTGAGGTGAAAATAAAGATCAAACAGAAGGTAAAGGCACAGTCGAACTGCTCCAACAAATACGAGGGGCATTTCAAAAGTTCTGGCAACTGGTATATAAAATTTTAACTACTTTACGGATTAAAATGACTCTGATACCACTGTAAAGCTTAGACAAATATGCATTAGTAGTGACGTCATTTTACATTCAAAATGACGTATAGGTCTGCTAAAATGATGTCATAATTAGGTATACTCTGTATGCTGGGCGTAAAAATGACTGATAAGGAGAACAATTTTTTTGTTGAGCAAAGAGCATATTGCAAAATTCGCTCATTGCTTGGCTTTACGGCAACAGAAATAAAAGCCGATTTAAATGTAGTATATAGAGAGCATGCTCTTTCATATCGAGCAATAGCAAGATGGGTAGTTCAATTTAAAGAGGGTAGAAAATCAATTGAAGAAGACCCCCGTTCAGGGCGTCCAGTTTGTGCATATGGCGAAAAAGAAATCGTCGCTGTTCAAAATAGCTGATGATGCTAGATATACAGTTGAGGATATAGCAGACTCAACTAACATTAATTCGTCAGCAGTTTTTCGTATTTTAAAGGAAAACTTAAAGCTTAGGAAAGTTTGTGCTAGATGGGTGCCGCATCTTCTCTCGGAAGAGCAAAAGCGCATCCGGGTAGAAATGGCTTCACAGTTACTAACAATTTATGAAGATTGTGACCAAAGGCGAATAAATGAGATTGTAACTGGTGATGAAACATGGATATATTTTTTTGAACCGGAAACTAAGCTCAATAATAAAGTTTGGATCGGTGAAAATGATACAAGGCCTCAAACTGCACGCAGAAACCGGTCTGTCCGGAGAGTAATGTACGCCTTATTTTTTGATTCTAAAGGCCCTGTTGCTCAAGTTCCAGATCCAGAACACAGCGGTGTTACTGGTCAATTTTATGCAGAGAATGTCTTGTCTCAGGTTGTAGAGCACTATAAAACGACCCGACCAACAACCAGTACTAGAGGAATAAAGCTCCTCCATGACAACGCACCTGCCCATAGACCAGAGGTAGTAACCAAATATTTAAAGGAAAATGGTATTGCCGTTTTACCACATCCACCCTACAGTCCAAACCTAGCTCCATGCGATTTTTGGTTGAATGCCGTTATCAAAGAAGCCCTCCGAGGACGGCGATTTGAAAGTCGTCATGCAGTCAGAAGTGCCGTATTCCAGTGTATGAAGCGTATACCGAAAGAGGACTATAGGGCAGCATTTTCCACGTGGATTTCAAGACTGAAAGAGTGTGTCCAGGTCAACGGGGACTATTTTGAGGGATTGATATAATTTAATTTATGATAATGACGCTCATTAATTTACCGCACACCAGTTGCCGTAACTTTTGAAATGCCCCTCGTATGTCTTTTGTTCATGAAGTCTGATAAAAAATATCTTGGATAGATTCTTCGAAAATGAGCTGATTGTAAATCAGACAAACTGACAGATCAAGACCAACCTTAAGAAAACTGCATTATCAGAGTCTTGCTATTAAGCTTTAAAAAGTTAATACCTAAGTGACTTAAAATGTACCTGGAGTAAATGATTTTCTTTGCTTTGCATTCTCATTGTATTGGAAGGTTTCGTAAAGGATGGAGAGTATCTCCAGACAGGTTTTGCATCTCTGGTAGCTGGAACCAGGAACCAGGTTATCTATACACAAAGTGTGCAGCCATTCCACAAACTGCAGGGACACATCTGGGCAACAAGGTATAAACATTTAAAAATGATGATCAATTGCATATGCAGATCATCATTCTTAGACATAAAACAATCAATGCTTACCTTATTTACATGTACATTCTCAACTTCCTGACAAATGAAGATATATGCAAATGAAACTTGAAGATTGTCTGTATCATTTTTAAAGTTAAGGTTTTATCATTTCTCCAAGACTCATTTCGATCGAACTTTTTAAAAACAATAAATATTACATCTGTCTATCTATCCTGAGTGTAAAAACATAAATAAATTTCTAGGTCTTTGATTTTTATAATTATTATCAACGTGTATGATAATTAAAAAAAAAGAAAAAACCTTCCTACCTTCCCACCTTGAAAAATGTGGGTTGGAGTACATCAATTAAATTCTTTTTAATGATGGCCAAAATCCATAACAACAAAGGTACAATTTGTAAATTGGACAGACCTTACCTAGAGCATCCAAGTTCCCTGACTTAAAGTGACTTTTGAGAACCACAGTAGACAGCCCTTACCTAGAGTGTCTAAGTTCCCAGACTTTATGAGAGCCACAGTAGATAGTCCTTACCTAGAGTACTGATTTTATGAAAACCACAGTAGATAGCCCTTACCTAGAGTGCCCAAGTTCCCTGACTTTATGAGGGCCACAGATCCATCTCTAACTCTGATCAGAAGTCTTTTCAGATGAGCTGCCAAGTGTTGTCTAAATGGAGCTGAGTCTATTTTCAAATTAAGTGGAAGAATTTCTCGGAGAAGTTTGTCTTCTGTCTTTGATAATGGCTCTGTATCAAAGAAATGTTTCCACAGTCATTGAATGGATATTTATAAATGATTATTCAATAGACAGTTAAAAGCTTCCATTGCATGCACTGATATTTCTACTGCAGCAATTTAAATTGAATTCCTATACGCCACATGGCCTAAAGGCACCTATATATTTTAGTATTAAAATCAGTTTTAGAAATTATAACCGTGGGCAAAACAAGTGAATCAAGTAATTCTGAAGAGCCAAGTTCAAAGAATTTTAGTTTTCATTCAAAGTGCAATAAAAATTAATTATTGCCTCATCCTCCCCCCTTCCAATGAAATTTTACCTGATTTTTTGTGGCATATACACAGTAATCCTAAAGCCTCTGATCTGATTTCATCCTGACATGAATACAGTCCCTCTCGTATCAAGTCTTCTCCCTAATAAAAAGAAATAGTAAATCATATACAGCTAATACATACTTATAAAACTATAACATACAGAGTAATATTTAATATTAATTAATATACCTGTAAAGTGGACACTTGTGTTGCCCTTATCACCTTTGACACAGATAAATAGGCCAACAGCAGCCATGTTCTTTCAGCTGTTGTGTTTTTCAGCATTTTCTCCAGCTTGTTCTGGATATGAGAGCCTAGGTGTGGTGCTGTCTTAGTGGTAGAAGAAATCCAGTACTGGTTGACATTGTTTCTCTGAAGTCTGAAATAAATTCAAAAATTTTGAGGTATTAGTCTTTAATTATGTTATTCAACATTTGCATCACATAGCAACAAAACTCCTACCAATCTATTTATCACTATTAGAACTGTATCAGAGAAAAGAAAATCCTACCACGATGCTGCTTTGCAAAAATGCACAGATACATTTGACATGTATAACCCACTATTGCTGAGCTTTTGAGCAAGTGTGATAATGTAACTGACCAGAATCTGCTTATTATTTCTAGATTTTTCTGAGGTTTATGCATAGCCTACAGATTTCTGCTCTTTAGTCCAGTCAGGAGAGTGGGCCACCACGTCTCTTCCCACACTGCTATCAGTTCCTCTTCTGTTGTCCTCCTCCTGAGATACACATAAATAAAATCCTATTTCACAGTGACACATTGAATAAAATTTGAAATTTTTAAATTTTACATTGTAAGTTCAACACAAAAAAGTATTACTTCAAAAAAGGAAGATTCTTCCATCTACATAGGCAATTGGTATTTACCAACTAATGTTACATAATGTTTATAATTTTCATAAATGTTCTTAACTTCACTTAACTCTGTTACAAGGGTAGGAAGGATAATAAGAGGATGAACCTTTACACAGTTACATGGGTAGGGATGTTAATAAGAAGATGTACCTAACTCATTACAAAGGTATGAAGGATAATAAGAGGTCATACCCTAACTAAATTAAAGGAGTAGGAAGGATAATAAAAAGATATAAATTAACTCAGTCACAGGAGTAGGAAGGATGATAAGAGGATGTACTTTAACTCAGTCACAGGAGTAGGAAGGATAATAAGAGGATGTACACATGTGAGTTAAGGCTAGGTATAGGGGTTTCTATGCAAATGAGCTCATAAAAACGCATAAGAGGTATATTTACTATTCAGAGAAAGTTCTGATTTATTTTCTTATGCATACTTGGTACCCAGGATATGTTATAGCCAGTACACATTGTGACGTCATATTATGACGTCATTGATCTTACCTACTGGAGATAATAAAACACATCAGCAAAACAGCTTCGGCGCAAGGGATTACCTATTTATTTTTACAAAAAAATTGTATAATGCTAAGAAGATTATTCTATAGAATAATAAAACTGCTGCACAAATCCTAGGCATTTTCTCATTTGATCAGAATTTGAGGAAAGTTATACCGGACTGTACATTTTTACCCTTATTCAACATAAAACTTTACAAATAGAAATTATACAACTGAGCTGTTGATATTTGTACAGCAATACCATCAAACTGTGGAATATTTTGCTTCTAAATATACCTTGTTTCAGTTAAATAAAATAGAGCATGCCCTTGCGCCGAAGCATTTTTCTTGATGTCCATTATAATCTTGTGTAGTAAAGAACAATGACGTCATAATATGACGTCATAATGTGTACTGGCTATCTTATGTCCTGGGTACCAAGCATGTATTAAACAATACGTTTTAACTTTCTCTGTATAATAGATATAGTCCTTAGGCATTTTAATTAGTTTCTTTGGATGGAAATGCCTATACCTAGCCTTAATTCACCTGTGCACTTTAACTCAGTCACAGGAGTAGGAAGGCTAATAAGAGGATATACTTTAACTCAGTCATGGGAGTAGGAAGGAAGAGAAGAGGATGTACTTTAACTCAGTTACAGGAGTAGGAAGGCTTATAAGAGGATATACTTTAACTCAGTCACAGGAGTAGGAAGGCTAATAAGAGGATGTACTTTAACTCAGTTACAGGAGTAGGAAGGCTAATAAGAGGATGTACTTTAACTCAGTTACAGGAGTAGGAAGGCTAATAAGAGAATGTGCTTTAACACAGTTACAGGAGTAGGAAGGATAATAAGAGGATGTACTTTAACTCAGTCACAGGAGTAGGAAGGCTAATAAGAGAATGTGCTTTAACACAGTTACAGGAGTAGGAAGGATAATAAGAGGATGTACTTTAACTCAGTTACAGGAGTAGGAAGGATAATAAGAAGATGTACTTTAACTCAGTCATAGGAGAAGGAAGGATGATAAGAGGATGTACTTTAACTCAGCTATAGGAATAGGAAGGATAATAAAAGGATGTTCTTTAACTCAGTCAAAGGAGTAGGAAGGATAATAAAAGGATATACATTAACTCTGTCACAGGAGTAGGAAGGATAATAAGATGATGTACTTTAACTCAGTCATAGGAGAAGGAAGGATGATAAGAGGATATACTTTAACTCAGTTATAGGAATCTAACTGGAAGGATAATAAAAGGATGTTCTTTAACTCAGTCACAGGAGTAGGAATGATGATAAGAGGATGTACTTTAACTCAGTCACAGGAGAAGGAAGGATAATAAGAGGATGTACTTTAACTCAGTCCAGCAGTAAGAAGGATGATAAGAGGATGTACTTTAACTCAATCACAGGAGTAAGAAGGATGAGAAGAGGATGTACTTTAACTCAGTCACAGGAGTAGGAAGGATAATAAGAGGATGTACTTAAACTCAGAGACAGGAGTAGGAATGATGATAAGAGGATGTACTTTAACTCAGTCACAGGAGTAGGAAGGTTAATAAGAGGATGTACTTTAACTCAATCACAGGAGTAAGAAGGATAATAAGAGGATGTTCTTTAACTCAGTCACAGGAGTAGGATTGATAATAAGAGGATGTACATGTACCTTAACTCAGTTACGGATGAAGGAGAGCAGGAGGGATTATAAAAAGGATGTACCTTAACTCAATTACAAGGGTAAGAAAATAATAATAATATTTACCTTAAATCAGTCACAATAGTCCTGTACACATCAGCAGCAGCTGAGGCCAGATAGTTTGTTGTCAGACATTGAAGGAGTTCCTTGGGTAAGTCTGGGTATTCACTTACTATCTGCAGATAAACAAGTAAGTTACAAATGAATCACTGTGACCAGCAAGATTTGGAACATGACATACAGATATATTATGTAACAATTTCATATCATATATATTATATGTATATATAACATATGATTACTGTATATAACAGTTTTAAAATATTTAACATTATATGATACATGTATACTGTAGATTGGCAAATAATCATGATGGTTTTAATTTCACTATGTTAGCGATTTATCATTTTTTTTAAAAAAAACCCAACCATCATCAATGCTATTATTAGTTTTTAAAAATGTTTAAATTTTTATACAATATTTGAATTAATTTCTTGCAGTGTGAAATTAAAACCATCTCAATTGGTACTTTTTGAGAAATCGTGAAATTTTAACACCGTGGAATTAAAATGACTTACAGTATATACAGCGAAGCTTAAGCAATGCATTATACATATACATGTAAGGACTATTAATTTTTCCATTATTCTTTCATACGCTACTAAAATATTTTTTATTAAAATTGTGTATCTTTCTGAAGACAGTATTAATCCAAAATTAACTTCTGGATAAATTCCTAATCACAACTTCTAAACCTATTTATTATTCACAGGTATTGCTCTAACACAAAATGGCCAACGTGCAATATCAGCAAGTTTGTGTCTCTGTCTATCCAGATCTGGAGGGGAAATTCAGGAATTTTTTTTACCATAGCCATGTTTTGATTTGAACTTTGAAAAAATTTTTACCACTATGCTACCTTAATATTCAAAAGAATCAAGTAAAACTTACAAACTGTGATCCTAGGTAAGGCACCAGGGCTGACATCACTTTATATTGGCCCTTAATATACCATGGCACACTCTTCAGCTTCTGGAGGATAGAAGAATAAAATTTATGTGGGTCATTATCATCTTCCATCTTCTTTTCTTTGTGAGCCACCTGCCACACTTCAAACAAGCATTTCAGAGAGTCTGCTGCTAGTTCGGAAACATCGTCAACAGGACTATCCCAATTAAGCCACACAACATCTAGAGTCTTTTTATTTAAACATGAATCAATGAAGTCTTCACTCTGAATCAATTCAGAAGACACTAAATGTAGAAATTTATTGAACCATGTCTGCAGAAGATTAAAGGCATGATATCGTAAAGATATTGGTCCCATGCAGAATTCATGCACCACTGAAAATAATTCCACACAAAATGGCACAGAGTCCTTTGAATGGAATGCTAAACAGATGTCACTTGCACATGCTAGCATTCCTTTAACCATAGCAATAGCACCAAGTCTTAGCTGTAGCAATGAATGTTCTTCAATCTCTCCTTCTGCCATCAGTTCTTCATAAGAAGAAACATGGGATCTGCTACCTGCAAAATTATCCAAAATGATCAATGCTCTACTAATAGTGTTACACATTAATATTGTAAAACAGTAGAAAAGAACATTATGGTATTAATTTTTTTATTAAAAAAAAAATTCTATCTCAACCTGACCCCCATTTCCAAGAAATTTGTACGTCTCTGCAAAATTTTCAATCTGTATTAATATTAATACTAGTGTATACTGAGTTATTTTTGCCCAGTGTCAAGGGTGGAAGGGGTAAAAATAAATAGTCTTGAAAATATCCTGTACACAGTCATTTGCATGTGCATGTAGCTATACTCACTCAATATCACAGCATGTCTGCATGAAAAATTTTTAGGAAGATAAAATGGTATAAACAGCTAAGGTGTCAAAAATCTTGTAGGAAATACTCACCTTGAAATATGTTACTGAATACAGTCCAAAATGTGCCAACTGACAAGTTATTTGTTGGAGCAGATGCTAAAAATATCCCACTGGCTGTCCCAGACAGCATTTTAACATCAGCTGAGAGAATCTGTAGAAACAATTAAATTACAGTTGAACTGTGGAATCTCAAATGCAGTCATGTCCAATACAAGGAATACATTAAAATGATTTGTTGGTCCCAACCCCATTATTAATTTGTGCTTCAACCATGGATATCTGGATTCTGTCTCATCATGTTTGAGACAATGAAGTTTAAGTACATGTATATATATGGAATATTAACAAATACTTGCAATATTGCTGGAACTATGTCTTAACATATAGTATGCTAAAAAGTTAAAATGCTCTATTTTTACAAAAGGAAGCAGGATATGATTCCAATAAATACACTGATTTTTTTAATCCTTTGGAATTTATATCAAGAATAAAGTATATACATGTATGCTGTGTTTTGAAACACCAAACTTCATTTTAAGGAACTCAGATTCAATACCTCTGTGTCCAGTAACTGAAACAAATGAAGCAGAATTTGTTTGAGAATTTGCCAGGTGTTATCCTGATATCCGGTTTTCCATGCTATAAAACACGTAGTAGGACAAGACTGAAAGAGTTGAAGTATGATCTAAAACAAAGAAAAGATAAAACAGTGTTGTAGTATTGAGAAAAAACAATAATGTCAATATATCTAAATGTACTAAAAAGATGTAAAAACAAATGAAAAATTGTAACAAGTGCATTTGTCTGATTTTTAAATGAAATGATTTCATTGCATGAAGCCAATGTAATTAGTGTAATATAAGAAAGTGTCTAAGACTTACCTTGACTAAAGCAGAGATGATGAGTAGGTTCTCCTTGTTAGTACCATCAGTTGTTATTGAACCTCTAGCCTCATTCATCTCCTGGAGAATCCAAGAAAGAACATCCTCCATATTCTGCTCCGCTGTGGCTCTTATGATGTCACTTTGATCTAGAAGACAGGATGCTACAAAAAAATGAAGTGGGGTACTGTATTCAGACTGTGGGGTACTGTATTTAGTACTGTGGGGTACTGTATTCAGTACTGTGGCTCCCTTTTTCTACCTTTAATTTACCTGTTTATCATGTTTTGACATTTTACCTGCAGTGAGTTTCTCTACTCTTGGATGATGCTCATGGATTACTCCCAAGAAAAATTGATTTAGTTCATCTGCAATTCTTTTGGAATTGTCTAGTTTAAATGGCAGTAAAAACTAAAATAAACAAGAGTGATACATGTTTTACCACCTTAGATATCAAATCACTTAAAAAAGTACTTGAAAACAATTTCTTGATAATCTGCACACAGATAATAAATCCATTGTTATTGGTAATTCTACATGGAGTTGACAGTGAGAAATGCAACTGTCTTTACATACAATGCACATGTACATGAACATTAGATTTCTGAAGATGTAACTATTACATGTATATTAAGTATGTACCTTTTCCAATGATCTAGCCAATTTAATGTTCTCAATACAATGGCAGTATAATCTGATGATGACAGCAACAAAATTCTTCACACAAGAATCATTTGTGTTAGCTTTGATTAAAATCTTCCCTTTGTGCACTTCATCCAGGTTTCGTAAAAGTTTATGAACATCATTTGTTCTGTAAAATATGTAAGCAATGAAATTAATTATATATATCAAAGATAAGTTAACTCACCTTGACAAATGTCATCTAGAGCAAATGAATGTAGTGTGCAAGTTTGCTCTGGGTATATTAGTTCATTGTAGAAATATAGGATCTCTCATGGTTTGTGGTTGAATATGATTTTTTATCCAGTAAGTTGTGTGTTTTTTTTCCCTGAATCTTGGCGAGGGAATAAAAACACACAACAAGTTAGATACAAAATTAAATCTGACCACAAATCATGGGAGATTCTTTTTATTGCGTTTTACACATAGTTATTCATGCTTCACATGGTTTTATATATATGTAAATCCACAATATTTGACTTGATCAAATTCACTCTGAAACCAAGCTTTGGATATAAAACAATATCCTATGAGCTATATTCACTGTATAAAGGAGTAAACATGTGATAAAATGAATTATCAGTTTACAGCTTTTTAAGCAACTCTATCCTTCAATGTACCTTTTATTTGAGGAATGCCCAGAATTTTTATAAAATCAGAATTTGAATCTGCACTCATTGGCAAAGTGGACCTTGAGTCAAACACTCAAGTGCTGGTTTAGCTCATCTTCCAAACAGTCACTTTAGATTTATCTTTAATAGTCTAAATATAAACTTTTCTATCTGACCTAAAGAAAACTTCAATATGTTGATCAAAATTTCTATTAGATATCCAAAAAATCTTTGTAAATGAAACAATATTTATATCATGAATTACAAACAAATTTGGTAAAACCAATAAAAGCAATAATCAATTTATCTATTAACTAAACATATTAAGAATGACTTTTTTATACATTAATTTTGTTGCTTGGATGTGAAAGGTAAGGATTTGAATTACTTTATCTCTTTATAGGACATAGGGGCCAAGCTAGACCCAAAGTTTAGGGAGACATCACTTCTCCCTCAGGCAAAATTAGGGAGAAGTTTCTAATTCTAGGCAGACTTAATTCTCAGGATTGACAAACAGATTTTTCAAGTACTTGCCTATGGGCAAGTGCATGCTCAAAATTCACTTGCCCTACCTGAATTGTTACTTGTCCCACCATAAACTATGAAAAGTAGGAAGACAAAATAATCATTACAAGCCCTCATGTGCACTTAAAACTATTATTTTTTTCCTTGAAAAAGTCACTTGCCGTAGGGTAAGTGGTTCATAAAAATTCACTTGCCCATCCCTAATATTCACTAGTTCCAGGCATCGGGCATTTGTCAGCCCCTGCTTCTTAGCAAGGCCCACATTCTATCATTAAACTGAAAAAAAATTTAATTTATACATATTATTGTATATACATGTACCTTAATTCTTTATATTACTGAAACTCCCAAGAATACTCAGACAAAATAGGTGACGATCTTTAACAAATATACCTGGTATAGATTTGATATTTTTCAAATATATGGCATATATAAATACATGTATCTAGAATGAAAAGAAAATTGCACATTTTCAATCTAAATGTTTGTCAACTGATAGGCTTAGGTTTATCAATGTGATTTCATAACTTGCTTATGATGCACGCTTCAGAGCTTGTTATTTATGAGATTCAGTTTTCTCTTTATATCATCTTTCCCTTGGCAAAGTCAAAGTCTTCAAAGTTTGTTTTCAAAAAATTTCTTTTTTTATTTATTTCCTTATTTTTAAGTGAATTTTTGTATTTAGTGGCATGAGTTTAAGGACCCTCTATACACCAGTACAAAATGTTTTTGGAAATTGAGAAAATTATATTGTATATAAGTGTAAGTTTTGAGCTTATCTATATAATTTTCAATATATGGTACATGGCATTTACTCCAAGAAAAATGTTCAAAGACAACAAAGTATGAATGAACAGAAATCACAGAGCATTTACTTCAGTGGATAAAATACATGCAAATGATGTGTTCAGTTACTTTATCTGGGCCTTTTAAAATGTTAAGAATGCTTGAATTGATTATAAATTAAAAAATACAGTAGATTTCAATTTATTTGAATTTAGAGCTAAGGGCAGATCACTCTAAATGCAGAAAAATACCACAGAATCAGAACTCTTTAGTTGAATTACTGGGATTTTTTTAAATTATAGTCCTCAGTTTCAAAATTTTGTTGGAAACTCACTGAGCTCATTTTCCATTTCCCAACAAAATATATTGATCACTTGGATAGAATTCAGACAAACCCTCAAGTTTAAGCCTTCACCTAATACAAATCGATGTTTGACTCTGATAAATTTTAAGAGAAATAAAAAACATAGAAACAAATAAAGAAATAATGTTTTAAACTGAATTTTGAATCATTTGATGTTATGTTTTCAAATCAAAAGTTCTTGAATTATCTTTTTAAAAATAAGTACCTGTAGTGAAGCAATCTGACAAAAAGAAGTTTGATTTTCTCTTGCTGGTCTTTTGGAAAAAGCTGTACCCAATCTGTGTCTTCAATTAAAGATCTTAAATCATCTTCTTCTTGTCCAACCATATTTTCTTAAGTGAGGTCCAATAGGAAAGAACCTTTAATGACAAAAAGGAAACACAATTTATCCAATTATACAAAAGAAAGAAAGGTAAACTAGACCAACTCTAAAGACCTCTATGAAATAATAACAAAGGGGTTTTGGTGACTGCAAAGTGCAAACCTCAACCACAGGAACTTTCTGGCAAAGACTTATTTTATTATACTTTTTAGACTCTGTTATAAAAAAGTAACTAACGTGACCAATAATGTGATGTCACTCAGGGTCTAGACTGTGTACGACCTTTCACCTTTCAATGTAATGTGTGTGTGGTATGAAAAGGTGGATCTAAGTTAAATACAGGGATTTATCAGCTTATTTTGGGAAACACCAATTTTGGGGAATTGGGAAAAATTTATTGACTTTATGATGAAATTGGGAAAAATAAAAACCTTGCTAACATTATGTATTCAGGTGTAATTCATTTAACATTTTAGCATGAACTCTAATTTGAGCAACCAAACAGACAATTAAATATGATCCAACTTCATCATACAAGATCAATTATGATAATGAATAATAGACTAATAACCTAAATTTGATTTCAATGGGTATAAAGTATTTTTACAACTTAGGGTAGTACATGTGTGTATGAGATTCCAATTTAGGTGATTAGAATCTGTTTCTGGAGATTAATCAGATTATAAACCTCCTGCAAAAAATTATACTACATGTAAGTACACATTTTCTCAAAGTCCCCATTGCATTGAAAATATATTTTTCCATCTGAAATATATGCCTACAGTTCTTACCATTCACTCATAGATCAATTGAGTCGGTGTAAATAGCTTAATAAATCTATATTATTACACAATATCATCATTTTCAGAAAAACGGAGGAAATTCGGATTAAAAGTCGGCGATGTTTGCTTACAACGTTTTTCAACATGTTAAGACTGTAGCTTTGCTAAATGAGATAAATAGAGGAAAATTACAGACAATCTGACAATTTTACTGAGTTTTTTCCAAGATAATTAAATACAAAAGCATTGTTCACCAATTGGGAAAAAATACTGCCAAATTGGGAAAAATTGAAGTCATTTTCAATTGGGAATGGGGCCGAATTTTGGCCCCTGAGAAGGTACTGATAAATCCCTGAAATATATATTTATATACACTGTATAATTGTTGACTGTCACATATTATATTTGACAATGTGAACATTGTGGTCAACCCATTTGTATTTATCTTTTATGTTCAATTTTGATCTGCCTCCTAACACACCTTATTAGTACCTGGTATATAAATGTAGGATGAACCCAGTCTGGATTGTGATGTCACATGATAGCATTTGTTTGCATTTCATATAGTTTTCATGTACAAGTGCTAAATGAAATGATAATTGTATCAGAGTTATTTTTTATCTTCCTCAGTATATGCTGTTTATAAATTACTTCAATCTTATTCAATAAATAACAGATATGTGTACTTAGAACAAAAGAAGAATAACAATTGACCCTCTTAATTATACAAACGATTTTAAGAAATCATACAAAGAATTTTGTAAATTGTACAAACAATTTTCTAAATTGTACAAATAATTCTCTAATTTGTACAAAAGAAATTTCTAAATTGTACAATTTTCTAAATCATTCAAACAATTGGGTAGACTTTACTTTACCGGTCCCCAGATCCGCAAGATCCGCGCACTCTATGTACTATGACGTAAGATTTACGTCACTCAACTGATTAGGGATGGTTTTGCACATTTTTCGACTGGTTAGGGTTAGTCTTGCACCCACCTGAAAGATTAGGGTTAGTCCTTGCATAAGTTTTCGACTGTTTAGGGTTAGTCTCGCATCCATCCGAAAGATTAGGGTTAGTCCTTGCACATGGGTTAGTCTAGCATGATCTAGCATCCGCCTGGGAGATTTGGGTTAGTCCTCGCATACCATCCGAAAGATTAGGGTTAGTGTCTTGTTCATTTAGATTAATTAAGAAATTCAGTTGCGTCTGTATTTTTTGCAAGATCTTAATTCAGCTTCAACAACATCTCATTGGTTTACATGAAAAAAAAAATGGCTAAGTACAAAAGAAACGGCACTAAGCATGCGCCGCACGCGCTACATTCACAATTATGTTTTGTCTCCTATTCACTGAATAAACAATATTTATTACTTTTTTTCAGAGAACGAGGTTGAAAACTTTGTTTAAAAATGAAGTTTTAAACTAAACTTTTAACTGTAGAATTCGAATTTGGGGTCCAAAAGGCTTAAAACCTCATATTTTTCATTTCTTTCGATCGCTCACGCGATCTCATATATACTGAAGTCGCCTACGGCGACACTATATTTTAGCGCATTTTTCTGGGGACCGGTAAAGTAAAGTCGTTCCAAACAATTTTCTAAATTGTTAATTCATACAATTTTGTAAACCGTACAAACAATTTTGTTAATCATACAATTAATTTTGTAAATCATACAAACAAATTTCTAAATCAAACAAATGATTTTCTAAATCACAGGTGTTTGGGTCTTGGCTTATATTTATGTGAATATATGTTTGTTCACCCTAAAATGCATTTGTCCTTGATGTCCCAGCTGCCCAGAGTCTATTTGCTCTAAAACTCGTTCACCAAAAGATAGATAGTTGGTTAATTTTTCGTCATAAACTATGATTTTACTGAATTTCATGAATTTTTCTGTAAGAATTATACATGTAATAACATAGTGTATAGGTGGAAAAAAACACATGCATTCCTAAATCTAACAGATCATTTAAAACTGTAGTAATTGATGTGATAAATATTCTTATTGATTCATAAGTTTCATATTTAAGGAATAAATTTAATAGATACTCAAGTTATACTGTATTGCCTGTGTTGGGGCAGTTTACACTTTATAAACTGCGAAGCGGTTTAATCACCAAAAGCTGAACAGTTACCTACAAATGAAATCGCCGAGATAATTCGGAATACCGTTCTTGAGCAGTGCAGTTTAGACTGAGCTGTATGTTCTACTTCCAACTTAATTTCCCAAAACTAACTTTTTTTCGTTTCTAGACCCATTTTGACACTTGACGTTAACATACCTACTTCTTAAGCCAGTTAAGGACTTTTCTTATTTCGCGCACATTGTTTGTTTTGTTGTGGTTTGAGTTGAAATCTCGAAGCAAAATTAATTTAAAAGAGGAACCAAAATAAGGAAATTTGAATAATTTAAACGGAATGTTTAATAATTGTGATCATCATTTTACCGAATTGAAATTAATTTTTAATGCATGCTTGAAAATATTAGTCTTGGGATTAGGTTCGAGATTACAAGAAATGAAAGCGAGGCTCGCTAGAGTTAAGAAAAGAGAATGGAATGTAAGGAATTTTGTTTCTTAGTTGAATGAGTATCACTCAATTAATGCATAAAAAGCGAAAGTACTCCTGATCCACTACCGTCATACTTTAATTTAAGAGGTAAGTGATGGCATGTCAACGAGATCTGTTGAAATTGAGCGCGTTAAACTCGTTTTAAGGGACAACTTTTTCCACCGGTGCTCCCATTGGGACGCACAGCACGTATACACTCGTTCACACGTGTGTATTGATTGTCCCTGTCAGGTCAAAAAAACATGTTTTGGCCACAGTGGAAGCAACTTGTTTATTTTATGAGGATTGTTAAGAATAAAAAACAAACAAAGGAATAAAAATTTTAACCTTTTGAGCTTTTGTGGTGGAAATGAAAGCATTTGCATCCTTACATGTGTGTTGTTATGACACATAATGTAACCATGTATCAGGGGGAAGATTGTCTGAGATGCATCCTAAGAACAATTGTCTAAGGAAACTTTGTCTCAGGTCAGAAGATTTGAAAGGTCGTGACTCCATGTACCTTAGTATCTTGCTCTGTTGAGAAAATATAATATGTAGAATTATGAAGGACAGAATATTAAAATTTTACATGACAATGAAGGTACATATAGAAACATTTTATTGAATGAGGTGCAAAATATCATTACATTAATTAGGATAGCAATTAGAAAAATAATCCATTGATCATAGAAAGTTATCTCCTGTAAGAGGCTTTCAACAAATATTTGATGCAATTTTAGAACTCGAGGCATTTAAAATTATTTTTACTAAGAAGATGAATGAAAGGTTTTGTAATAATACTATTTTATACTTCATGTAAGTTGGTGAATGCAAATATCAAAATAAATTTTCCTTCATCTGATCTTAATCTTGATCACATGGTAAACACATCGACTTAGAAGTATATTTATTACGGTTAATTTTTCAATTTTAGCAGAATGATTGGTGAAATTCAGCATTTGCAAAATAAAAAAAAGATTGGGAGGTGAAGAGGAGAAAAAGAGAAGGGAGGATAGATTTTTCTTTCATTGCAAGGCATAACAAGACAAATTTATTTCAGTAGCAGAAAATGGGTAGACTTTTATCTTTACTTACTGGTCCCCAGATCCACACAATTGGCATGCTCATTGCACTAAGATGTAAGATTTACATCACCTGACTTTTAAGGGTTAGTCTCACACACCACTCAATTGATCAGGGTTCGTCTTGCACCTACCTGACAGACTAGGATAAGATCTCGCAAAAGTACTTTGTTTGATTAGATTTAGTCTTCCACTGATCTGAAAAATTAGGGCTAGTCCTCACACACTATTTGACTGATTAGGGTAATTCTCGCACCAGCCCCGTAGAGATTTGGGTTAGTCCTCGCATACCCACAAGAGATAAGGGTTAGTGTGTATTTTTATTACAGAAGAATCTTTTAAATTAGTCATGAAATTCAGTTGAATCCTTCATTTGGTTAAAGACCCTTCTAAAGATCCATGTATTTTTGCAAGAACTCTCAGTATCAACAAATTAAATTTTTTTACATCAAAAAATGATTAAGTACGAAAGAAACGGCATTAAGCGTGCGCTGCATGCACTTCTTTGACAATTATTTTTGTCAAATTTTCACTGCATAAAGAACATTATTTATTGAATATTTTTAGAGAATGAGGCTAAAAACGAAGTTCTAAACTTTAGTTTTCATTGTAGATTTCAATTTTGAGGTCAAAAGGCCCAAAACCTCATATTTTTGAAAAAAATTTTATTGTTCACACTATTTCTTATATATTGGAGTTGTATATTGGAACGCTATATTTTATTGCATTTTTCAGGGGACCACTAAAGTAAAGTTGTTCCCAGAAAATAATTTTAAACCTTAAAGTAACATAAATTACTACTTCATATAGATGGACCTCAAAAGTAGTAAATATGTGTATTTTAAACAGTAAGCTTGGAATCCATGAAATTTAGACAGCAATGTTTACATAATATTTTTTTTACAGGTGTATTATGGCTATACACCAGAGGAGGTACAGAAGGCGATAAGATTTCTGACTAGTGAATTATGTCCTCACTGTCCCTGCATAATGCTGCTAATAAAAAGAAGAAAATAGTAAATGTCATCTTATTGAATGGAGAAGCCTATCAAGTCACAGTGGATGTGAGTGGTGAAGCTGGAAATAGAATACCATATTTGCCCTATTGAGCACCCCTGCCCCTAGAAGTGCCCCCAGAACCTTTTTTAATTCACTAAGAATAAGGACCCCCCTTCCTCATATATTTCTTACCTTATGATTTAACTTTAAAACAAGATTAAACCACTATGCACTGAAGATATTTAATAATTTATTCTTAGAATGACTAATCTTATGTCTAAATATAGTGTTTTTATTTTTGGAATGCCTATTCTAATTTTTAAACATAGTGTTTATATCATTTATGCCTTCTTAAAATGTTAGTCTGATACCTATGTTGTTTTAAGAGTGTAGGGGCATATACCACTTAACATTTTAAAATGCATTTTAGGTGGGGGTACTTTTATAAAAGTTTATTTCCATTTGCGATACATGTAATACTATTCATGTCTTGTAACCCAACATAAATTTTTTTTAACAGACAGACCTGGTAAGTGTCCTCATTTTCTAATTTTCTAAGTGTCCTGGGCAGGTAATAGGGATAATATGGTATTTGAACCAGAAAAAGGTGTTTTCATGAAAATGAATATAAAAATACATGATGAAATCAGTTCACATTTTAAAAATATTTCATGTCTTCCTAGGTCAAGTCCAAATTTCTGGACGTCTTCAACCAGATTACCTCTTACCTAAATCTTAGGGAAACGGAGTACTTTGGACTGGCACAAAAGAAAGGTTTGAATGTTATCAATGTGTAGGATACATCTTTGTATAGTGTAATAATGTTTTAGCACTGGTTGTGATTATTATTTATTGATTATTGTAAACATTAGTTATAATCATTGCTTTTTGATTGTTGTAAACACTGATTTGATTATTACTTATTGATTATTCTAGATGAGGAATATTTGTTTGTTGCATTGGATGAGAAAATCCACAGACAAGCTCCTAAGTCATGGAAATCAGGAAACGGAGAGGTATAATTTAAAAATAAATGCAGATTATACAGTCTCATTTGATAGCATTATTTGATATTTAAATATAGTTAAGCATATGAATATTTAAAAAAATCAACTTATTATGGTTTTTTTGTTTGATAGGGATTGGATGAACGTGGTCAGCCAATCTTAACAGTTCATTTCCGTGTTCATTTCTATGTTGATCAGTTTGTGTTACTTAGGTAAGACTTGTTATGAGATGGAAACTTAAAATCTGACACAAAGTCTATATGTAAAATTCTTTATAAAACCTAAAGTTTTAGTTATATTCCTTTATATTTGAAATATTGTATTTTACTGTTTCAGATTTTAAAAAAATTAACAAAGTATTTTAAGTACAACATAGAAATGAGGAGTCTTTATAACTGAATTTTTTTCTTCCAGGGAAAAAGTTACTAGACACCTGTATTATCTCCAGTTAAAGGAAAATCTGCTGAGTTACAATCATGTTTGTTCAGAAGGAAAGTGTTTTCAAATGGTGTCTTATGCACTTCAGGCAGATTTTGGCAATTATAATTCAGACAAGCATGGAGAGGGTTACTTTGATCCAAGGGAATACTTTCCTGCATGGGTAATTTATTTATAGTAGTGTTTTTAGCTCACCTGAACTGAAAGCTCAAGTGAGCTTTTCTAATCACATTTTGTCTGGTGTTTGTGTGTAAGTCTGTCTGTAAACTTTTCACATTTTCAACTTCTTCTTCAGAACCACTGGGCCAATTTTAACCAAACTTGCCACAAAGCATCCATGGGTAAAGGGGATTCAAGTTTGTCCAAATGAAGGGCAACACCCTTTTTCAAGGGGAGATGATTAAGAATTAGTGAAATTTGGGGCATCTTTTAAAAATGTTCTCTAGAACCAATGAGCTAAGAAGTTGAAACTTGCGTGAAATCTTCATTACTTAATGTAGATTTATATTTGTTGAAAGGGCTCTTGCACTACTTTTTGGGAATGGGACCAAGGCGGTAAAGATTGGGAAAATAGCAACCTTTTGGGAAATCTTGGGATAACCATCATACTTTAAAATCATGATATATTGGGTTTCTGGTCTATGTTATCAACTAATTTTTGTTTTGCAATACAGAGGAATATGAATAGCAAATAAGTTATTATATATCCAACTATATTTTCTTTAATTTTTTGGAGAAATGACTGTTGGGAAAATTAACACATTCAATTGGGAAAAAAGGTACCTTTTTGAATTGGGAAGGGGCCCTTGAATGGTCCCAACTATAGACAATAGAGAGCCCTGAGTTGAAATCATGACCCCTGGGGATAGGGTGGGGCCACAATGGGGGATGAAAGTTTTGCATAGGAATATATAGAAAAAATCTATAAAAATGTTCTCAAGAACAATAAAGCCATGATTAATCATATTATTATGGAAGCATCCTCAGATAGTTAAGATTCAAGTTTGTTCAAATCATGACCTTCAGGGGTAGGGTGCGGCCACAATGGGGGTCAAAGTTTTACATAGAAATATATAGGAAAAAATCTATAAAATCTTCTTAAAAAAAAAAATTACAAAGCCATGATTAATCATATTGATATGGAAGCATCCTCAGATAGTTTAGATTCAAGTTTGTCATGACACCTGGGGGCAGGACCTGGGAAGGGGTCGCACCATGCAACATATGTTCATACTGCGGAAAAATGGTGCAATGCAATAATGGTGTGCTGTGCCATGTGGCTCATCCCTCAAATATTCAGCAAAATGAGACCGTGTATGATTTTCTCATTTCTGAGTTCATTGCAGTTGGTGCATTACAGACGATTTCATCAAATTTCGATGTCGATAGTAGTATGGAATTATAAAATTGGAACCACCATAATGACATTCTGCTAGCAAAGAAACAGAAACTTTTTTCTCGCACATGGTTCGTAACTGACAAGTCATTTTGGATGGCTGATCATAGCATTGAAAATTTTAACTTTACGAAAGTCTTGCACATAGAAAATGTTTGCTTACAATGTAATACCATATCAATAAAGTCTACTTAACTTTGTCCTTCCCTCAATCTGTAAATCAGCATTTAAAAAAAACCCAACTTTTTGGTGCTTTTAGTTTTAATATAATTTTTTGAAATACTTGCCAGGTTAGAATAATTCACTGCATGAATATCTTAGATAGGTAAAAAAAATCATCAAGTCAATGTCAGGTACAATGATTATCAATATTATTCCTCTAGTGTTTTGTTCATTTACTTAAATGCTGTCGTCAAAAATATATGCATCATAAGTCACAACAAAAATGCAAAGTGATCATACTGTGATATTTAATTTTAGGTAAAAATAACAAACAGTGATCAATCACACTCATAAATCCATTTTTTTAATACCGAAATGGCCCCAATGTTTTTTTTTTCTCAGCCTAACAAAATCAAAATGGCCCTATCATTTCATGAAATTGGCCCCACCTATTCTTTGACCTTCCCAGGCACTGTGAGGGTAGGGTGGGACTAAAACAGGGGATCAAAGTTTAACATAGGAATATATAGGAGAAAAGAAAAATGACAGGGCCCTATTGACTCAGGTAATTGCTGTGGCCCATGGGCCTCAAGTTCTTTTGATCTTGCAGAACTGAATTACATATGTAGATATGAAATAATCAGTTGACTTAGGCAATAAATGTATTAAAATATTAACCCAGTTAAACCACTTATAACATACAAATAAATTCCACAACAGGTGAGACTCTTTACATTGAAAATTACACTGTTAGTTTAGATCATCTTTGTGTTTAGGAAGTAGATAGAACAAATACAAAAATTAAAAGCTTTTTTAAAATTATTGAGGTAATCTTACATGGCTTAGAAAATATTTTCAGATGGTAAAGAGAAGGGGAGAAAACTACATTGTGAATAACACACCAGTCATTCATCAAGATTTACAAAATGTTACAAAGTCGGAGGCAGAGTTGCGTTTTATTCGTGAGGCCTCCATGTCACCTGCTGCACACAATCTTCATTTTTATCGTCTGCGGAAACGGAAAACTGACAAAACTTGCAATGCATGGTTAGGTGTTTGTGCCAAAGGAATTGAATTATATGAGGTAAATTTCCAGTGATACTTTTATGAAATGATAAACGTACAGATTAAAGAAGTTTTACAGAAAAAATATTTATTTTAAAACTTCATTCTTATACATTATAGGAAATTGATGATTCATTCAAAAATCTCATTTCAACATTTTTATGGCCTGATATTGGAAAACTTCACTTTGAGGTAAGTAATAGAAAATGGAAGTTAACTTGTGGGTATGGTAAGTAATAGAAAGTGGAAGCTAACGTGTGGGTATTGCAGAACTGAATTTGTGTTTGGAGGGAGCAGGGTCTGGAAGAGGTTCCTATTACCCCCATAACCCACAAAATTACATGTATTTCAAACCCCAAACACTTAATATTCATATATTCGTACCTACTAATCAACCATCTGATAATATTTTAAAGTTTAATTCCTATTTAATTATGGCTAATAAAGCATTAATATTCACGGTTATATAGGCTTAAATGATGAAAATTGGTCATTCTGAGTTTGTTTTCTTTCTTTTCACGTTTTGAAATTTCTCACAGGCACTTTATACCTGAACAACTTTCTACCCTCCTCATATTTTATATAAAAAAAGAATTGTATGATACTTTGAAGTATTTGGTTGTTGATCTGTTTCATCAATATTTCAAAGATTGTGGTCAATTATTTTATTGTTGATTAATATCAAAACAGATATGACAAAAAGGGGGGGGGGGGCACTATTTCTTTAAATGATTCATTTATATTATTTTAATTAGTGCTCTCAAATGAAATATTTTCCTTGTTTGTAGAAAAAGAAGTTTGAGATTCAGTCTGGCCCAGGAGGGAGAAAATTTGCTTACTACACAGACTCTGATAGCAAGTCCAAGTACCTGCTGTCTCTGTGTCGGACAACTCACATGTTCCAGATGGCCATCCAACCCAAGCTTATGGAGATCAGACATCTAGATGCAGAAGGTATGAGTGTAAATTCTGTGATTCTGAAAGAATTGAATTAGGCTTTCTATATCTATGGTGTGCTTGATCAAAAGATTTTGAAGAGCATATAGCAGACTTGGATTGATTTTTAACTTTTCTGGTCATCGACTAGAAGAGCTTATGTGATAGTAAGGTGTCCGTCGTCCATCCGTCTGATAAGCTGTCCATCTGTAAACAATTTTTTAAAATGCTTCTCCTACAGTTTTGGTCTGATTTCAATATAACTTATGCACTTAAGTAGATTACACTAAGATACATATTTCTTTATATCGGTTTTTGATTTCATTGAACAGTGTTGCAATGGTTACAATAAAGAGAAATTTCCATGAAATGCTTCCAAAACGCTACTCCTCCAACAGTTTTGGTCTGATTTCAGTATTAGTTGACACCCAGGTAGACTGCTCAGTGATACATTATTCTGTTTATCTTTTTGAGGAACAGTGTTGCCATGGTTACTAAAAAATAGAAATTTTTGTGAAATACTCCTCCTACATTTTGGTCTGATTTAAATATAGGAACAGTGTTGCCATGGTTACTAAAAAATAGAAATTTTTGTGATATACTCCTCCTACATTTTGGTCTGATTTAAATATAACTTGGCACACAAGTAGACTACACTAAGATACATAATTCAGTGTGTTGGTTTTTGATTTCAATGAATGATGTTGCCATAGGTATTAAAAATAGAAGTTTTTTGGAAATTCTTTCAAAATGCTACTCCTCCTTCAGTTTTGGTCTGATCTCAGTATAACTTGGAGCACTACTCTGAGCTACATAATTCTTTAAATTGATGAAAGGTGTTGCCATGGTTACTAAAAATAGAATTTTCTTTGAAATTATTTCAAAAGACTACTCCTCCTACAGTTTTAGTTGATTGCAATAAATCTTGCCAAAAAAGAGACTAAACCAAGCATCATTATTCTATTTATTGCTGTTGCATAGTTTCAACAACAAATGCTACTTTTCTCCTCCTTTGTTAGAAGTACACACCAATAGAGCTACAATCTCGTCAGAGACTTTTGGTTGGAGAATTAAAGCAATGTATACCGTAAATCTGGAAATTTTTACTGTAGATAAATTTTTAGCAAATTTGCGAGTGCATTGCATTTGCAAAAATATTTTTTTTAAAAATAAATAAACAACAAAAAATGTAAACAAAAATTTTTCTGACAACCGGTGTCTTCTTTTTTTAACCCGGTGAATATCTGTTCATACTACAGGCTAATTATCCGTGATAATCCATGCATTAACTACATTCAATATCGTCCGATTGTTTGACTGGCAGTATGTCTCTTTTAAATTATTTCTCTAACAAAGAAAGGCCAGTTATTTTATCATGTTTATCTAACAATGAATTCTTAGCACAACAGATAGTTAACGAAGAAATTACTCTCGTGTATAATGAAACCCCGACGAAAGGAATGTGATTGTATGTACATGCATAATTCATTGTATGCACATCTGTAACTTATAAAATGTATGTTATGAAAATTTTAAGAGCTTTTTATTTTTAGCGCCAATGACAATTCGCAAAATTTTAAAACGTAAAAATTAATCAACACCCTTTTGACCCAGATTCGCAAAAATAAATTTCCAGATTTACGGTATAAGGTTTTCAAAATTTTAACAGAAAAGAATGCCCTTTTTAGCTCTACTGGTCAGAGACCAGAAGAGCATATGCGATAGTAAGGTGTCCGTCGTCCGTCCGTCTGTCTGTCTGTCTGTCTGTCTGTCTGTCTGTAAACAATTTTTCAAAACGCTACTCCTCCTACAGTTTTGGTCCGATTTCAATATAACTTGGCACACAAGTAGACTACACTAAGATACATAATTTAGTGCATCGGTTTTTGATTTTGATGGACGGTGTTGCCATGGTTACTAAAAATAGAAATTTCTGTGAAATTCCTTTAAAATGCTACTCCTCCTACAGTTTTGGTCCGATTTCAATATAACTTGGCACACAAGTAGACTACACTTAGATACATAATTTAGTGCATCGGTTTTTGATTTCGATGGACGGTGTTGCCATGGTTACTAAAAATAGAAATTTCTGTGAAATTCCTTTAAAACGCTACTCCTCCTACAGTTTTGGTCCGATTTCAATATAACTTGGCACACAAGTAGACCACACTAAGGTACATAATTTAGTGCATCGGTTTTTGATTTCGATGGACGGTGTTGCCATGGTTACTAAAAATAGAAATTTCTGTGAAATTCCTTTAAAACGCTACTCCTCCTACAGTTTTGGTCCGATTTCAATATAACTTGGCACACAAGTAGACTAAAATAAGATACATAATTCAGTGCACTGGTTTTTGATTTCGATGGACGGTGTTGCCATGGTTACTAAAAATAGAAATTTCTGTGAAATTCCTTTAAAACGCTACTCCTCCTACAGTTTTGGTCCGATTTCAATATAACTTGGCACACAAGTAGACTACACTAAGATACATAATTTAGTGCATCGGTTTTTGATTTTGATGGACGGTGTTGCCATGGTTACTAAAAATAGAAATTTCTGTGAAATTCCTTTAAAATGCTACTCCTCCTACAGTTTTGGTCCAATTTCAATATAACTTGGCACACAAGTAGACTACACTAAGATACATAATTTAGTGCATCGTTTTTTGATTTCAATGGACGGTGTTGCCATGGTTACTAAAAATAGAAATTTCTGTGAAATTCCTTTAAAATGCTACTCCTCCTACAGTTTTGGTCCGATTTCAATATAACTTGGCACACAAGTAGACTACACTAAGATACATAATTTATTGCATTGGTTTTTTTATTCAATTGACGGTGTTGCCATGGTTACTAAAAATAGAAATTTCTGTGAAATTCCTTTAAAACACTACTCCTGCTACAGTTTTAGTCTGCTTCTAATATAATTAGGCATACAAGAAGACTATACTAAGATACATAATTTATTATACCCCACGCAACAAGTTGTGGGGGGTATAATGTTTTTGACCCGTCCGTCAGTCAGTCAGTCAGTGTGTCAGTCAGTCAGTCAGTCCGTCAGTCCTGTTTTTTTGTCAGCGCAACTCCTCAGAAACCGCTGCACAGAATTTCGTCAAACTTTGCAGATATTTAGGACACAATGTGTAGATGTGCATACTACCAGGAAATTCCGATTCCTTTATTTTTTCTTGGAATTTCGGCACTTTTCAACTTAGATTTTTGGCCATATCTTGAATATAGAGATGAACAGTTTGTCAGCGCAACTCTTCATAAACCGCTGCACAGAATTTGGTCAAACTTTGCAGATACTTAGGACACAATGTGTAGATGTGCATACTACCAGGAAATTCCGATTCCATTATTTTTCTGGGAATTTCGGCTCTTTTCAACTCAGATTTTTGGCCATATCTTGAATATAGAGATGAACAGTTTGTCAGCGCAACTCCTCATATACCGCTGCACAGAATTTGGTCAAACTTTGCAGATATTTAGGACACAATGTATTGATGTGCATATTACCAGGAAATTCCGATTCCTTTATTTTTTCTTGGAATTTCGGCACTTTTCAACTTAGATTTTTGGCCATATCTTGAATATAGAGATGAACAGTTTGTCAGTGCAACTCCTCATAAACCGCTGCACAGAATTTGGTCAGACTTTGCAGATATTTAGGACACAATGTATTGATGTGCATATTACCAGGAAATTCCGATTCCTTTATTTTTTCTGGGAATTTGGGCACTTTTCAACATAAATTTTTGGCCATATCTTGAATATAGAGATGAACAGTTTGTCAGCGCAACTCCTCTTAAACCGCTGCACAGAATTTGGTCAAACCTTGCAGATATTTAGTACACAGTGTGTAGATGTGCATATTACCAGGAAATTTCGATTCCATTATTTTTCTGGGAATTTCGGCACTTTTCAACTCAGATTTTTGGCCATATCTTGAATATAGAGACGAACAGTTTGTTAGTGCAACTCCTCTTAAACTGTGCAAGGAATTTGGTTAAACTTTGCAGATATTTAGCACACAGTGTGTAGATGTGCATATTACCAGGAAATTCTGATTCCATTATTTTTGCCTTAAGAGTTTTGCCTATTATTGAAGAAACTTTCCAGCTAGGTAATAAGGAAATCCACTGGAATCAGCTTTAAATTTTGTAATTAAATTTTATGTGAAATATTTCATGACCTTAAAAGACCCCTATTGATTTTGAGATCAAAATATTAATGATATAACACACACACACACACCCTCACACACACAACACACAAAATCTTGGATAGTTCTCAACCCCAACCCCCACCCCTCTCAAATTGGTGCTTTGCCTTAAATCATTTCATAAGTACACTATATAAAAACAAATTCATATGACTACATCATAATTTTGTTTCCATCAATTATTTAAATGTGTAAATTGTCATGTGTTGGACATGGACTTATACTCATTAACAAATCGAAATCACTGAGGAATTTAAATAACAGTTTGTCAGCATAACTCCTGCACTGAATTTCCTGAAACTTTGTAGGTATTTCAGATATAATGTATAGATTTGTATATTACCAAGAAATTTTGATTCCACTATTTATCTAGAAACTTCAGCCCAATTAAATTTGTAACATACAAAGATTTGAATGTCCTTATATGCAAGAAGTTTTGATGTGATTTTTTGCAAGTAATGCCCCTTTTTGAATAATTATATTGTGTATTTAAAATGTGTTGCATTGTTGATTTTTGGGGGAGCGTGGGGTATGTGAGCTTGCTCACTTTTTCTTTCATTGCATTGGTTTTTGAATTCGATGGACAGTGTTGCCATGGTTACTTAAAATAGAAATTTCTTTGAAATTCCTTTAAAACGTTACTCCTCCTACAATTTTTGGTCTGATTTCAATCTAATTTGGCACACAGTTAGAATACACTACGATACATAATATGTATTTCTGTTTTTTTTATTTGGGTGAATGGTGTTGTCATGGTTACTAAAAATAGAAATTTTAGTGAAATACTTTCAAAACGCTACTACTCCTAGTTTTCATTTGATTTCAATATAACTTGTCACAAAAGTAGACTACATTAAGATACATAATTCTATTTATTGTTGCATGTTGCAATGTTTCAAATCCAAGTGCTACTTTTCTTTTGTTATACAAACAGACCAGTAGAGCTACAGTCTCATCAGAGACTTCTGGTTCTGAAGATGATCTTTCAAAAGATTAAAAAAGATTCATTTTATACTTACTGTGGAATCTTTAAAATTCATGGGGGCCAATTTTCGTGGATTGCTCAAATTTTACAGGTTCATGGGGTATTCTCTTATGCCTACAAAAGGAAATATGACTTTGTAACCATAGTTTATTATTTAATTTGTTGAGGATGTTAATTCATGAATGAGTCTGATGAGAGGTACCTACGAATACCATGAAAAATGAGCCATCTCGAAATCTAATGATTCCACAGTACATGTACTTTTTGAAAGAAGATAATTTATTGATTTGGAAATATTATTTCAGATAAGAGGAGATATCGAGAGTCTTATATTTACTCAGACACTCAAGACCTTGTGACAAATGGAGGAGCTTTCCGTGGAAACTTATCTCCCTCTTCTAAAGGCACAACCACCAGGTTCTCTGTGGTCAGTGATGCTAGTTCTAACACCACGTCAGGCATTGCCAGTGACAAAATGACCATCAGTTTTGAAGAGAGTGATGGTAAGCCTTCTCAGTAGATTTTGTAATTAGATTACTGAGAGAGTTTATATGCCATCTATTTGAAAAAAAATAAAGTATCATAGGGTATTGAATGCTTAAATTTATTTTGTGACAATTATAGTTTATCATAAATTTTGTTTTAAGTTTATAAAAAATATATAATTTATATGATTAGGTAGATTTTAAGAAGAAATGTTAAATGGATTTTTATTTGAAATTTTGTTGTTTTGTAGATCACAACAAGGAAATTATTATAGATTGTCCACCACAAGTGTCAAGCTTTAGAATGTCTCCTCGTCAAGGGAGATTGAAAGCTGATGGAGTCATCTCCACATTGCCAAGTACGAATGATAATAATAAACTGAGAATAAACTTACGGCAAAATTTAGATTTTAATTCTTGATTCCTTTTTTTAAGAAACATGTTTGAAAAGTTGCAAGTTTGTATGATTTTCAAATAGAAGCATATAAATGAAAATTTAGTTTTAATAATATGAAAATTTGACTCAAGTCTTTTTCTCAATTTATGGGTTTGAGACCTCATGATTATAATAGTCATGTAACCTTTTTACATTAAGAAAATACAATTCACTGCAATAGTCAAGACTTTGAAAATTTGTCATATATTATTTGAAAGCCTTTATTTTACTTTGACTAAAGTCAGGTTATTTGGAAATGCTTTCAGGTTATGTTCCTTCACGAAGTAAGAAGACTAGCCCTAAGCTGGACTATAAGTCTGCCTCAGTAGGTCGAGGAATAAAACGTGTAGATCACTCACCCTCACTGGGAAGACCCACCCTCCCACCGAGTACATCACCCATCATCCGGCACATCGATAGAATATCACCCACCGCCACACCTGTCATTGGTGCTCATAGGTCTGATATCAGTGCACACAGTGGACATAGTACCCACAGTGTTCAGAGTTCAAGCACTATGTTTAACAGTTCTGAGCACATGAACAAGTCTCCGAGCGGGAGTAGTCTTGGCTCCTTACAAGGAGGAAGACTCAGTTTGCCCTGCCCTCCTCAATCAGTACCACCCACTTACAACAGTGCTAGGACAGTGCCCGTCTATGTCGCACACACTACCACCTCTAGCTTTAGTCATTCAGATGCAATTTCCTTTTCACAGCCTGTTAGTAGAAGCACAAGTCGTGCGGATAGCTTTAACAAGAACTTTGGAAGATATCAACTCCAGGAGAATGAACCCTTTGTTCCTCCAATTTCAAATCAATTGCAGACTACTTTCCCTAGCACCCTGGCACCATGTAGTGGATGTGGCACCTCAGTGTTAGATGCCTTGGCTGGTAACCTTGTTTTATCCAGCTATCCTCCAGTTACTCAAGGCGTGATGACGGAAGTGTCCTACACCAAACCAGAGATGACTGAGTCCTACATTCCTAACAGTGAAATGACCCTACCAGAAATGACAAAGGAGTATCTGGCCCCACCACCAATGTTTGCAGACCTAAGTCACAATGAATCCACTGACTCAGCATTGTCTGGATCTAGTAATTTGGACCCCAAGTTATCTGGAACTTCAGAGAGTGGGTCTGTAGACTATGTAGAATCTGATCTTGAAGAGGTAAGAATTCTTTGCGTCATTCACAAGGAAAATTGTCAAATTGTGATAATGTGTAAAGTAATATCTAGACAGAATAAACCATGGATTTTCTTCTTGCAGGTGAAACAAGAAAATGAGCCAAAGAATGAAAACCCACCGACTCAAATTTCAGTCAATAATCAAGAGGAAATTCTCCATCCAGAATTAGAGGAAATTAGAGGTCAGCCCAGTGCATTTTCTTCATTTTCCATGATAACAAAGCTTTGCAATGACAAATCATTGATGCAAACTCCATATCCAAAAGTAACAGTACCCATGATTGGTGCATATGATATGAGTTCAATGAGGTCAACGGACTCTAGGATATCGCATCTATCACATGAATTGGATTCTCGGCGTTTGTCATCTTGTTATCCGGAATCCTCTCAGGCTATGGTAACTCCAGTCACCCCTACACGACCATACAGCTGGCATAGTGAAAACTTTGACCTTGACTCCCAGTTGACCTTGATGAATGGTAATGTTGCTATGATGCCTGGGTACTTTGATAACCACAGTAGCATGCCACATGCCCTGGGTGGGATCTTAGTGGCACCTTCTTCTCTAGCAAATTCAGTCGCTTTGGACTTTGCAAGACAACAAATGATTGGTGATAGATACTCACCACAGTCAATAGCGAGTCATTTAATGATACCTTCTAAACTTTCAAGTGGTGGACATAGTACAACGGACAGGAACATCAGTCAGAAAGCTTTTAAAGAGACATATGGGATAGCATAAATGCAGCACCTGGATACCTATTATTCATATTCAATTTTTTTTCTTACAAATCTTTTCACTTTATATCTGCAAGACATACTTTTCATAACTGCTGATGTTTACAAAGATTAATCCCGCTTTCTTCCAGACAGTAGATCTGAAATACACTTATAATGATTGAACAAATACATTTTGAGATTTTGATTATGTTTGTATTGATGAGTGAATTTTCAGAGTACAGTTTGTTAAGTTCAGTGAAAGATAAAAAATATTTACTGCCAAAAAGGATGTTAGAGTGTGTCAGAATACTGAAGAGTAGATATTTTTATTGTTGAAGATTATTTTTTATCAAATATTATTTTTATGTGCTGTGCACAAAATGATATTGTTCTAACATTTACATTGTTTCAAAATTTTGTACATTCATGTACATATGTACATCTAAGAAAATGATCTTTAGTGTACTTTGAAAATTTTGGTATTGAAAAAGAACAGGACCATGTCAATACTGTTATATAATGTTATAAATTTGTGTTGAAAAAGCATTCTATGCAATTTAATTGGATAAGATTTTATATTACAAATTTATATTTTAATATGTGTATCACATTTTCTCTGTATACACACATATTTTGTTTTTCTCTACATTTGCAATAAAATAAATCATTGTTATATGATATGGTTAAAAAAAAAATGTTGTGATACCTATATCTCAATATGAAAGGTTGTAATATTCTCATTTTGTCTTGAAAGGCAAAATATCATGAAGATGGTAAATATCATATTTCCAGCTGATTGTTTGAGCTTTAAGGTATAGATATATATATATATATATGTATGTGTATTTGTATTGGAATTTTAACTTTGAAATGTTTTGTATCAAAGTTTATGCATTTTACCATGATATTATTTTAGTTTTTCGGATGAGCTTCAGAGATGAAGTTTCTTTTCCTTTTTTATTGTAATGAAGGATTTCAGAGTTGCATTGTAAACTAGCAGAAATATTCAAGAAAATGCAGTGTATTGTGGGTTTATATGTTCCCGGTTAAAGTTGGAAAAATATCTTAACAGTAATATTAATGCAGATAATACATGTGATTTTTTTATTTTGAAAAAAGTGATTTTATCACTAAGCATACACAAATCTTTGAAACAGGAGATTGAAGTTTTCTCTATGTATTCAAGATACTAAACTGCACACAGGAAATATAATGTAGATTTATTCTAGAATTTATTAGAGAAAAGTTTATAACAGTTATTGGTATAAAATGTTCTTTTTTTTTACATCCTGAAAAATTTTGTATTCTGATCTATAGCTTACAATGCAGCTGTGAATCCACCGGCGAATCATTCTGTGATGTTAACCTTGTGATAATGGCTTAATAGCCAGCATTTCTTAATCACGGTCAGTATAGCCCTTACTACAATGCTTACATGTTTGTAAAACAAACATTTTCCATGCTCATTTATTAATAAAATCCTGGGTAATAATAATTTTTAAATGCTGTTGTCAATGGGAAAACTTTTTTCCTTCCTGATAATAATGAAAGAGCTAGAGCCACGAACCATCAAAATGTGCCTTAAATTTTAGACAAAATTTAAGTTTGAAATCACTAAGCCTGTCATATGTTATATTGTAGTGCACAATGTCATGCTATTCTACATACAATTTTTTGCCACACAGACCACCGTCTTTAGCACATGCGCAGCATCAAATATACAAATGAAGTTAAAAACTGCTAAAAAACGTCGATTTTACGGTAGTTATTTCAAAATTTGAATGTGGCCACACTCAAGTACCGATTCCAAACTTTGCAGAGAGAAAAATATTACATATATGCATTTTTTAAGCAAAATATCTTAGAGGTACTCGAGTGTGGCCAATATGAATTTTACATTTTATGAACGATGAGCTATCAGAAAATGAAGCAAGGTCCTCCATTTTAACAGTAGTTATGAGTTCATTATATACGTAAATAGCTTAAATTAGTTATTAGTATATGAGATTTATTCTTGATAACTACATAATCCCTCATTTGTCAATTATTTTGTTTTAGAATATCTTAAACTCACATTTAACATGTGTTGTTTCATATAAAATTTAAAATTACGTTCTTTTCATTCATGCTTACGTACATCAATGATGACGTCATAATTTGACGTTTTTGACGTCGACTGCATGTCATAGATAATTTGAAGAAGTTTGTCAAAATAATTTCAAAATAGATAATTGAAAAGTGTCGAAAACCAGTTTCCGATTTTTTGCCAGTACTACATGTTGAACGTAATTTTTTTTTCAGATTTATTATATTAATAAAAATACAAATGCCTAATTCAAAGGTTATTATCTAAGATACATACAATACGCAAAACTTATGCGCGTTTTAGATATACATGAAGCGGAAATAGTTTGACTTGTTCACACACTGATATTTTATATGAAGAAATTATACGGTATTTATGCATTCAGCATCGGTTAATTGTGTTCTCGATCCAATTATCAATAATGTTATTTAGCTAACAGCTTACATATCATATACCCATTTAAAAAATAAAACGACTTAGAATTTTTTGACGAACACAAAAAGGGGAAAAAAAAAAAAAATTCCAATGCGCGGAAAGGGGGGGGGGGTGTTTTGACAATAAAAAAATCCCTGAAAGGGGGTGCGGGTGTAAGACACTTCTCTTGAACAAGCCGCTAAATAGACTCTTCTTACCAATTTACAGGGGTCCGTGTTTCTTGTGTGCATGTGTGGAGGAGTGTTTTCAAGGACATCTATCGGTCATTTTATTATATAGATCTAATAACTCTGTTAATTTTGTTCTCTAAACGAAAATCGGCGAGACATTCAATTGTTTTAATTCATATCATTGTAAAAACGCACCTATGATTTGGAAATAAGTCCTTCGCACTCACAAAATACTCTTCTCTGATAATTCAATTTGAATTTAATTAGAATAAGATCTTTAATAGCCTCAAATGCTCGCTACGAAAAGGGTTTGACAATTATCACACTGGACATCACTTTCTATTGAAAATATGTATTTGCCTTTATATTTCTATCCAGTTCAGATGAAGCTTTCCAGAATTTATTTTTGATATCAGAAAATAATGTAGAATATAGCATTTATAAGTTATATGTCTATAGTATAAGATACTTTAATACTAAACAAAAGGATTATTGCAGTGCTCGTGTGTACAAAGATAGCAGATACTCTAGAACGCTCCTTCGTCAAATGATTCCCAGTCTCGGAAACACAGATTATTTTTCCATGTACTATAGGATATAATGTAATCAGTTAACACTCGCGCGCAGTTATCGCATAAACTGCAATATGAAATCAACACCTTTCTTTGTTTTTGTTTTTTTTAATATATTCATTTGGTAAAATGATCATGATGCTGATTAGATACTTCTCTATTCCAATTTTAAGTTTTTAAATGTGTTCATATAATTGCAATCATGGATTTTTTACGACGTTACGATGTAACATAATGACGTTACGTTACAAATAATGACGTTCCTCACGCAAATTTCAATGAAAACAATACCATAATGTAAAATCTCTTCTTGAAAAAGTATAATAGATATCTAAAAAAGAAAAACAGTAATGAAAAGCTAAAAGTCTCTACTATCTATATTGAAATCCTCATTCATTTTTGAGTTAAGGCACATTTTGATGGTTCGTGGCTCTAGCTCTTTGGCAAGATTTTCAGTATTGGTGAATGAATAGTGTAATGTAGAAATAATTATGTGTTGGTGCATAAATTAATTGGCTTAATATATTAAAGAAGATATTATTATTTTTTTTTTAATATTTATTTTGAAAGTTACTGTGTAGTGTGTAATGAAAGCATTTATAAATGATAAAAATCCCATCTTACAGGAGGATTTCATCAAAATGACTTTTATTTAAAGTGTCTTCTTTAATCACATTAATTTCAATTTACACTATTATGATTATTGACCTCTGCTGCATAATTCTTGTAGCCTGAAAGCATTTATGACATTTAATTTAAAAATGATGGTGTCTGGTCCTTGAGACATTGTACAGTAACATCAAACACACATGAATATATCCCATATATATAATGTGTTACATCATACCCCCTCAATCCAAAGAAGTGTTCAAAATATCAAAAAATAGAGAAAAAAATGGAAATGATTTTTTCACAATATAAACCTCTTGAATTTTTTTTTCTTCCTTAAAAAAATCTGCACCATTCTTATTGCAGAGAATGACATAATTTTCTCTTCACAAGCTAGACATATCAAATTTTTTAAAGTTTGAATGTTAGTCCTGTGTGTCAAAAGAAGGGTTTTTCTGATTCTGAGGACCCAGACACCTTGCCATGATATCTGTGCAAAAAAAGGGAAAAAAATCTGTAAAAATGCTATATTTCATTTTTACGTATATTTTTAAAGCCAGTGCCTACTTAATTTTCAATTTTTGTGTTTTAAAAACATTGTTAGCAAGAGTACATATTGACATAAATGTAATCTATTTTTTCAACATGTTTACAAATGAAGCTTATGGGCATTTGTAGGCCATTTCTTTGATGATATGTTCTATGATACATTTGATAAACACTTTTTCCCTATAGCCATGGAATGTTGTAGCTGATTTCTTCTATAGACAGGTACATTGCAGAAATGGTATTGTTCTTCATATACGAGTAATTTGGTTGTTTTATCAAATACCGAAGGTATTTCTCTGTTTTTTCCTCATTATTTTGAAAATTTCTGTTAGATTTAGACCTCACATTTTGCCAGCGGAAGACGGGTTTTAAAAAAGTTAGTAGATCTATGCAATATTCATTAATGTTGGACATTTGTCACATCAAATTAGATTTTTTGTTTATATGTAAACATAGACTTATCTGTACAATTAAATCGTGTTTTACAGATCCAAACTTTGAAACAATGCAAAAAAATGTGTTGAATGATAAAAATATATGTAATGTGTAAATCATAAGTCTTTAAAAATTTGTGACCTATGAAATATATGCATATAATATATCATAAAAGTACTTTTTTTTTGTTTCTGGCTCATTATACCAGTCTTGATCGTAAACACAAAACAGGTTAAATCCTATAGAAGATGGTGCTAAGAATATTTCTTTGAAAAGTGTAACGTGCCTTTTTATGTAGGATGTGTATCAAAGACAGCTTTACTTGTTGTAAACATGATGACTAACTGGTTAATATAATTAGAAACTTTTCATACTTGTTACAGATACTAATCAATAAAATAGGTAATTCATGAAGGGAGTATTTATATAAATAAATATATGTTATTACTGTATGTTGGGTTTGTTTTGTGATTGGTATTAATGACAGTGTCTTGTAGATTCCCTGAAATACAAAGGAAACTTTGGAAGGGTACCAGTTATGGATTCATTTTTAGCTCACCTGAGCTGAAAGCTCAAGTGAGCTTTTCTGATCACATTTTGTCTGTAGTCCATCTGTCTGTCCGTCTGTCTGTAAACTTTTCACATTTTCAACTTCTTCTCCAGAACCACTGGGTCAATTTCAACCAAACTTGCCACAAAGCATCCTTGGGCAAAGGGGGTTCAAGTTTGTTCAAATGAAGGGCCAGGCCTCTTCCAAGTGGAAATAATTAAGAATTTGTGAAAATTTGGTGTCATCTTTTAAAAATCTTCTTCTCAAGAACCATTGGGCCAGAAAAGTTGAAACTTATGTGTAATCTTCATTACATAGTGTAGATTCAAATTTGTTCAAATCCTGACCCCCGAGGGTAGGATGGGGCCACAATGGGGGATCAACGTTTTACATAGGTATATATAGAAAAAAAATTCTTTAAAAATCTTCTTCTCAAGAACAGCAAAGCCACGATTAGTCATATTGATATGGAATCATCTTCAGGTAGTGTAGATTCAAGTTTGTTCAAATCATGACCCCTGGGGTAGGGTGGGGCCACAATGGGGGATCAAAGTTTTATATAAGAATATAAAGGAAAAATCTTTAAAAATCTTCTCCTCGAGAACAACAAAGCCATGATTAGTCATATTGATATGGAATCATCTTCAGGTACTGTAGATTCAAGTTTGTTTAAACCATGATCCCCTGGGGTAGGGTGGGGCCACAATGGAGGATCAAAGTTTTACATAGGAATATATAGGTAAACTCTTTCCAAGAACAGGAAAGCCATGATTAGTCGTATTGATATGGAAGCATCCCCAAGTATTGTAGATTCAAGTTTGTTCAAGGCATCCTCCAGTAGTAGGGCGGGGACATAATGGGGGATCGAACATATTATAGAAAATATCTTTAAAAATCTTCTTCTCAAGAACAACAGAGCCATGATTAGTCATATTGATATGGAAGCATCCTAAGATAGTGTAGATTCAAGTCTGTTCAAATCATGAACCCCCCCCCCCCCCCAGGGTACCTCTTTAAAATTACATTTTCAAGAACAGCAAAGCCATGATTAGTATATTATATGAATATAGAAGCATCCTCAGAAAGTTTAGATTCAATTTCATTCAAAACATGGCACCTGGGGGTAGGGTATGCTTAGAGTAGGCGATCAAAGCTTTATATATGAATATATATAGGAGAAGGAATCTGCTGACGAAGAACAGCAGGGCCATATTGACTCAGGTGAGCGTTGTGGCCCATGGGCCTCTTGTTCTAAAATAGTATATTTAAAAGCTTTGCCTTATTGGCAATTAGAACAAAAAGAAACTTGAACTTAAACTAAAAGATGATAAAATCAATGCGGATGTTTCTATAGCAAACATGAGACAAAGATTCAATAAGGGTTAGATTATCTCGCTTATTGACTTCATAATTCGTAATTTGTTAGTGCATGATTCCTAGTTTAACC